CGAGGCGGGCTGCCCGTTTAGCTGAGAGCTGGAGACAGGGTTCTTGGTGGCAGCCGATGACATTCGGGGTGGCTCACATGAAACCAGGACGTTGCAATGGGTTCCCTTTTTGATGACGATTACGAAGATAAGGACAAGACTCACGAACCCAAAATTCAGGTGAAGCTGGAGAACTCATCTGCGAGCAAAAGCAAAAAGACAAGGACAGGCAGAGTCTAAAGAACAACTGGCAAGTAAAATGCTACCTCACCTGCAGCATCTCGACGTAGTGTAGCAGGTACATTAGGTTAACATTACATTGCTCTACTGTAGATTATAAAACGTAATCTACGATACTACACTAGAAACAACCCAGCAGCGGATCAGTGATATGTGACCGGTGAATGTGCAACGTATATATGCACCCAGTAGGTTAGACCATAACGATCACTCCTCCACTGTCTCAACATGACTCTTGTCTATTGCTATTACCGCCATTGTGGTCAGATCGCTCATTGCATCACCGACAGTTGAAGCATGAGTAAGGACAAGGTATAGTAGACCCGACGGCCGACCCAGAATTGCATACCTTGACAACATGGGCTTTACAAAATGCCCTCACCCCGGTAGGAGAGGAGTAGACCCGGATGGATTGCGATCTTCAACCGCCTAATTAATGAATGACTTTATTCTGGATCCATTGGCACTCCACTTGCTCCAGAAAAGCTAGATAATTACACCAAAAGAATCCCTGGAATTATAGAGCATGAAGCAGTTCAATCCAATTTCTGGATCTAAACAGAGCGATGGCATTGCAGTCAAATGTGCAGAAAGCAACAAAAGCAGGAGATTTACTATATCTGTACAACTTCTATTTGAGACAAGATATGTAATACTAATCCTGGAGCGGTTATTGAACTGGTACGTACAGTACTGTCAAGGGACGGCATTAGATGGGATGGGATGGCAGGCAGTCGGTGCCGGGATTTATAACGAGCGCCAGTCTCAACGGTTTCTTTATTCTCACGATTAGTGATCTGATCGCCAGGGGGGCCTACTTGATGCTGAGTGTGTCACGTCACGATCCAGCTCCCTACTCCCTACAGTGTAGTCAGTAGTCAATACAGGCCTCTTCAGTGCTGGAGTGTCTGAGTGTTCAGTGTTCAGTGTGTGTTCAGGTCATGTTTTTGTCCGCTGTTGGAGCTTGGGCCATCTCCCGAAGAATTTCGGGCGCCCGTTGCGCTTCGGCCTTGATGGGGCTGGCCTTGAGGGTCTCTCATTGGCTCGTATGACTCTGATCTGCCATCAGGTGGGTCATCGTCTATCACATCTTCACCCTGTTCCCTGCGACCCTAAGAATGATCTTCCTTGATTACTCAATGAAACCATGACCCTGTCAAGCTGATGCTTCCCTGGTGCTTCCACCGTTCTGGCGCCTGTCACAGAGACATGCACGCTTTGGCACTCTGCTGTCGGAGCGGAGTGGCTTTGCTGTCGATGGACGATCAGACCGTTGCCGATCGGACCCATTGTTTATTCAACTGCTGGGCTGGGTGTCAAAACAAGGGTTCGGCTTTTGGCACAGATCATCGAGCATTACCTACCTACCTGAGAATCATACAGTCAAGTCAACAGGTGGGTAGTCTAGGTATGGATGGATGGATGGCACTGAGCAATTCCATACCAACTGTTGGTTCTAACTGTACTACAGTAGCCAGAACCGTTCCGTTGGCTAGGCCTACCACTGGCACGGTTCACCGTTTGCGCGACTCAGAGAGTCTTGATCGGTGATCCTAACGACCTTGAGATTAACTTTTCTTCCCCTTGACGCTTCAAGCTTCATCAGAACGGCTGAGGCTATCGATACCTCGACCGCTGCTTGCGGCCTAGGGCGTGCCGCTATTCACTGACCCTGAGTCAGCCACAGAGGATGCTACTCAATACACGATCCATGCCAAATATCTTGGCTCGATGCGGAGCAAGGATCATAATCCAGCTAGAAGGTCCACTACCGCTCCCGCTCACCGTTGGCTAGACAGACTCCCCTTTGACCTGCTTCGCCCTAGAACCCAGAGGATCAGAGACACCTAGGCTGCTAAAGGGCCCCTGACCCTGGCCCTGATCCTGACCTTGGCCTGGCGCTGGCGTTGGCGCTGGCTCAAGAGTCGAGAGTCAAGACTGAACCCTCCCTGAGACCTGCCTGTGTCGTGCTCCCCGGTTCCCCAATCTTCGCTCCTAGACTGTACTGAACTGACAAGGGCCGCTGCGATGGTCTCAACCCGGATCGTGGGTAGGTTCCATTGTACCTCATCTTATCTTCTTAGTACAACGAAAAAGAAACCACTGCATGTTAATGCGTATGTATGCATGATACATGCCTACACGATCAACTCCACAGATTCTTTCACGGATGTATTCTGTTCCGACGATTCCATCTGCGCTATTTGCCGTTGCTGTAATTACGACATTGCCGTTTTGGTGCGTCACGTCGATAGACATGGTCGTTTGCGATCTCTCCACCACTGGTCGGTGATGGATGATCGTACGCAGTCGAGAAATGTCTGTATGGCGACTATACCGTGGCATTAAAGCTGCGTTCGAACGTCTTCCTTGCACAACGCTATGTCTTTACATATTTCCTCATTCCTGATTTTTTTGGTGCTCTGATGCTTTCCTTTTCTGGTATTGACGATGGTACGATGGTGGATCGACATTGTCAAGTAATCAATTAGACAGAGCAGAAAACTCTATCGACGAACTACAGGTGCAGCACTCATGGATCTACGACTTCCGTTGATCTTCAACTGTTCTGCATACATTCTCGGAGACAATGTCACTGCATGGAAAGACGTTCAATGTACTCGAGGATAGGGTTTTGACAGGAGACTACTGCTTCTTCAAAATGATGATGTCTCTAACCCGATCCTTCTTGTATCGCGAGGCTAACGGGTAAATTGATACTGCTACATGAGTGACAAATCCTTTAGCTGACCCCAAGCCTAGACGCGCCTATGTCAGCCTACTGGAATATTGACCACAGGCGGTTAAAGGAACGGGACGCTGTAGCCTTCCCACGCTCTGGACTCCCGTCGCCATAACGAATTGCCCATTCCGTTATTCTTGTCGCTACAGCATATATACGACGCTATGTTAGTGCCCGTAGACACAGCAAACAACGCCTCCCCTGCGTCCCGGGTATTGTAGGCTATCTTACATGAGCGCGGGAACCAACAACGCGGTTCAACAGCCCTGCAGAGAGGTGGGCGCCTCGAAGAAAGGATGTTAGTATACAGAAAATGGAGTTGAGTGGTAGGAGGTAGGTCTAATCACCCAATGAGACTAGACCAAACGGACAATCGGACAAACAAACCTACACAGTTTGCTCGAGTCTCGACGGTTGAGTAAATGTTTCTCTTTTTCTCTTTCCCTAACCCGGAATAGAGAGGGGTGCCCGAAACGTTGGATTGGGTTTGGAAGGAACGGATGGACGGGGAGTAAGACTCAACGAACGCGGATGTCAAATCAATAGTGACTTCTACCAGAAACAAACCACCTAAACACCGGAAGTACTGCACTGGGCGGTTGCTAAGCCTGTCCTGAGGGAGACTAGACCCAGAGATCTGGTTTCAGTGCTCTCGCTTATCGTCTCAGATCGGGGAGGGTGAGAAAAAGTGCAGGGCCACTCGATCCGCCACCGGTAGCCGCTAACTGACTACACCTTAGTCATTCACACTGACCTACCTTCCCGTGCCCGACTTTCACCTGCCACCTGCCACCTGCCACCTGCCACCTGCCACCTGCCACTTGGACTTTGCGCTTGCCCTGAGGCACCCCTACAGCTTCAAGCCAAAGCCATAGCCAAAAGCCAGAGCCAAAAGCCAAAGCACCTCCTCGTCACATCTATCACATCCATCACATCATACCATGCCGTATCACATCACAGAATGTGGATCATCAAACTCTATTCCTTCTTTCTGACGTTTGCCGTGATCGATCCCTCTGAGAACGGACGAGGCTATCACCAACCGTTCGTTCGCTCCTGGTGTCTGATCGATCTGACGTATGCATTATTATATCACACATTCGTCAACCGCTCAGTTCGTGTTTCATGGCTTGATCGAGCTGTGCAGTACTGTAGTTATCGTGATGTTTTAAAGGCTGTTGCTAATTGACTTACATATGTTCTACAAAAACCAATGTCGACCATACCAATTCGTATGCGACGCACCTGTCAAGCGAAACCTGAACACATACAACCTATACTGTCGTAAAGCTTGAATCGCGTCTCTATTCCCAACGCTTCAGTCCAGGCACAACTGCAGACTTCGCTAGGCTATCGGTCGATAAACGGTATGCCCTGACCTAGTCAACCGACAGTAGTCTAGTTGCCATGCCATGTTGTCGTGGAGGGGGATAGACAGTTTTACTACCTTACCCGTCCCGTTGATGGTTCCCTGACTAGCGACAATCACATTCCTCCCTTCCCGCTGCCGATGCAGCAGTCATACTCGATTCAGTGCTCGATGGAGCAACATTCCAGTCCTCGACGCCACTCGTGGGCCGTTCTGGTTTCGTTAACCTTGATTCGTCAACTATATGAACTTTGAGCCTCATTTAAGGTTCCACACCAAGGCGCTTTTGTCCGATTTGACAGAGTTGACACTGACATTGACATTGACAGAGTTGACATTGACATTGACAGTTGACAGTGGTCTAGTCTTCTCCAGGTTTTTACATAAACAGCACTCTAACTTGCCCTCTAGAGCTAGATCCCGTCGAGCCCGCCTCACCCGCTTCCTACTGCGGTATCTATCATGGCATACTATACTTGTTCCGTCGAATTTTGAGCCTCGCCCATGCGACCCCTCTCAGTCATGCCACCTACGTTCGCTCCCGAGCCTATCATTCTTGCCTTGACCAAAGTTGATATATCTCCCGGCAACACCCCATGCTGTAATGGGAAATATCCTCGTCAACCTCACCCCTCATATAAACTTTAGCCGTTGATATAATAGAAAACCTTAACTGTTCGCCCAGACCAAAGAAGACTTTGCCTTCGGATACTTTGCACGCAAAAGGTCCCGGTTGTATGTCAATGAGTCCTGGTTGACACGGGACCGAGACGTTACCGTTAGCAGGGCCTTAGGAGTTCTCCTGGTCCGGAACTGTTGTCCGCGTCCGGACGCGATAACTTCGCCGTCTGTATACACTCCATTGATCTCGACCTCGAATTCTCTTGACGGATTTGAGCCGTTGGTCGACCAGTCGGTGGTGCCTGACTGTTTTCGTTCTGAGCTACCGGGCGTTCTCTAGATGCCTTGGCCCCGCCCAACCGTACAACTGTTGTATCGTCTCCAGGTACAAACGAGAACTGGCGGCGATGGTGAGTGTGTCCTCGATGAGTACTTTGATCAGGCGTTTCCTCCAGAACCCTGTCGTGTCCTCCCTGTCCATGCTTATGCATGCCTGTTATCTCGGCATGTATTGGCTGGTTAACAACACCGACCTCCTGCTGTGCCGGTGTCTTCTCGGTTGAATGGCGCTTCTGCCCGGGACTGCCTTCGTGCGGCGGTTCATTGACTGTGCCGTGCGTGGCTGGGCCATTGAGAGTAATAGAGTCGTCTCTAGAGTGCTGTCCTACTCGGCAGTGTTTACGGCGTGTCTTACTCTGGCTGATAACTTGAGCCTCAGATCGGCGAGTACCTCCGCTAGGACCTTTTGTTTCCTCAAGTTTTCGAAAGGCCTTGCTCAGCCTGATCTCATTGCTAGTGTCCGTTGTTCGTGTCCGGGACACTGATATCCGTAAGTCAGCATAAGATTACTTTGTTTTGCTCGAGTTTAACACCCACACACTGTTCCTTGCCGTGTCGGCAAGGCCGACTCAATTGCGGTATCGGTGCATATACTTTGAGTAGCTTCAGAGGCTTTTGATATTGGCTGTCAGTTACTGCAGCAAAAGATTGTCTTTTAAGACTTAGAGAGTCAAAACGAGGTCTAGATGCTGACGCAAAGTATCATGACGTGTCTAAGTCATTTCTCCCTTATGCTCCAGTCGGCCAACTTTTCTGATACCTTGGTAACATTGAGGCTTGGATAAACACTTACTATCACTCGTTACGACACCTTCACTGAAGTTTGGCTTGACAGTAGTTGGCCCTTTTGAGGTACTCCCTGGCTTTGTTCTGATGAGGCTCCCTGCTCTGGCCAACACCACAGCCTCCATGCCCTTGTTGGACGTTTGATGAATGAACATCTCAAGTCGCTTGACTTCGGCTTTGTATCGTGCGTCCTGACGTATCCAACGCTCTTCTATTTGTTTGTGTCGCTCGGTCTCCTTCTTCGACGCATCTTGTGCTTCTGTCAGTTGTGATTCGAGCTTGGCGATTTTGCTGTGTCGAGTGCCATAGAATTCGCAAAGAAGTAAAACATGTGGACGATACTCAGCAGACAGTGGCTCATTTGGTCTCGTCATTAACGTAGCGCGCAAAGCTTCTGTCACTTGGTCAACAGATGGGTTGCGCCAAACCTGTTGGTTTGCATTGATGAACTCCTTGTCTGCTTCGTCCAAAATGGAGTCTGCGCTATTCAACGAGGTAGTGCCTCTGTCGGGTTGAGATACGCCTTGCCAGCTCGTAAGTCGAGTCATTCTCTCTCTCGGACGCGGAGTATGCGTTTCCTTGTTTTCGGGGGCCTCTTTGAGCATTTCCTGCAGGGCAGCTTCAGAGCGACGTGACTTGAGGGCATGATGGCATACTCTGTTGACCCCGAGAAAGCGGCGCCAGTTTGAGTCGGTCATGGTGATATTTGTATTTGTATCTGGAAGACTGTCTGATATTCAATGAGGGTTTGTTATGTCTCTGTTTCTGGATTGATGTTTGATGTTTGACGGATGGGTGATGCGATTGCTATTTCGGCTGCTCTGGCACTGGCGAACACAAGCAGTGGAAGCCTGCACTGAATTTCAAGATTCTAGTGAACTGTTTGCCTACGCAGGTGCCGTTTGTGATTCACAATCTTCTGTTTCCTCATTTCCACGTCAGATGCTGCTTCTATTGCGTTTGATGGATATTCCCTCTTCATGGGGTCTTATGGATAGTCACTCTTACTTGGGTTACTGGGACACTGTCAGAGTACTAAGTTTCCCAAGATATTTAGGCAGGCAGCTTTAGTTGGATACTTAGAACGTTAAGAAGGTACTTGAATGGATCGAGACCACTGTTGTAGTCAAACAGAGTTCTTTCATGGTGACTTGAGATTTTTCATTGATCGTACATAGTCAGTGTTATGCCGAGCGACAAGCATGATTCCGTGGTGCTGTATCTTCAACCCTTCGTTTGATAAAGCTTGCATAGCCGCTTCTTAATGGTTCGTATAATGGACTTTAACAGACTGATACGCTGAGCATTCATCCCTTGTATTCCTAGCTACACAGTTCCCCTTCCCGATACCCCTTGCACCCGATACTGCTTAAACACTCGAAAGGCATTCGACGAAACCTGTCATAGTAACGAATTAGGATATGTCCTCAAACGTCAACTTCAGAATTACTGCCAATTTTCTGGCTTGAAGATTACGCATCTCCTGTCGTCCACTCGTTGTCAGTCATCCTCCACCCAGTCTTGATCGACAATTCTGCTTTGGCAACCATGGCCTTCACATTCGTAACATGCTCAGAGCTCTTGACCTCGTGTTTGGTAGCTGCAGCTTCCATCTCTGTGATATCACTGTCCTTCAATTCCTCTGTCAAAAGCCCCTGAATCGCAAAATTAGCAGTTGCCTCAGCCAAGGATAGGACCACAAGACTTTCAGTTGTCTGGCACTCTGATATCCTAAACTTATCACCACGGAGGTAATCGGATCGTGTAGGAAATGTGACTGCACTGCTCGTTTCTGTCTCCTCTGAGATATCGGATAAAGAAGAAGCTGTCCAGGCCAGTGGCAGAGGTTTCGCTTCTTCGTGGGCAACTAGCCTCTTGATTGGAATCTCTGGTAGGGGACGGGTGGAAAAGTTCATTGGGAGTATCACAGGGGCGTTCTCCAATCGTCCGGGAGACTGTGTAGGCGGCTCGGATTGAGACTTGGATGGGGAATCTTGATCCGGTTCAAGGTGTTCAATGAGTTCGAAGCTCAAAGGCTCTGCAAACGACACTTTTTTGCTAGATGATTTATCCTTGCCCTCTTCGGCTCTTGTGTTCTTTGCTGGTTTCGACTCGACCTGTAATGACGGGTCATCCGGTTTGTTGGGGCGAGGTGCCAGACTCAGCTGATAAAGATTCGACCAGGTGCGGTAGTGGAAACGGAACGTGACGAACGGGGATTCTTTTGAATCGATGAGAATCCAATCGTAGTAACAAGCGTCTTCTGGCCAATCCAGCAGCCCGCCTGAAGGTGACCTATTGTCAATTAACGAAGCTGCCATCAGGAACTGGTAGAGGGACTTACCCGAGTCCATAGGTCTCCTGATTACGGTGTTTTTCTAGGACTGGCAGTCTTCGGATTCGTCCTTTGGCCCGAAAGACTTGGGCTTCGATGAAACCACCCTCTTCTGCAACTGATTGATTCTCGGCGGGTAGAAAGCAGAAGCGGCGTGCCTCTATGCCATCCCTGGTGTGCAGTATGCCTTCTTCTTTGTATTTCCAGCGATCACTTGGTATGCACAGCGAGTGCGTCATACAACCCGAGCCATCAACGCCAGACTCTGTACCGCAGTTGGCGACATTTCTCCCGTTCATGAATATCTTGAAATAGAAGAATGGCGGCGGCTGGGTCACTTTTTTGATCGAGTAATAGATTCCGAGGTTTGTACCTGGTTCGAGTGTCAGACAACAGTGTACAATTTGCTCAACATTATGGCAAGCTACCTGGCTCAGAAGGAACATAGACAGAGATTCGGGGACTCTGTTTTTGTGCCTGCTGTAGTGACGATAAAAGGCGATTTAATCCATTGCGGTCCTGGCCAAGTAGGCCACTGGTTGACGGCAGAACATATTCCGAAGAGGAATTTGATAAAGGAAATTCGGGGAGCTTTTTGGACCCGGGTTCGGTGATGATGGCAAATTGAACGCCCTGGAAGGAAGGCATATTGCGCAAACCGGATTTCGAAAGACAATGATAGAGAAAGAATCAGGACTCTGGCGAAAAGATCTAAGCATTTGTGCGAGGTGTATGCAGCGTTACGAGTTGGCGTAGGGGTCAAGTTGAGCAGAAACCGGCCGTCAGTGTTGCCGGCTAGCGAGCATGATTGCGTCTAAAACAGAACGACCATAGTATTCTTGCCGCATTTTCGTCTAATCAATAAAACCTGATTAGGTGCCTGAAATAGGACGGGGTTTTTGCAATTGTTTTCATTTCGCTGTCCGCCTGGTAGGAAATGTGTTGCTTCCCGTAGTGCATGCACATTGACAGAGGTCAGGTAACATAAGGGGAATTCAAGAACTCGGCCGGCATTCCCTTGACAACATGATATCGATTTCACCTGAGCATCAACAATTGATTGCAGTCTTGCAGATAGAACATTGCCCAGAAAATCACAGAACATGACCGCGATCAGTTGAACAAATCAATTCCGTTCCTTCGTATACAGTCGATCGATACGAGGAATTCGGCGAGCATACTAAGAGCGTTCGAATAACATTCATCGAGTAATTCCAGATCTACCATCTAGCTTTGTCCCATGACCTTCTTTGAGTCTTCCTCCTTGTCGATAAGTCCCAAACTCCTTATTTGCTTCACGCTGGGAGCATCGTCGCGTGCCGTGGAGGACTCGGAGCGAGCATAGGCGGCTTGCATAGCAAGAGCTCGGGCATGCTACAAGGGTTGTGTCAGTTCGCTGATGATGCTAGGAGCACCGATGGCGACTATAGACCTACCTCCTTCTTGTGGTGGAGGCACTCGTAGTAATCCTCGAGAGCCATACCGCACTTCTTCTTTCCAGAATCATCAGCGGCAGAGGTATTGACAACATAGCATCCCATAACCTCTTGCCAAAAGGGAAAGCAGCGGCCGACGCCTAAAGTCCAAGTTGATGTCGTCAGTCTTTGACTGCTTTTATATCGATTTTATCGCTGCCGTGGCAGACTTACCGCCGTTCATTCCATATCCCGACGCCATCTTGAGCCAATTGAGTATTTATCGAGGCTTTGCGCGGGTCGGGTGAAGAGTCGTCGTTGAATCGCGGTTCGTTGGTCGTTAAACAGTCAGTCGGTCGTCAAGTCAAGTCGAGCCGATGAGTTCACCCGTACCTTGGCCGAGCCTTGACTGGGTTAGCAAATCAGAGCAAGTGGATTGGTCGAATTGGTGGGGCTACTTTCACTTAAATACCGCTTGCCGTATTAGGTCCATCTGTGGCGCATGGTGTGGCTGAGGTAGCTTAGCTCTAGGTACTCCCAGCAAGGAGTAGGAGTGCCCAGTAGCTTACCTCACTGGCCAATACCTGCCACTTTGTTAGTTGTACAGTAGAGTTGATGCACATGACGACGGTGTCAAGAGCAACAAGACTAACACTCAATAACTCATCAACCCTCACAATATCCGTCTTGTTAACAGTCAGGCACAATGGCGGCTCATATGTCCCTGAGTCCTGCCAAAGTGGTGCTCCTGGCGGTACACTTTGCGACTATCGCCGACATTGACAGCTTGGCCTGTCTTATAACCCAACATGCTACAGTCTTGCGTCCAGAGTTGACGCTTCGCATTATCCTCACATATCTCCCTGAAACTCTCAGTCCGTCGGCCTATGTGCCTTTGTTGGAAGCCATACTCGCCAACGAACCACTGCCGCAATCAAATCCAGACCACCAACTTGACATTTCTCATGTTCACAATCTTCAAGACGAGCAAGCTTCGAGAAAAGTTAAGAAACTTCATCTGATCCCGCTCAAAAATGACGATGCACCTTTCAGCCACGAGGCCGATCCACTTACGTGTTTCCTCTTTTTGAGGGCCTACAGGATGGACGATGAGGCAGGCATGTTAGCCCAGGTTCCCGAGTTACTCTCCCCGTTCTTGGACCACTCGCCAGAGCTTCATACATGGGCCATCTCAACAGTACTTCCTCTGATCCGTAGAAATCATGAGTACTATCCTCAAAGGACCGCACGGTTATCGCTGCTTGAGTTTCAGAATCTCCCCGACAGAATGGCCATTGACTATCTACTCGCCGAAACGGGTACTGTTGAGGACGAATATGACCTGGCTGGCCGCGATCTGAGTGGATTAGTAGGACCTTGGCTACATAACGACTCGAGGTGGAAACGCGATGCCTTTAATGAAGATACCTCAAGTGATTCCGGTGCAGCGTCTGACCTTTCATGTCCCGGATGGGAGCAAGCTCTCGAGTGGCTCACCTCTAAAGCATCAACTTCATGGCGAGTTGCTTTGAAAGCTATTGAGTCCTGGGACGGGCCGTCGGATATCGATCTTGGAGGCGATTCTAGTGCCTGGTTCCAAGAAAATCAGCAACAGTATCTTGACCGTTCCTATGCCAGAGCTGTGTTGGCCTCGGCTTATCTTGTCCCTGATGCCGATGCTGAGGCACTGGAAGGCGCTTTTAGAATATGCAACAAGATTCGGTCCCTCTTGGACGAGGACAGCAACACAACACTCCAGGATGCAGTCGCAAGTCTTGCACCTGTGCCACCTTTTGATATGGATGGCGTCGGCGGTGTTAAAGCTTCAACATACTTGCGCAGCGAGTTGTTACAAAGCACGAATCCTCTCACAACTCCAAAAGAACAGTCTCTCGATTTACTGCCTACTCTAATACAAAGCGCCTATCTTCTCACCTGTTCAGGTGTTCCATGCACTGTCCGACAGGCAGGAGACTTGGCATTTATTCAAGATCAACAAGAACAAAAATCTGAGTTTGGTCGACTTGTACGAAATCTTCCTACGCGCGCATCCGATGATGACGATTTTTGGATCCGGGCACGACAGGAAGTTCTATGGTTATACAGCTGGGGAAATAAGCCAGCCCCTGATCAGGATGAGATTTTTCAAGGCGTTTTCGGAAGTGTCGCACTGGAGTTTATCGAAACAGAACTTTTGAAGGCATTGCTTTCGCGTTCACGTACGTTTTATCGGTATGATTTCTTAACACCAGTATCTAACACTTCCCAGGATATTCTCTAGCAAGGTCTCTATACGACCAAACAGGACCTGATGCTCCCCTTTCTACACAAGCCGTAATCAACACGGTTCAAAACTCGGCGTTGAGCGCATTCGATAATGCTTCCAATCCTAATCGCACTAGGGGAGGCTTGAAAAAGTGTGACGAGATGTAAGTCGACTTTAATCTTTTTACCGGGATCTTCTTTTCTAATCAAAATTTCAGTGTCAAAGCCTTTCCAACATTAATGGACAACACTCATCCGAATAGACAACGTGTTGAGGCGTTGCTAAGGGCTACCCATGCCTTGAGCGACTATCGTCTTGTTCTAAAACAGGGTGAACCCTTTAGCCCGGTGGTGTTGCGAGTGCACTCTGATCCTGTTTCCATCATCGAGAAGGTTCTGGAGCAGAACCCGAAGGCTTACACCCGTCTGCAAGAGTTCATCGAACTAGGAAACAACATGGTCGATGCAGGTTTGCCAACCCAAGCAAAGCGAGGCAATCACCACACAGCGACAATTGACCAGGGTTTTGTCCGCTCAATGGTCGAGAAGCGGATTGTTTCGATGTGCATCGAAGCGGCTTTACGAGAGGATGATTTCGAAACCGCGTATTCCTACGTAGTCAGCCGCCTCGGCGTTAGGGAGACTGAGCGCAAGAATGAACAATCCGGCATTTGCGACGAATGGTCCTGGAAAGCGGCACTTGACGCAGGCAAGTACGTGCGTACAGAGAGGTCCCAAAAACCAACACATCTTGGTACGGCGAGTGGAAACCCGGAGATTCGTCACCTTGAACAACGCATCGAGTGTTTGGCGACTTCCCTGCGTATCGCTCCCCCATCTCAACTTCAGGAAGTATTGAAAACTTTCCGACGCTGTGAGGAGCAATTGGACGCTGCAATCAAGGAGGAAGCTGCCCGGGAAGCAGCCTGGGATGCTGCAGGCGATTTCTCTGGTCTCCCTGGCTCATTTGATGGACCAGACCCAGATAAGGCTTATCCACCACGGAATATTACTGCCAGTGCGACCGCACGCCAAGCTGAAGAAGCACCAATGTCTCTGTTTGATCTCTCCAGGGCTACGGCACGGGTTGCCTCGAAGAACCTTACCGTCCTGTCAAGCTTGCAGGGCTCGCTACAGAACTCCTTCACATCTGACAAGACAAACCCAGAATCGGAATCCTCAGAATCTGAGCTTCATGATCAGAACAGAACGAGGAAGCGAGATCAGCTTAGAGAAGCTGCAACTGGTACACTGGTGTCTGGTGTAGGCTGGCTCCTTGGAGCCAATCCAAATCGTTCTGCCAGCGGGCAGCATTAACCTCGAGTCGGTTCAGTACGGAAGGCATATCTCTAGACTTAATTACAGATCGTCTCATAAAACATGTCCAGATGATCGGCGATGTTTACGACACTGAGGCAATGCCAAAAAGGATCGGGTAGGCGAATGCCTTCGAGAAAACATGTGTACAATGAAGACGTTGGGCAGTTTTGTATTAATTAGAAAGATGTACAAGACAATGTGAATAGAATACCTCCTCATGTAGCAGGTACCGAAGAAGACGGTGTCCCATATTTCTTCGAGACGGCATAGCATCTACTGTATGACACCGCAGCATCGCTCGATGCTTGACGCCTGATGTTTAATGCTGACTTTACGTCCTGCTCGAGCCATTCCTGAAGACAAAAGCAATAATTTACAGTCACCCAAACAATCAGAGTCTCCTGGGATATAAGAGGTCAAGGCTGCAACCAAGTCTCAGTCTTAGCCTGTGGAGATGCCTTTCTAGAACCCTCAACCAGATACTTTATCAAGTGTCAAGCACATGCTGCTGAAGGAACCACCCTACAGGTAAGTCAGTGAGATTTCAACTTGCAACCCTTACCATTGTTCAAATTCAAAGTTGTGAAACTCGGATGTCGGTTGGTTGAATATGTAAAACTCCTGTTGTTCGACACTATGACCCGGCTTGGCAAGATTGACTTCGACATGGTTGTGATGACTGGTATCGCAAATGGTGTAGGTTGGAGCGTATGTTATCATAGCTCAGTATATGAGTCCAGCGGGACATTATTCTTTTCAGTTGTAGGCGTCAAGTTGTTTACAGCGATTGATGTGTGGTTGAATGGCGTAAGGTGAAACATTTACATATGCTTCTGGATCAAAAAGTGATGTCAGTCAAGATGAGCATAGCCGGTGCTGGTGAAACAGGGCCTCAAGTCATCGTCTCGTATACCCCATAAAATTATGTGATACGAGGACAGCACAGGCAGTTGAGTCGCGAGGTCGCATTCGAGGTTGAGTTTAATAGTCCATGGGATTCACCGATTAGGCCGGAGTCGACATCTGGTTGATGTTGTGCTGCCAAAAGCTATCATAAAGTCGTCGAAGACGCGATGGATGACGATGAAGTGTTTGATTTGCAAAGATCCGGAAGCTGCCAAATTTGGTCCATCTGTGACCTTGTCGCAAAACCGACCAGCAATAAGAAAACTCAAGTGACGCAGGCCGAGTACCCATTTTTTGATTCCAATCCCTTAACTGTCGCAAATCACACTGAACTCCTGTGTAAGCAGAGCCTAATTCAGTCTGCTGTAGTCCATGAAAATAAAGAAATCAACGAAGAAATGACAATTAACAGAAGAAGTTGAGCAAGCAAAGCAGATGTGTTAGTAGAGGAAAGGAGAGAGGTATGACCCCGGGGACTGATCGTTCAGTCAGGTCGTGGTAAACGGCATCGATACGTTTACTGAATGCTTCGGTCGGGAGCGCCTAGGAGGATTAGCGGGTACATAACAGGCAGCACTCAATAGTAGCCCGAACCTCCATAGGCGTCGCGCGTCTCGGATCGAGAGGCAGACTCGCCATAACCAGCTCCTCCAGCGCCGGCAGCTGGGTCACGGCTTCTCGCAGCGTCTCGGTCGCCTCCGCGTTCGTATCGGTCACCGCCACGGTCGTAACCAGAGCCTCCGGGGCCTCCACGAGGAGGGTAACGGTCGCGATCCTCGCGGCCACCTCCGGCGTAACGGTCTCGGCCGTAGCCATCGTCGCGGTCGCGGCGTTCATAGCCTCGATCATAATCACGGCCGCCATAACCGCCTCGGTCGTCGTAACGGCGTTCCTCACGGTAGCTGCGGTCGTAGTCGCGGCCGCCTTCACGGCCACCTCCACTGCTGCCACCATAACCGCCTCCACGCTCTTCGTAACCTCGTCGCTCGTAGTTGCGGTCGTAGCCACGGTAGCGGTAGGGGTCATCGCGACCATAGCCGCCGCCGCCACCACCGTAACCGCCACGGCGGCGGTCTTCATAACGACCAGGACGGGGCTCTATCAGTGTGTCAATAGATTGCAGCAAGATTAAAGGGATGGCCTTTTGGGAATCACTTACCTCGCTTAGGAGGTCCAAAGTACTTGCCGGGGGTAGGGGTACGAGGACGGGCTCTGCGAGCCTTCTCAATGCTCAAGGTACGACCCTCGATGGTGTCGCCCTGTAGACCCTCCCTGGCGGCCTCGGCCTGCTCGGATGTGACCATCTTGACAAAGCCAAATCCACGAGACTCCTTTGTGTGGGGGTCGCGCATGATCTGGCATTTTTCGACGTCGCCATACTTCTCGAACATCTTGGAGACCTCAGCCTCGGAAAGCTTGGGGTGAATGCCAGTGACGAAGAGGTTAGAACCGGGGTTGACAGCACCGTCGTCGTCATCACGGGGAGCAGAAACATCCTTCATGTTGCTGTAGCGAGTGCATGTTAGCATCGGTCGTCAACCGTAAGAAGCCATCATCAAAACTAACCTGTCGCCATGACCGCCAGGCGAGGCGGAACGTCGGCGGCCGCCTTCGTTGTCGTCACGAGGTCGAGGCGAGGCGCTTCGGTTGTCACGCTCGTATCGAGGAGCCTCATCTAGAGGTCGGTTAGCTGTCTGCAAAAGTGCATCGATGAGGACTCGGCCGAGATGAAAGAGGCGAAATATCGGAAGCTGCAACCGATGGGAGGTGCATGTGGTGATGGGAAGGAATGTAGATTTAAAGAACAGGCGCGTCGACGTACGCGCCTGGAACTGAGTAACGAACCTTCGTATCGGTCGCCGTTGGCTGCCTCGTAATCCATCGCAGTGGTAGCCATTTCGTGTGATTTTGCCTAGTGAAATACCAGAGGTGCAATCAAGCCAGAAATGGTATAGATGCTGGTTGAGGATGAATGACTCAATCGCAGGCTGCAGCGTTGTTGGGGAAAAGGCGATGTTGAAGAAGGGAGAAAAAAAAAGTCGGCGTAGGGGGAAAGGGAAAAGCAAAGGCGCCGCAAGGCAGCAAACCCAGTATTAAGTATGTGGTTACTGTAGGTATAGGTAAGGACGGGAGCGTGCAGCAGAATAAATGCTTGGCAACTCGATGAAAGAAGCTGCGCAATAGAAAAGAACAAAGAAATTTAATCAAGGCCGATGGAAAGGCTTGAACAGTTTGTCAATGATGGATGGCAAACAGATAGTTCAGAACGGGGCCAGGCTGGGCTGTGATGGAAATGGATGATGAAGGTTACGTACAGTGGCTACTGCGAGGTACGGGGAAGTAGGTCAGCGTAAGCGTAAGCAAGCAGGCAAGGCAAGGCAAACCGCCTGTGCAACGCTGTGCCAACCGTCAGCGATGGAGCCCGCCTGACCTGACACGGGAGACCTTGAAATAAAAACAAAGTACCTAAATTTGCTGGCCATACACTGCTTGCGGTAAGTACCCAACAAGGCCACGGCTGTACCTGTGTCAGCTGAAGTTAGCGCAGTGAGCTTCCAGGTATCAAGTGCTAATCTCGATATCCGTCCCGTCTGCTTTGAACTTTGGAGGTGTTTGCCAGTTGTCTATCACTGTCGGTCATCAATCCACAATAGAGGCTTCAATACTCGCATAAAGACCGCCATTTTTGGTGAGCGTATGTATATGTGAGCTTTTAGATGAAAGATTTTGATTTTTTGTTCTTTGTACTTCAACGCCTGTGGCTGATATTGGTAGCCACCTAGTCCTGAGCAACATCCATGTAAACAATATGTTGGTGAGTTGAGTTGGATTCTAGATTCACTTTCCCATCAGCGAGAAGGGTTTAGTTCATCTTCGTCAAATAACTTGCAATAGAACTGGGCAGCCAATGTGCTTAATAACGTAATTTAAGAATAGTTTCTCATTTAACATGTAGATATATCTTAGCAAGTAATATCGACAGCATGGGTTGCTTACCCTAGAGCATTGGTCAACCAAATCTCAAACTAAAGTTTGGCGGCTATTCGTCGTTCAAAGGTGCCCATTACAAGTCACAACCCATGGAAATATCCGATCACTCTAGTGATACGGATACAACACTCAAAATGCAGGGACGTCGGCGCCAGACCTATTCAGTCCGAGTACCCAATCACCACCGAGCTGTCCTCTGCGGGGATTGAATGAATACCGAACTCACTCGCGCACTCACTCCAAAATCCATAGCTCTGAAATCCTGTAACCATACGCCAGCACTATAAATCTTGCCTCACCACGCTCTGTAGAGCATACATACAATGTCGCTTCAAGGGAAAGTTTACGCAATAACTGGTGGTGCGAGTGGCATCGGCTTCGCAACAGCCAAACTCCTCGCACAGCGCGGAGCAATTGTGAGCATCGCCGATGTTGACGCCGATGCCATGTCAAGTGCTACGGTATATCTCAAGGAGCAAGGTATCGTAGCCACGGTTTCTCGAGTTGACGTCTCCCAGAGGTCTGAGGTAGAAGGTTGGCTGGACGACACTGTTGCGAAGTACGGAAAACTCGACGGCGCAGCCAATGTGGCAGGTATAATTGGCAAACACCACGGCCTTCGTGCCGTAGCGGATCTAGAAGACGAGGAATGGCACAAGATCATTGCTGTGAACTTGACAGGGACAATGTATTGTTTGAGAGCGCAGCTTAATAGGATAGTGGACGGGGGATCTATCGTCAACGTCGCATCTATCCATGGCATTAAGGGCATGTGCCTTCTATACAATGCTGTCAATTTCGACTCTGACCATGGTGTACAGGATTTGCCAGACACGGAGCTTATGACGCAAGTAAACACGGGATAGTCGGTCTGACAAAAGCAGCAGCAAAGGAAAACGGTCACCGTGAGGTGAGAGTCAACGCTGTTGCTCCAGGCGCCATCTATACTCCCTTGATGAAGAAAGCATGGGACATCCACAACCGACCAGACGATGCCAAATTTGACGAGCCATCTGCCTTTCAACGCCAAGGCACATCAGAAGAGTGTGCCAATGTGATAGCCTTTCTCTTAGGGCCCGAGAGCACTTTCGTGAGTGGAAGCGTTTATGAGGTGGACGGAGCTTGGATATAAATAGTTGTTACACTCCTCTGCTGTCAGAGGCCGATCCGCTGGTGGACTCTGTCAAGTTAGAGGCAATACCGCAATTTTGATGGCGTTGTGCAGGGATAATTGTATTCTCATTTCGTTACCAGACGTCCTCAGGGTTGACAAAATGGTTCTCCCCGTCATCTCGAATATGCTGATGATCCTTGTCTCGCTTCATGGGCTTGCGCATATCAAAAGCGTCCTCACTGGATTTGGTGGGATCTGTGGCGTGATCGCCGTAATAGTCCTTGACAACGCGAAATACACTATATCCCAAATTCTTGTAGAGTGCAATAGCATTGTGATTGCTGCTCCGCACAAACAAGTCCACAAACCAAGCATTCTCGGCATCAGCTGCGACCTCTAACTGATCTGTCAAGATCTTGGCAATGCCGGATCTGCGTGCCTCTGGGGCAACAGTGAGTGCTGTTATGTGAGCATGCCACGGCAGATAATGCTCGGAGAATTTGTAGGCATCTGGTGAGGATTCAACCTTGCCCATGACTGTCAAGCGCAAGATTAGCTCCAGGCCAGCATGTAAAGGTTAGGATTGGGCCTTACTATATCCGACGATATTCCCATCCATATCCTCGCACACTTGGAAAAGTGATGGCCATTTTGCGTGATATTGAAGGTAAAAGTTAAGTTCGTATGTTTCCGTGAAAGGGTCGAGGTTGCACTTGGAAAACTTGTTCACATCGTCTGGGCGAAACCGCCGAAACGTAGCCATCTTTGATACCAGGTAGGTATTTGTTGGAAAACCTTGACCTCGACTGCACCTTGTTCTTTCAACAAAGAGTAACCTCGAAGCTGTTTGTGCGTAAAGTGGCTGTGTTTACGTGCAATGAGTTGTGGTTACAGATGCCGCACGCAGCCACAATAAACGTCTCGGAAGACTGCATAAGATGGCTCGAGATTGCATTATGGCAACTCTCGCACTAATACCGATAATGTGCCCGCATTAGCGTCAGGTTCTTGAAGGGACCCACCTTCGTTTCGCTACCAACATCCTCGCATCTCCCACGGCGTTAAAGCACCAGTAACGATCACTGCAACTTTGAGATTGGAATAATGCAATCTACAGCAACTTGCTTATTCTCAGAACCAGGAAGCACATGTCTAGCGTGCTGATCAAAGAAACAATTACGTACCGATCTACACCCAAAGCCCGGTCCATTCGCTGTCCTGTCCTGCCCTTTACTTGGTGGCCGCCAATTTGGTGCGAACAATTAGTACTTTAGCCAGTCGGTCCCTAATAAGGGTCCCTGTCACCCAAGCCGACATCATTTCAACAACATTGACTTGACTCTCCCTCGACATCCCCCATTTAGAGAGGAGAACGAACCGACCGACCATTCACTTGCGCCACAAGTCTTTACTTTGAGAGAAGACCGACGAACCCACCCGACATTCATCGACCCAACTTTGGAGAAAAAAAGTAAAGCGGTGTCTACTGCACTTGGCGGTGGATCGCTTGCAGTAATAGGCTCGTGAGTCTAGGTTGTGGGAGGATCATCAACATTTTACCACAGTTCAACATACCAAAATGCCATCTTCGCCGCAAACCCCCAGACATTCCCGAAACTCTTCCGCCTTCGATAGCTTCTCAGGCTCCCCTCAGGCCCGGAGACTCTCCAAGTCGTCGGTACAAGACCCCTCACCGTTCCGAAACAGCTTCAACCAACAAGATGCAGTCGACCTGAACGAAAATGGTATGGGTAACCTGGCCGATGAGTTGGCCGATGCCTTCTCAGATTCGGGAGATGAAGGAGATTATACGGATGGTGATGCCAATAGCGAAATACTTGGACTTCAAGGGGAAGCACATGGCGCTGAGCACGTAGACGAGATGGAGGACACTGAGGGTACCAGCAGCCCGAAGAAGTCAGAGCTCGACCGAACGAAAGCCGCACATCTTACACTTCTTTCCCCACGGCGGAAACATCAAAGGTCAACCAGTAATTACGATGGCAGTGAATACGGGTCAGAGTCAGACTTGGATTCTCCTGGCATGCCCCCTGGCTTGGTGTCCAAAATGGATGCTGTAGAGTCGTTGGCTCGCAGAGGAACAGAGAACTACGGCGGCCCTGCAGATGATGTGTTTAAGAGAGTAACAACCGCATTGCGGGATCTCGGCTCTCAGTCGAGCGTTGAGGCTAGCGCATCAAGGTTTGTACGCAGTCGCTGGCTGATGCATTTGTGGCTAACAAAGGGTGCAGGTTGATAACAGCACACACAGCCTTGACTACACATTTGAGTCACCAGACTCGCCAGATCCACAACCTCTCCTTCCCCTTATTATCTCCTCTTGTTGCGCCTCCAGATCCCGAGACTATTGACGATTTGATACCGCTGTTAATAAACTTGTCTGATACCATGCCACGACCCTCGACAACAGCCTTCAACTCGTTGACTAGTCTCCACTCACTTACCAATGAGCTTGTGCAAAACCTGAACTATCTCTCAGACACACTGCATATGTCTCGTCAAACGACTACGATGGCCACAAGGAGATTGAAAAGCGCCAAAGAGATCGTATCGGAAATGAGAAAGGAAGAAGAACTCAGAGAGGAAGGCGAGCGATGGCTTACAAGAGGGAACTGGGGTGAACGCCTGGAGAAGAGAGAATGCGCCGGAGTTTGCGGGGATGTTATTGGAGGGTTCGAGGAAGTCTGTAATGGATGGCGAGAGAGGCTTCTCGCGCAAGCTGAGGCACAAGCATAAACAATGGAACGTCGAGCGTTCGCGTGCCCCTGGTGCGAGACACCCACCAATGCCGAGACTTTCAATTTCTGAGGCTTTTCACCAGGGGATATTATTATTCTTTGCCCCTTTCCCTCTCATGGCACCGTTTGGTGTTTCTTTCTTTGTTTATTTTAGGGTGGGTTGGCTGAATTGGGTTGAATAAAGGAAGGCGCAGTTAAAGCAGGGAGGACCTCTCCGTTGGGCAACACCAGCCCCAACATTATAGAACATTTCTTTACTTAGAGACATGGGTTCGTCAGAGGACGAACAATAAATAGAATGAGCAATGAGAACACAAAACATAGCACTTTGCTTTGCAGAGATTTACTTTTGGGCACACTGATGTAAGGGAGAAGCCAGCAGATGACGAGCTCAACTCCGAACGCGTGCATGAATATGTGCATCGCGACTAGATGTTTGTTATGTATCAGATGGTGAACTCCCCCAGAATATATAAAAGTGGGTGGATTTAACAAGTCGGCCGATATACGACCACAGGCCAGTTTTGATGTCCTCATGCGACCCAGTCTCGGACCAAAAACATTCCACTGGAATTCAAGTGGGGGAAGGGAAAAAAGGGGACAAGGAGGGGGGAAGTCTGACGATGCGGGACGCGCGACATGATCGCGTAGAGTGGCGTCTTGTCTCGACGATTGACGCGAGCCGTGCCGTATCTTGTGAGATGCCCAACTCCAGCACTGTGTCTTCACCTCTACGCTGATTGGTCAATAACACGCTGGTCGCCAAATACCCGCCATACCGGTAAGAAGCTCCATTGAAATAAACAAATACGTAGCGACTCAGAGTTAGTCAACCGAGTCTCACGAACAGGCGCGACATCACGTTCGTGTCGTCCCGATCGATTACCTAGACCTACCCGTGTAATTCCCTGTCGTGGCAGCCAGTCAGCACTCACGCTCGTAGCCAGCCATCACCACATATCTCTTGATGAGGTTGAGCTAGCGGCGGAACGTCCCGCCATTGTTTAATATGTGAGATGGAGAGAAATGCCTCTGAGGATACGGCTTGGTTGAGTGAAAACAAAAACAAAAACATTTATAGTTCAAGCACGAATAAAATTCAATTGGGATGTTAAAGGCTTGCAGTATACGAAAATTAAGAGAAAGGAACAAGCCGACGTCTTTTAAGTAGTAAGAGGCTTCCCATACGCGTATTTACTTACACTTACAAGATGCATGCCCAGTAACATGCGAAAACAAACAAGCGGGCGATACAGCAAAATGGCGCGAAAGAATGAGGGGTGCATATGTCTGAAAGGAAGGTCTTGGTCTAGGTGATTCAAAGCTTGACCCTGACGAATATGCCGTTTTTGACAACTTGAGGTGTCTTTGACTGGAGAGTTGTTTTTTTCGGGTTAATCATAACCTTATGATATGGATCCGTAGCATCCATCTATTCTCACCAACCGTTGACGATGACGCATGGTACCTGAAAGATGATGCTGTGCCATGTGCACACCGTCACCTACCGTATTTCCGGATTGCCTATGTTGGTAAGTACTTTGAATCCAGGAGGACCTACACTTTACTCTGCCGATGAACAATTGCGGGACGAAACCATGGCTTTACCAATGGATGGGTAAGGTGTGCAAGTAATGGAGGTACCTTATTAGTACGTAGAGTTTTGTTTCTTGTAACGGTTTCAAACGATTCATATTTGAGATTGCAAGCAAGTAGACAATTGATCACAGAGAACCATCACTGATTCTGAACTTGCTTATTGTAGTCGAGATAATCTGATCCCTGCTCTTCGCCCAAGTTGGATATTGTTACCTTCATTCTTGGGGTATTCATTCAATAACACAATCACGGTTCTGCTCCATTATTTTCCTGTTGTTATTGTTGACCCGCGCGTTTCCTGGCCGTCCGCGGCCTGGGGGCGCAGGGGGCCTGTTCTGTTGTTTCTGATTGTTGATTGGTCAAATATCTGCTAGCGCGCTCTGAAGACCCCAGTTCAACCTCCCTCCAGCAGCAACATCCCTCACGAGAAGTTGAGGTGCGACCCTCTTCCCGCCACCCCTAGCGCACCTCTGCACCTCTGCCCAGCCCAGCATCGCACCGTACCGTACCTACTACCTATCGCACCCGCCCGCTCCGACCTCCATCCTCCACATCCATACTGTCATCTTGGATCTTGCACCTCACGCCTCAGATCGTTGGGCAACCATCGCGTCGTGCATCATCACAAGATTTCACTTTCTTTCTTCTACCAGTCGGTCTTTAATAGGCTCTCCACAACATAATCTTATATTCATTGATTAAGCATCAACTTATTTCACCAACGTCATCGACCATACGTTGTGCCCGGATCGCCTGTTGTGTCCTAGGTCGACGGTCTCGAGACGATGCGATAGACGAAGATTACCAACGACGAACGAAGTTTGACATTTGCTAGACGGTGCTAGGGATTGCGCCCTCACCGTCTCGCCTTGAGTCTCTTTTTGCTTTCGTCATCTGAAATCCAATTAAACGCCGCTACGATCGAATTCCTGCTTTGTTCATTCGCGCACTCACCACCATTTGTCCCTCGACTCTCCAGTATATTGGACCATAAATAGCTCTCCGCGCAAGACGACGATATGGCGGCCCTCCCTCAACCTTCAGGCATAGCTGCCTTGAATTCTCAATCTGCGAAACGAGCTATCGACGAATCCAAGAGCCATACCGCCACTCCCCGGTCCTCCACTCCCCCCCGCTCAGATCGCACCCGCTTGGAAACCAGATATAGTCTCGACAACGGACCAAGCCGAACGATGCGTAATCATGGAAGAAAGAGCGAAGGTGCTCGTGGAACTCATCTCGATATCGATGCTGTCGACAGTGCGTTACTACGTGAATTTCAACGCCCGCAGCGGGAGAGTACTCCAGGTGCTAGTCCACATCGCAAGCGGCAGCGCATAAACGGCGACCGGTTGGTGACAATTCTACCATGACCGTCATTCAAGCTCACAATCTTGTAGTTTCATTCCCACCCGCACTGGTCAAGACCTGCAGGCGAGCTTCAGTTTATTACACGAGGATGGATCTCCCGCTACGCCTTCAAAACAAAAGAAGCGTACACCTCATGGCGAGCTTCACTTCCAAAAGAGTATGTCTTCCCAATCAGATCATGCCTCATAGTAGCTAACCAGACATTGCAGCGGAAGAGGCTAACCGCACTTTCTCCCACTTACTACGTGCTGAGCTCTTTGAGAGCTCTGTGCCACAAGCAGCCACCCCAACCCTCTCACCAAACCAGTCTCTTCCAACATCTCGGATTTCCGCTAATGATGGAACCCGAGCTCACACTCCCCCTACAAATGCTTCTGCCCCATCACTACCATCCTCTTCCTTGACACCGTCGACCCCTCACAAGAACCTCTTCTCATATATGTCGCCGCGACATCACAATCAAGTCGCTGGTCACCCCACTCCCTCTAAAACACCCCAAGGCCGACATGGCCCTAATCTTGATACCCGAGCCGAGATCTACAGTCTATCACCAGTGCGATTTGGAAGTCAGCAAATGCTTCTCAGCCCTAGACGTCAACCGAGAGCAGTCAGCAAGGTTCCTTACAAGGTTCTCGATGCTCCTGAACTCGCTGACGATTTCTATCTGAACCTGGTCGACTGGGGAAGTGCCAATATCCTTGGAGTCGGCTTGGGATCCAGTGTTTACATGTGGAACGCGCAGACCAGCAAGGTTAACAAACTTTGCACACTTGAAGATGATACTGTCACGAGCGTCTCCTGGATACAAAAAGGCACACACCTTGCTATTGGCACCGGTAAAGGGCTGGTCCAGATCTGGGATGCCGAGAAGTCGCGCCGGCTACGGACAATGACTGGACATACGGCGCGAGTTGGTTCTCTAGCCTGGAATACTCATATTCTTACATCCGGATCACGCGACCGGTTGATCTACCACCGCGACGTACGAGCACCCGATCAATGGCTGAGGAAATTGGTAGGTCACAAACAGGAAGTTTGTGGTTTGAAATGGAATTGTGAAGATGGACAACTAGCAAGTGGTGGCAATGATAACAAGCTTATGGTCTGGGATAAGCTCTCGGATACACCACTTTGGAAGTTTTCAGATCACACTGCAGCTGTAAAAGCGATATCGTGGTCACCTCACCAGCGCGGTCTCCTGGCTTCTGGTGGTGGTACTGCAGATCGTCGCATTATCTTCCACGACACCGTCAAAGGCTCGGTCATCAACGAGATTGATACCGGCAGCCAGGTCTGCAATATTGCCTGGTCCAAAAATTCCAACGAGATCGTATCGACACACGGCTATAGTCAGAACCAAATCGTTGTTTGGAAGTACCCTTCAATGACGCAGGTTGCTAGTCTCACAGGCCACACGTATCGTGTACTTTACCTGGCCATGAGCCCTGACGGTCGAACAATTGTGACGGGAGCCGGTGATGAGACCTTAAGATTCTGGTCTACCTTTGGCCGACGACCAGGAAGTCGAGAAGATGGCGACAATGGAGGTCGACTGGCTGACCTTGCTGTCATCCGATAAGACTCGTGGCCAATAGCAAAAGAGGCTGCTGGAGTTTGTTTTGGGAGACACTCAGAATCATTTGATTGCTGAGACTCTCCACTATTAATGTCGTCGCGCATCTCTGTATCTCCCATTGCGGCACTCAGGGAGGTAATGGCTACTTGAAGTAGCAAGATACCCGCTGCAAAACACATCATAAAAGGCGATTGCATTATGCATTAAATGGCGTTGCATCTGACTCAGGTTCTTCACTGACTTATGGGAGGACGGGTGTTGGTCGGGTTGCTTTAAACAAATATCTTGGGATTTAGGGGTTTGCGGCGGATTAACGACACCCCCTTTTGGATTAACGGATGGGTATCACGAAGGAACGGACTCAAATTCAAGCACTTTGCTCTATAGGCAGGCAAAGTTAGCAAGCGGTTAAAGGAACAGCGACTGTTTTCTGCATATTTTTACTCGGCTGTTAGGCCTCGTACAGCGCAACAGCTTAGCTATAGATTCCTGATGAATCTCAAAGGGCAGATGTCCCTAATTAAGTTCAAAGTCTCTACTATTGCTAAGCTTTTCTCTTTGCCCGATCAAAGATGGTATACTGTCTGGAATAAAAATAAGAACAAATCAGTGTGAAAAGAAAGTGTCTTGGTGATATACAGCTTCTCGTCCTCGTGCTGTCAACCAGTATAAGACACATCTGGGATAGATCTACAGTGGAGAGGAATGAATGTTAGAAGATCGCGTGGACACTGGTTGTATGACCTTGCTCGAGTACGATGATCTTGCTATTCTATGATATTGCTTGAGTACCACAACAACTGGTCTATGGTCGGATTAAGGTATAATAATTTTAGGTATCTTCTGCCGGTCTAAACGTCTTCAAACTCGATCTCCTCTTCGCTCTCCTCGTCGTCTTCTTCCTTCTGCTCTATCTTCACCCGCTTGGCAGGCACGTCCTCGAATTCATCCTCATCCTCGTCGTCCTCATCTTCCTCTGACTCTTCCTTGGCTTGCTTCGCCGCTTGTTCTGCCTTGAGCATCTCAAATATATTATCTATTTGATCGTTGGCCGCGGCCGGCGCAGCTGGTCCTTCTTTGCCTGCCTCTTTCTTTATGGTTGTAGCAGCACCAGGAGTAGTAGTTGCAGTGAAAGATTCACCAGTGACTGTACTATTAGACATCCATGACGGCAGCGCATTTTGTTTCGCGATCTGTTCTTTGCGTGCCTGCTCTGCTGCCTTCTCAGCCTCCGTCAGGCCATCCGATGTTGATATGTTGACAGCAATTGATTGCGGTCCTGTGTTTGTCAAGCCCTTAACTGCCATCGGTCGGTTGGCGCCGGCATCTGCTGCTATCGTCTGAGCACGTTGATGTGTCTCATCACGCTTGACTGGGCGGGCCTTGGCAAGCGCACGATCGAAGTCGCACTCGGGAATATGGACTGAATCGATTTTGGGTAGAAGTTCGCTTATGAATTTGAATTGGTCGTTAAGTCGTGTTGACTGCTCATGCCCAGTGGATGTTCGGTCGGCTTCGAAGGTGAGAACATGGGAGCAGCGATGGCATAGAAAACCCTGTGGACCGACATTGTCCAGAACTTCCATAGCTGTCCACTCTGCCTTGCAGTGTGCGCAGAAGTACTCTTTCTTTTCACTAGCAACTTGAGTGGTTCCTTGCACTTCCTTATCGATGGTATAGACACGCCACTTGATTGCGTCAATTGTACTTCGGTAGTCGATATAGTACCATGTTCGATTGCTCGGTCTCGGGTTGCCTTCTCGTAGTTCGGACCTAGTGTGTCTGCGCGGGTTTTGGTCAGCAGGGAGATCATCATCTGGCATCGCACACACATACACAACCAAAAATCTGTCCTCGCGAAGTTTGCCGCAGATCTTGTGTAGGTCTTTCGTGTTGATAGACATGAGGTAAGCCAAGTCATCGTCTCGAAGCCTGGTATCCATGGTTAGCAAGCGCAGGATTGTACAAACGCGCAAACAATGCTTACGCTTCGTGAAGTATGAGCGCATCAATTACGAGTATTTCGCGGGTCTCGTAGAAGGCCCGCATGACCGACTTGACCAAGGTGATTGCGAGATCCATGATGTTTGTGTTGTTGAAGAGAAGATTGGATTGCGGAAGGAAAGGTGGAAGCCTGAGTTATACGCTGAACCACAACGGTTGTGGAAGGTCCGACTTGGAATAAGTTTGGACCAGGCTACCGCGTGAAAGAAAGTCTAAAAGCTGCGATCCAATGTGTCGACTCGAATGAAGCAAGGGCCGTCTACCCTTTTATAAGCTATTGAGCATTGCGCGCAAGGTATGTATTTGGGGTCTAGTTTCGACGTGACTGGGATTGAAGTTCGAGGTCCAGGTTTGATCGATGGTGTTTGTATCTCGTCGCGCGCAGTCGGCGGCTGTATGTTCGTTACGTGGAAAGATGAAGGTGCTTTGTGCCTGTTTGGAGGCGCAAGTTTAGGTTGCGAGTAGAAATCCAACCTTTCAGCTTCTTTGCATGTGCATCACTACGGTAGCTTATTATTAGTACAAAGACCCACAAGGAAATCAGCCTCATCCCCCACATTCCGTTCCGTCAATAGGATTCAACGCTCAACAACTATTTTCTATTGTCATGACTGCACGCGGTACGATCTAATATCATACCTATTCCATGATTCTCTTTCTATTCCGGAGGACACTGAACTACCTCTTTTCATATACGACATGCACTCTTCCACATCATGATGGTGTAGGTGGAAAACATGGCATAACAATAACGGACATGATACGAAGTAATCCAGTCTGACCCAAATTCGTGACCCGGCTTGTCAGATTTGAACTGAACGGTTAATGATAATGTTTTGTAACGACTAACGTAATAGATTTTGTTGTATCACATAAAACCTATCTATGCCACCCCATGCTATCTCGGCTTGCGCCAAGCATCGAAATTCACCCCCTAGACTCGCTGGAAAGAAACAGAACACAAAAATCGACAGAGTTTATAGCATTTCTTACGCATATTGTCGTAACTAGAAAATGTCAGTAAGCGAATGTTTGTCAGAGTGGATGCGTTGAAACTTACATCTAGAGTAAGGGTTCTTGAACTGTTGACTTCCTGGTCTCTGTAGACACCCACCAGGCTATCACTGTCCTGGAACAGACCTGCCTTGAGACTGATAACAATAAACTGCATACCAGGACCCCGGTGATCCTTGATGTACTTCTTGATTTTGTCAACATTGGCGTTGTCCAGAGCAGCATCAACTTCGTCAAGGACAAAGAAAGGACTGGGCTGGTAGCTATGAATGGCAAATAGAAGAGCCAGTGCTGCCATGGTCTTTTCGCCACCTGACAAATGCTCCATATCTCTGAATCGCTTCAGAGGCGGCATGGCATGGTACTTGATGCCAGAGAGATAAGGCATGTCCGTGTCCTCCTCAATATCTAGATAAGCTTGACCACCAAGGGGGTACGCTTCTGATCGAGTGAGGTCCTTGTATACATGCGAGATCTGCTCCTGGATATGGCTGAAAGCCTTGTTGAAAAGGTCATATCTCTTTTGCTTGACCTCGTTGAAGGCCTCTTTGGCCTCTTGTGCTGCCGTCTTTGAGTCTTCATACTCTTGATCTGTGACTCTAAGTCTGGTCTCAACACTCTCCAGCCTCTCCATTGCTCGCATGTTGGGGTTGAGCTTCTCCAGCTCAGAAGTTAGGTTTGTAATCTTCTCTGACAGACTTTCTTCAACGCTTGGGTCATCAGACTATGTTCTTGTTAGTGACATCCATTTACAAATAATGATAGCACTTACAGCTTTGAGATCCTCGTCGAGGCCATCAAAATCGATCGCAATTCCATGATCGTCAAGAGCCATATCCATCATTTCTTCTTCGTCTTCATCGATATCCATGGCATCAGGATCCTGGCGAAGCAGCTCATCTTCGTTAGGTAGGTTGTCCAAAGTACCTTGAACAAGTGGTATGCGGATTTGTTCTAAACGACATCGTCGAAGTAAAGACGATTTACTTGAACTGTTCTTTTGGACTACCGTCTCAAGAGCGTTGATGTCTCGGTTGTGTGCATCGATGTCCTTGGAGCGTTTTTGCACCTCGACCTTGGCCTCGGCCACTTTCTGGTTTTTCTCAGCAAGCTCCGACTTGTTCTCATCCAGTGTTTCACGAAGAGCCTCCAAAGCCTCTTGTTCTTCGCTCATGGCATTTTCGATCTCATCCTTTGTCTTAGTGTAGGTCCTGATCTCCTTCCTGAAATGTTGGATCGACTTTTGGGACGTGTTGATGTGATTTTCTGACATACCCACCCGCTGTTGTTCCCATGCGAGTCGAGTAGACAGCTTCTGCAACTGAACCTCAAATTCGTTGCGCTTCTCGGAAACCTCCTGCTCCAGCTTGCCTTGGGAATCCCTGTAGGCACGAATGTCACTGTAGCCAAGTCGCCTACAGAAATCTCCGAATACTTCATCCTCCACCCGTGCAATAGCATCTCGAAACTCTTCGCAAGTGGTTGTGGTGCTCTCAAGCTGCGAGGCTTGTTCTTGATATTTAGGCTCAAGCTCTCTGAGCTGCCTCCTCTGATTATCCAGCTCGCGTTTCTTGCTCGCATGGTTTTTGTTGAGGGCTGCCAGCTCATCTTTGACAGCTGCCAATCGTCTCTCGAGTCCGGATAACTCTATCTGCAGGGTTTCTTCTTGTTGACCTCGGCGATCAGTCTGGGGAAGTCGGTCGATCTCATCCTTGAGCTTGGCAGCCATCCGTTGCAGATTTTGGACATCAGCCTCCTCGAAACGCCTCTTGCTTTTCGATTCGGGGCCACGGCCACCGGTCATCAAACCTGCCTTGTGAATGATGTAGCCTTCTAGTGTTACAGCTTTGACAGGGATCTTCTTTTCGTAACAAATGTGCTTCGCGATTTCGAGGGTGTCGCAAACAACGGAGCTGCCACACGCATATGACATAGCACGCTCAACAGTGGAATCAAAATCGATGGTGTCAATCGTCAACCTTGCACCGGAGAAACCCTTGACCGCGGTGTTGACAGCGTTCACCTTGATATTGTCCAAGGGAATAAATGTCATCGGTGGAAATCTTTGCTCCTTGAGGTATTGGACGCATTCAACACCAATCTTTTCAGAGTCGACAACAACTGAATCAAAGTCTCTTCCAAGTGCAACAATTACAGCCTCATCAAACTTCTTCTGCTTTGGTTTGCAAAGATCGCCAACACGACCACGAACACCTGGAAACATACGTTTCAAGGAGGTTACCATTTCTTTCATTCTGGCCTCCCTGTCGTTTTGGCGGCGGCCATCATCGGCTTCCCTGAGTTTTCGAGCGACATCCTCGAGTTTTTCCTCAAGCTCAGTCCGCTTCTGGTTGGTTCTGACTCGTTCCGATTGGAGTTGGTTGAACTCTTTCTTCTTGGCATCAATTTCCTGTGAGAGTTCTTTGGAGGTACTCTGTGCTGCAGTCCTGCGCTCCTCGATGCTTGTGAGTTCTGCCTCAATCTTATCGATGCCTGCTGCAATACTGTCGACTTTGCCTTTCAAGTTGTTTACAGTCACCTCGTCTGCCTTTCGCTGTCGATCGAGGTTCTCAAGCTTGGCTTGATTAGAGCCTGTTCGAGACATGAGCTGGGCACGAAGTCTGTTGTATTCTCGGCGGTCCTCCTCGCTAACCTCGCGACCTTGTTTCTTCATTTGTTCTTTGTAGTCGTTTTCAAAGACCTCGCGCGCCTTCTCCACGCTGTCGATGCTCTTCTGAACTTGCTGGACAATCTGTATCTGCTCATCGCGATCCTTGGTGAACCTAGCAACCTGGGCTTGAAGCCGGTTAACTTCCGCAGTCGATTCCTTGATCTTCTCTTCAATTGGAACAAGACTATGTTCTTTGTCTTCAATCTCTCTCGCCTGGGCCTTGATCTCCTTGTCGACCAGAGTTACTTGGCGATTAGCGGCAGCCTGCTCTTTCCTGGCAGCATCAAGTCTCTTCTCAAATGATTCCACATTACGGCGTAACTCTTTGAGATCTTCCTGGTGGTCCTGGATTGCGGCGTAGGAGTCGTCCATAGCCTTCTGGAAGTGGTAGAGCTTCCACAAACTATGTGTGACTATGGCCGCATCACGCTCATCAGTCTTGTTTTGGAAGTTATCTGCCTCCCTCTTCTGCTCCCGATATTGTTTGATTTCTGAGTTGATGCCACGTCGTCGATGAAGCTGGAAGTTCTGGTTTTCGGCAGCCTGCTCGGCCTCCGCTTGCGTCTTTTCGTATTCGGCCTTGTACTCGAGACTTCCGGAGATCTGTTCAATCAGACGCGTAAGATCCTGTGGCGACTGGGAAGCAATGGCTTCCACGTCTCCTTGGAATACGAGAAAGTTGCGAGCCTTGATCAGGATGTTTTCAGTCTCAAGAGACTCATTATATTGCTGTGCAGTAACAACGCGGTCGTTGATTCGGTATTCGCTAGCGCCTTGATTCGTAATGGATCGCTTCCATTTCTGTTCTTCGCCCGCGTCATCTTCGTAAACAGCCATGACCCAAGCAGTCTTTGGATCACCACGAGAGGCCTTATCATCGCCGTCGCCATTTGCGTCCCCGTTGGTTTGCGCAGAGCCATCGTCGTTGATCTTGGCTGTTTTCAAAACTCGGCCGCGGTAGACGAGGTCCTTAAGATGCGCGGAACGTAGGTGTGACGATTTGATGCCCAAGACGAAGGAAATAGCGTCCATGCTAACGGAGAATTAGAAAGGTTCGATAGAGGATGAAGGCTGCTTACGAATTGGACTTTCCGGATCCATTGGGTCCAATGATCGAAGTGAAGTATGAGTCGCCGAAGAGAAGAACATGATGTCCTTTGTACGACTTGAAGTCTGTTGAGCAAGTCAGCTTAGAGGCCCACTGGCCCAACTGGGTATCCAGGTAGAAAGAATGACGAACTGAATAACTCAAGACGGATTAGTTTGCCCATGGCGACGTCGGGGGGCGGTATGCCCTGTTGTTCGTGGTTGCGGAGAAGTGCGTGGTCAAGATAGAACGATGCGATGCTGGACCAGAGGGGTACAGCTGATGGTGAAGCGAATGCGCCAACGAGTAAGTAAGGCGCGTCAAAGTGGCCGGGGCTCGAATTGCGACCAGCGGATTTTGCAAAGGATGCTCAAGAAAAGCCCTAAGCGCAAGCCGAGTGCGCAACAAGCGGTAATGAAGCTATTTTTCGAGATTTAACGGATCGTAACTATTAATCCGCATCATCAACAAGAAAGACTGACGATCAAAAGGGTTCACCGTTTGGCGTGCCGCGAAAGGTGAGAGGATGAATAACGCGTCGCGCGACTGGCTTGGCTGGGTTGTCGAGTTAGTACGCTGGGCAGAATGGATTGCATTGGGCAAGGCCTGTGCAACCTGGCCTAGGCGGCACTTGCTCTCCCCCGCCGCAGTAGGTACTGCGTTAAAGCAGGAGCCTGTACGCCATGCTTTGTCCAATCAGAACCTCCATATCCGTAGACCTCCATTAAAAGAGTCCGCTCAACGTTGTTACCCAGTCGTCCTCAAACACCTCGATTACCTAGACTCAGACTGTCATGCCAAGATCATGAGCCAGCAACTTAGTAATTATGAAGAATACTCTCCAGACATGGGACATGCTAAGGATTAGAAACCGTGTACAGTAGCAGAGGCTCAATGATATTGTTGCGATATTCGGCCAGTACTACCTAGTACTCGGCCTACCTAACAATGGAAGTACTGTATGTCTTCACGTAGTGTTGCAGCCAATTGAATCTGAATAAGTCACCACGCTTTGGTACAACAAAGACGAGAAGAGAGAGTGAGATGGTTGTAAAGTCCACATGATTATTTTTGGCGTGGGTATCGTGATGATATGAAACTAGTCGTTACCTATCTTCAAAAACCATAAAAGTTCATGCGTCTGAAGTTCCCTGCATTCTGTTTATGGTTGGCGCTGCGTAGTTGCCTAGCAAGAAATTCATCACAGTATGGTAGAAGCAAAAAAATCCCACTATGAGGTTGTATATGATGCAACTGCCAGCGTATCAAGAAATGCCCTTTGCTCAAGAGCCAACGACTCTAAATAAAAGATCGGCACCAATAGGTAGCTCAATGCATGTGCCACCGTCCCCACTTCCCCAAGCCAAGCAAGCTTTCAGCATGTCCACTTGCATTTCATCATCATTCCAGGGTCCAGCCAGCGGCCAGCAGCCACCTTCAAGTTGTTGTAACCAGGACAGATTGTGCTGGACGTACTCTGTACACGTTCAATACCTACATCACATCCCGCCCACGTGCATATCTACTTCGTCACCGCTGGTGTTTCCCTTATTACCTTCTCCCCAACTTTCTCTTCTTCCTAGACTATCACACCTTACTCGTCTCATCCTCATCCTACCTAACTTCCTCAACCTAGCATCAGCAGACCCCTTGATTGAGGTACAAGGGACGGATGATCCACCACTATCCCACTCTACTCCCAGTCTATCAATAGAGCTTGTCTCAAGTGCAGCTATCTCGTATAAATAGGTGCACTCGGTACCTTGTCAACCAACTTGAGCTCCCTTGCACCGTCCTTCCGTTGGTACTGTACTAGTCACGCTTCCTCCTCCGCTGGTATTGATCCCGTCTCATCTTTCATCATCACATCGGTACTAATCCAGTGTTCTGTAGTCAATACTTGCAACCATATCTGAAGCCGCGCGCCGCTTACACGTGAAAGTGGACGACAAGAAAAGCCCATACCATGGACGATAATTCCAGGTCTGCCTCGGGCCTCAAATCCGACAACATCTCAACCGATAGCGAGGTCATTCTAACGCCTGATCCCCCTTCTCCAAACGATGCACCCACCGATGATGCCTTGCTCGATACTCCCGTCCTAGGCGCCACGACACCTAGAGGTTCAATTCATTCGAGGAATCCATCTTTTTCTGGCAGTAGCTCCAACCATGAGGACTGGGATGGTCCGCCTCTGGATCGCTTGTCTGTTCTTGACCTTCTCGATAACTTTGCGTTGCCACAGCAGCTCGAGAAGCTGCAAAAGGGCATCACAGCTCAAACAGACAAGGTCCGCCGCTCGAGGGAAGCGATCAAGACCAAGACACAGTCTGCGCGGGAACGCATGGTTGAGGAATGGAGACGCCGAGTCCCCGAAGCTGATGAGCAGCTGGACAGGTACCGCAAGCAAATGCAACACCGTATGGACAAGCTCGGAAAGCGATGGAGTGACACAAAAGTTATCAGTGCTCGTGAAAAGGTATCGTTCATCTTTGGTGTCTTGAACATCTTCCTCAGTGGATATCTTATCGGTGCATATCCGGAGCATTTTCATCTATGGTATACTGTACAACTTTTGTACTTCATGCCTATCCGTTTCTTCACTTATCGTCAACGTGGATACCATTACTTTGTAGCCGACCTTTGCTATTTCACCAACATTTTGCTAGCACTCTCGATTTGGGTGTTTCCTGGCTCTAAGCGTCTTTTCACTGCCTCTTACTGCTTGGCGTTTGGAAATAATGCGGTGGCTATCATCATGTGGCGCAATTCACTTGTCTTCCACAGTTTCGACAAGGTCACTTCGCTGTTTATTCATATCATGCCATGCGCCACGCTGCACTGCATTGTCCACTTGTTCTCTCCTGAGAAGCAGAAAGAACGTTTCCCTGCGATTTGGACCATCAAAAATTCACCGCCAGGATCCCCAACGGCCTATGCCAACGTTGTCTCCATGCTCGCTTGGAGTACACTGCCCTACATCTTCTGGCAGATCTTGTACTACGTCTTCATTACTGTGCGCCGACGAGACAAGATCGCAGCTGGACGGCCTACCTCCTTCACTTGGTTGAAGAAGTCATATGCTCATACATGGCTGGGAAAGTTCGTACTCCGACAACCGGAGAAATTACAGGAGGCAACATTTATGTTGATCCAATATTCTTATGCCCTCCTCACAATGCTGCCCTGCCCATTATGGTTCCTTAGCCGCTGGGCATCGGCAACTTTCCTCATGGTGGTCTTCACTTGGAGTATCTACAATGGTGCCACTTACTACATTGACGTATTTGGCGTGCGTTTCCAAAAGGAGTTGGAGGCCATGAAGGCCGAGGTCGCTCAATGGCAGAATTCCCCCGAGCAGATGCCACAGTCACCTCCCTTTGGAGCTCGCCCTGATGAATCATCTGCCAACCAACTCACCCAACAGGGAGTAGCACCCTCAGCATCGACCGGCCAAATCCCATCTATCAAAGAAGTCAATCGTGAGAAGGACATGATGAAGGACACATCTTTGTCTAAAGACGATGCCAATCGGCCAATGAGCGTGGACAACATCCCACTCCTGAATGATACGCAAGCGTCTTCTTCTACGGGAGTTCAGAGACGACCAGTGAATAATACCCGAGGTCGACGAATAGATTAGATACTGTTGGCGTGAAAGGCAAGCAGGTAGAGCCTGATGATTTTACAAGCTATGTTTTATGAGTATTCCATTTGAATATTATATAATACCTACTGAGATAATGCAATTAGCCTATAGCCTTAAAATGTTCATTTTGACAAACCTGTCCATTGCCAAGAAACATAAAAAATCAGGAGTTTGAAGAATAATGCAATGTCTTATTTGAGCACCTATGTAGTAGATAATTTGGGCGGTGGGAAATATGTAAGCAGAATCACTCATCAGATTGCACGTCTTCGGGTAGTCGCATGAAGTTTGCTCAAGCTTATTGAGGAAAAAGCAATGTCTGGGGAAACCACCATGGGCTTGTGTGATACCCACGCTGAGGTCCGCCAGTCCGCTAACATTTGTTCATCTACACGTCATTCGCCGATTCAAACAAAGCTCCTTTCTATTAGCTACTCAGAAAAGAAAAGACGAGACCAAACCATCATTTTACTAATCTGTTTGTTTTCACGCGCACAAGTATGCCACTAACATCAATCGCGAAGGTCTCCAGGTTCTGCGAATAGCCGAAGGACACCAACTCGCACTCGTTTCCCACTGATTTCGAGCTGCTATGATGGATCTCGAGAACCTGCCACGAATATTCTTACTCTCTGCTCACCTGAAGCCGGAAGAACTGCACCAACTCGAAGAAGGGATTCCTACATTGACGTACGACATCAATGAGGCTGAGATCGTGGTTGGCAAGATATCGCAACCTAAGCGCGCTGAATTTGAACTAAGAAGAGCAAAGCTTAACCTCCTACCATCGGAACAAGCACAGACTCAATGTGATGAACCTTCGCTCAATGAAGTGGCGGCGGACGCGGACGATGGCCCTGACCCTAAACGGAGGAAGACCACAGAACCTGTCGTCACGGGAAGCGATACAGTCAAAGTTGTCAAGTTGGCGTGGCTCTTGGACTCGTGGGAGAAGGACGAACTACTCCCTATGGACCAGTACTTGATCTACCAGTGCAGCAAAGCACCGGTACGAGAAACAACACTTGTATCTGTACCTGTGCATATGCCCGAATCTGGACTCGAAGCTGTATACGGGCCCCCAGCCGGCTCAACTTCTCCAGAAAACAGCATCTTGGAACGGGCTCTTATTGAACAGAAAGCTCAGTCAGCGAAAACTTCACCACGCAACCGTCATAAACGGCGCCATGATGCCTCGGCGACATTATCACAGACCGCGCCGAGCCTGCTCCACCAAACTACATCGGAACATGATATCGACTTACCTGCGATGCCCGAGTTTTCAAAAACTATCTATTCTTGCCAGCGGCCCACTTACATGAACCCGCCTAACGAAGACTTTGTTAAACTTCTCATTGACATACGCACTATCCGTCAGCTCCGAGAAGACGAAGTAGGAGTAAGAGCTTACTCCACATCCATTGCTTCGGTGGCAGCGTACCCTTATCCTCTCAAGAATCCCCAAGAAGTCGCGCGATTGCCAGGTTGCGGTAATAGAATTGCCGAACTATGGCACCATTGGAAGGAAACAGGAGAGTCGGCGGAAGTACGTGAAGCCGATGCTGACCCCAAGATGTCTGTTCTGAAGGTCTTCTATAACATATGGGGCGTGGGAGCAGTTACTGCCCGCGAGTTCTACCAGAAAGGATGGCGAGATCTGGATGATTTGATAGAGTACGGATGGGCTACTCTTAGTCGCTCACAGCAAATTGGTGTCAAGTATTACAGCGAATTCCTCCTCGGGATTCCTCGAAATGAAGTCACCTCTATCGGCGCTTCCATCTTGAAATACGCTCGCAGGATCGATCCAGGATTTGAAATGGTCATTGTTGGAGGCCACAGACGAGGCAAGCAGCAATCGGGAGATGTGGACGTCGTCTTGAGTCATCGGGACGAGAATATGACACTCCACGTAATATCCAAGATTGTCGTGGCCCTCGAACAGGCTTCTCTGATCACTCATACACTCACGCTATCGACCCACAACAGTGAACGAGGACAACGTCCTTTGTCATGGAAAGGACAGAGCTCCCAGAGCTCGGGGTTTGACACACTCGATAAGGCATTGGTGGTTTGGCAAGATCCGAATCAAGAAGATGCGCCACACAGGCGAATCGACATAATCATCAGTCCATGGAAGACAGTTGGCTGCGCGGTGTTAGGCTGGAGTGGCGGGACGACTTTTCAAAGAGACCTTCGACGATACTGCAAGAATAACAGAGGGTACAAGTTCGACAGCAGTGGGATTCGACGTAGGGATAATGGTGAATGGGTTGATCTTGAAGGGACCTCAGCCGGCGATGTGGCTTCTGATATGGAAACAGCAGAACGGAGGGTTTTTGAAGGCCTTGGTCTGACGTGGCGTTCACCTGAAGAAAGGTGCACTGGCTGAATGATACAAATAAAGAGGCCAAAGTTGTGTTTTGAGAAAAGAGCAGCGCAATCGGATAAAACTCATCCGGTACGTACTATGTTGGGAGTACTGTATTACTACTGACAGCTGAGCTGACATTGACGGGAGTTGTGGATACGAGGATACGAATAGCTTGCGGAGTTGTCTTGTACCTGCATGGGACTGCGGAGTTTTGACAACCACACCATGCAACAACAGCCGACTTACATTATTCAGCACACAACAGATTGCAAAGTACTTTGGCTTCGGAGGATAGTCATACTATCTCTCCGTCGGGACTAGACTACCCTTTCTAGACCTAGAGTTTGTCCGTGGTCCGAAAACTCGCTCTTTACGAATTATGACCATGACAAGTTGGAGATCATGACGACGGATATCGGCTCGTCGGCCAGGGTCGTCGGTCAGGATGAATATGACAAGAAGAGCACTCGGCATACAGAATAGAGCGGGATACAGTAGCATTCATATCCAAGACAATTATTAATTGCCAATTGAACCCTCCGCTTGTGCTTTGGCCATGCAAGAGAACAGTTAGACAGTCGGCGTATTGTTGGTCCAGGTGGAGTTAGCTCGTCGGGGATCCATGGGCCCGCTCCGTTGTTTCAGTGCTCGGCTTTTGATGATCGTGTTGTCCCTGTGCCATTATTTAAGAGCCAGCTAGAGCCAACGACACCTTGACACTATCACTGTATCAACTCGTTCTACTTCACTTCTATCCTCAGTCCCTCCCAGAACTCAACTCCTGTCATCATGTCTCTCGTCCTTGAGCTCCCCGCTGAGTACGGGTAAGGAATAACCACTCCTCACAAGTAACCGATGAAGTCAACTAACTGGTAACTCAGCTACGTTCTCGTTGCTGCTACTTCCACCTTCTTCATCAACACTCTCCACGTTGTCCTTACCAGCAAGGCTCGCAAGCGAAGTGGTCTCAAGTACCCCATCCCCTACGCTTCCAACGAGCTGGCCGAGAAGGATGCCGAGGCCTACAAATTCAACTGCGGTAAGTAGTCGGGTTCTTGTAGTACTTTCGTCCTTGACTAACTTCCATAGCCCAGCGTTCGCACGCCAACTTCACAGAGAACCAGATTTCCTTCTTGGGTGCTCTCTTGATCTCTGGTCTGCGCTACCCTGTTGCCTCTGCTGTCCTCGGTGCTGGCTGGGCCGTTTCTCGTGTCTTCTATGCCATCGGTTACTCTGCCGGCGGTCCCAAGGGACGCATGGGGTAAGTGAACCCTCTCTTTCTACTGAAACAACATTTGTACTGACTTGAATACAGTGGTTCCATTGGCTCTGCCCTTTGCGACGTGTCGCTCAAGTTCATGGCCGCCTACACCTCCGTCATGTATGCTCTGGGCAACTAAATTGTTCAAATGTGCTTAGTCAAAAATTTAATATAATACCAGTTCTCATATCCGTACCGCTAAACTTGATAATTACTCCGTTATTTCCATAACATGCTTTTATATGTGACCATTATACGCCTGCATTTCCGCCAATTGCGACGTCATACTAATTAACTCGTTCAAAATTCATAACTTCAATCGTTATTATCACATCCTGATAGAATATTCAAGTGCTTAATATATGCCCCCCCGGTTCATCGTTTCATTCTTCTCCTTCTCAGCTCTTGGTTCATCGTTTCGTCTTCCTCAGCGGTTTCGACGTGTTGATTTTGGTTTACATTGAAATCGTCGCCCTTCACAGTCTTGGGAAACCGCTCGATTCCGTTATTGCCCAAGAGGTAGTCACCGTAGTACTTCATGGCATTGAAGAGCTCTTCTCCAGTTGGAACAATGTGCTCTTTAGGAAGCAAGAATCCGTAACTACCGGTATCTCGGAGCTTGATCTGGTAGCTGTAGTGAGCTCGCATCTCATGATAAAACCAGTCAACTGCTGAACCACCACCAGACTCGATTCGAGACCAGTATCTGCCGCCACTGTGCTCGCGTGCAGATACCGCACCTTCGCATGCTGACGCTACCGTATAAGTCTCGCCGTTCGATAGGCGTATCGATTTTGCAATACCTGCAGCCAGCTCTTCCAAATTCTCCAGGTTGGGTGGATCGATGGAACAGGTGAACGAATAAGGGTAGAGAATCTGCTGGGAGTATGAATGTAGATCAACTAAACCAACGAATCGGACGTTATTGTTCCAGGTCTGGTTGCGTGCCCAGTCAGCGATCTGGACTGCCTCGACAGCTTGGAAAGGTTTCTCTCCTCCGTAACTCTCGGAGCATGGGTCTCTTTGGACCTGCGAGCCGTCCCACTCATATCCGTAAGCGCGATCAAGATCCAATCCGCGGCAGAATTGAAGGTTGGTTTGTTGCCGTGTTTTGCGCCAGAGCCGGTCCACGTGCCAGGTGTACTCGAATCCATCAGGGTTGGCGACAGGGAGGAAGACAAGGTCGAACTCGTCCAGCAACTTCGTAATCATTCGCTCCTTGCCGTAACTAGTGATGAAGGACCATGCCAGATAGTTGACGGTGCTGGTAGATATCCACTCGCGAGCATGTGAGCCACCCATAACCATGATGGTCTTTCGTCGAGGCGCATCCGGTGCGGTTTGTGGAATTCCTACGCGTAGAGCAGGTATATCACGGCCTTCGTAGGACTTGCCAACGTTGATGTACTTGACGTAAGATGGAAACATAGCCTCAAGCAGTCGCATCCATCGCATTATAACTGGTAGAGATTGGTAGTCCTGGAAAAAGAGGTTGTCTCCGGGCGAAGAAGCAACTTTGACCACCGGTGCAAACATTTTTGGATCGGCATAGCCTGGGCTTCCACCGGTTGGAAGCGAATTATAGACAGCTGAAGCCAAGTCCGGGATCAAGACTGAGTGTGATGTATGTAGCGACTTGGGAAGCAAGCTGAGCAAAGGCCGAACCTCGTCAGCATGCAACCGAATGTCCACATAGTCGTCGGTGAAGGCCCAGACATCGAGAAATAGACGCGCGGCGGCGTCGGCTAGAGCGCCTTCTTCGTGAGAAGTGGTGACATTGAATCGAAGCACGAGCTGCTTAACATATTGTGCGCGCAACTGGTTGGGAATGGGTGGCGGGGTTACATCCTCGGTAGGTTTGCGTCCAAATACGGATTCGATAACTTTGTCGCGAAGTTTGGTAAGATAAGGAAAGACTCGAGTGTTGGACTGGATGTGACTATTGGTATTGTGGGAATCTGAGATATCGCGCTGAGGATTGATACCAACGGCGTTGGCGCTGACGTTGGAGGCCTGCAACAGCAGCAAACTCGCTGTTAGCAATTGCAGCTTCATCTTGAAGATCAGCAGCAAAGACGCAGTTGATGCGGGCGATAGACGCTAATTGACTACAGCATATGATGAAGCGAGAATGACCAACTCTCGGCTGAAGCGCCTGGTTGATGGTCGTATGTATGGAGTAGGTCGTTATGATGTAGCGTGAATATTAGAGATAAAGAAACTGACAAATGAGGGATGGCAAGTCTAATAAACTGGAGAATGCCCCGACTGCACGAAACATCCTTCTCCAGTTGGGCTGACGTGGGTCATGGCTTCCGTTTTTGGCATCCAATGACATTAATTGGGACTGAACTTCAGCCCAGCAGACATAAAAGAATAGTAGTAGTCCCATCTTATTAAGAAGATAAAACAATAAGGGACCCATATCAACGATCTTCAAGAGTTTGACTTTTCTAGATTGTGACGCGCACTGATTCGTAATACAAGAACTTTCCCCTCCAGTTTCCATGGCACCTCAGCAAATAGAAGTATTGGAAACAGGAGCATTATTTACTGCGTGGATCATGAGGCTGTAAACTACCTCTTACAGGATTGTGTACTGTACCCTAAATGGCACAGAAGACTACGAACAGCATGGATGTATCGCTGAAACCCCTTTTTCGCTACCGCTGAGAAAGTTCTTAAAGTTCTCATTGCAAGTTCAAATCTGAGGCTGACAAGAACCTAGCTCGAGGCTCTCCAATTGCATGCAGGTGTGGGATGTACATCCATGCCTTTCCTTCTTCCAATAGCCAGCCCTCCGCCATAGTTAAGCAGAAGACGCAAGACGCCCGTTTCTTTTTATCGTACGTATCCTTTTCTCAGGCTTTTCGCCCATGCTTTTGCAACGTTAATACGGGAGCCTAACGGTTACTGTATCGACAGCATCTTGCAAATTTGTAAAAATGTCTTTGGTGCCTGACATGCAATTTCGGTTCAGCTGTAGTCAATATGGGAACTCGAATGAAGAGGTACATGCAATAATGGATGTTAGATCACCAGCCACATTGATGCTCCCAGGGGCAGGCTAGCGCATGAAAGCCTTTTACAGCGGGACTTCCAGGTCGCCCTTCACTCCAATCCATCCATACGGGCTTTTCTGTGCTCCCTTACCCCTAACCAGCCACGCGCTCAAGAGCCTTAGTAGTGGGCCTGCAACACTGTCGGGTCGACTGTGCATGCCTAGGTTCCATCGTAGTCTGACAGTCCAGCCCGGCCCAGCCTATCCTAGCCTAGACGCTGCGCTACGCTCTGCTCTCTGTGTGCTGCGCTGGACCAATTGAGGCTGCAACGCCAGCCCCTGGCCTGGTGGGAAGCTCGGAAAGCGACTGCTGCTCTACTCCATCAGCACCAGTCTCGACAAAAACGTACCTACCTTACCCATTAACTGCATCAGCAAAGACCCGCGATTCAGCTTTCATACGCGACTTTTGCTCTTGTTCTACTTTCATCATCGAAATCGACGTCTAGAGTTGTCTCAATGAACGCCGCAGCGACTGTGCTCCAGTCTTCTGTTTGGTAGGTCATTAGACACCTGCCACCCTCTATTCCTACACCTCATCGATATCCCCTGGCCCTCACGACAACGCCTGGGCTGGCCGCGTACCATGATCAGTCGCTGCCATGGCTTTCCTTCGCCGCCGAGGCAACAACGCAATGTCTACTGAGAATGATACGCGCCGCCATACATTCTTTGAATCCAGCGCATCCGGCGACATCGGTCCTACGATTCCCTCCCAACCAAGTCAGAATGACGAACAAGGCGCCGGCGAATCTTTTCACCCCCCGCCATCCCACGATTTACCTCGCGACTCGACCACCAGCAGCCGTTTTGAAGATTCTCGTGAGAGCCATAGCGAGAGTCGCCCTGGGAGTCGCCCTGTAGGCCAAACCGAGAACCGCCCTGATACCCCTCCCATACAAGATGAAAACAGCAAGCACCATCGGTTTTCCGTCTTACGCTTTCGAAATGCGAGTGATTCGCAGTTATCCCTTCGAGCCAAACAGCAGTCCGAAAAAACTCCCCCAGTACCCCGACGTAAATCACCCTATGTTCCCCTTTCGTGGTCAAGAACATAGCAGCTAACTAGTGTCGATCCAGCCCCCGAAATCATTACTACCGCTCCTACAAATGAACTCAACAAGGGACCAAAGAAGAAGACATCCAGGATAAGCTTGGCAGCCAGATTTCGACGCTCGACAGATATACCCCGTGACGGCAACCATTCAAACGATAATTTCGACCGGCAGAAAACACTTCGGAAATCCTTTACTGATGACAGGCGACGTCCGCTTGCTACTCTGGACGAACCAGAATCACCACGGCCATCTACAACAGCCACTACGAGTAGTCCCAATGGAGCTATTCTAACACCCCCAAATCGACCGTCCGAGTCATCAAGGTCTGATGCGAGCTCCAATGATCGCATGTCTCACCAGAGTTCGTCTTACCAAAGCCCAGAGACGACACCCAAGAAATCGGGCCCATTTTTCAGATTACGGAGACACAAGAAGGCGCCAGAACCTCTGTTCCCATTTGCACATTTGCAACAACAAGGGAAAGCACCGCCTGGTGTCTCCTCTGCTTCTTCACTTGGTATCTCAGCTACTCCTCGACCAGCCTCGGCCCAAAGTCACAGAACAGCTGGTGGGAGCACCACAAAAGGTACAGACTTACAAACAGGTCAATCGCCTGCTACAACTTTAGTTGCTCCCGGCGGTACCCAATCGGGCCATTCCTCGCCAACTAGAGGTAATCTGTTACGAGGAAGGTCCTCTACTATGAGTTCAATGGGCCGAGACTCCAATGATGATCACCTTCTCCCACCGACGACCCGGACATCGTCTTCGACTGGCCGTAAAAGCTTTGGTGATTTGTTTGGACTGAGTCGTCTAAGGCAAAACTCTGAGCTCAGTCGTCAGGGCACGTTAACTCCCACTACGCCTGCTTCTATCGGATCCAAAAACAACTCACTTCAGCTCGCCAGAGATTCTTTTGTCCTTCCTGAACGCAATGGAGACGAGTCGCCTGCCAAATACCTTACCCGAGTCGAAGACGTTGCAAGTCGGGGTATTATTGCTGCTACTCTGTCAAAAAGTGCTGACCCATTCATGATAGCTGTCCTTCGGAGCTATATGCGCAGCTTCGGCTTCTTTGGGGACCCTATGGATATGGCAATCCGCAAGCTGCTGATGGAGGCTGAGTTACCCAAGGAGACCCAGCAGATTGATCGCTGTCTGCAGGCATTTGCAAATCGCTACCACGAGTGCAACCCGGGCATTTACTCGTCGCCCGACCAGGCTTATTTCATTGCATTTTCGTTACTCATTTTGCACACTGATGTTTTCAACAAGAACAACAAACACAAGATGCAGAAATCTGATTACTTGAAAAACACAAACGGCGAGGGCATTTTTGACGACATTCTGGAATGTTTTTATGACAACATCACTTATACCCCTTTTATTCATGTTGAGGACGATTTAGAACCAGGCGCTGATCGCTATGCTTCACACAAGTCACGACGGAAGCCTTTACTCGCATCCGCAGTCAACGACCCCGCAAAACGGGCTATGAAGGAGCCCATTGATCCCTATACCTTGATCCTCGATGGAAGTTTGGACGCGCTGAGACCCAACTTGAAAGAGGCAATGGAATTGGATGATCACTATAACTACCTAGGCACCGCACCCAGCTTGAACCTGAAGGATTTGCAAAAGACGTTCTTTAAGACGGGCGTCCTGCAGATTGTGTCAGCTCGATCTCGGCCAGATGCTTTCATGACGGAACAGACAGCCAGTAACCCTGCTGAAGCGCACCCTGGAATCGTCGATATCAAGGTTACAAAGGTCGGGTTGCTCTGGCGGAAGGACGCAAAGAAACGAAAGGCACGATCTCCTTGGCAGGAGTGGGGAGCTATTCTTACAGGGGCGCAGCTTTACTTCTTCCGAAACACGGGCTGGGTTAAGTCACTAATGCATCAGTACGATAATCATATCAAGGCAGGGAATGATGGTGTACCGTTGATTTTCAACCCCCCACTCCAAGAGTTCAAACCAGACGGCCTTATGTCTACTTATGCTGCGGTCGCTCTTCACGATGCGGCGTACAAAAAGCACAAGAATGCTTTCGTATACGTGCGTCAGGGTGGCCTAGAAGAAGTACTGCTGGCGGATAACGAAGAGGAGATGAACGACTGGCTTGCCAAACTCAATTATGCTGCCGCCTTCCGAACTACAGGCGTTAAGATGCGCGGTGTTGTAGGCGGTAATTATGATGGGCAAGGCCGTCGTGGCCTTCGCAGACTTGATAGCGCCGATGCTGCCACGCTTATTCAGACACCAACAGGCCCTGTATCCATTGCTCGAAGTCGTATAGATCACAAGATGGCCGAAGACATCTCGGCTGCTAGGCGAGACGTTATGAGGCAGAAAATTGAAGAAGCCGAGGAAAGTGTACAGGACATCCAAAAGCAGCTCGAGGACCAGCTCAGAAACGCACGGCATCTCCAAATTTTGGCACCAATTCAGCCCAGAACAAGGGAACAGCTCTTGGCCGCCGGTGCGCGAATGTCGGCACAGATCAAGTGGACTCGTCAAGACATGTGGAAATCAAAATGTCATCGCGATATCTTGATACAGGACCTCGAGGAAGAATACCCATCTGAAACATTCACTCCCACAAAACAGACGTCTAACCGACTTTCACAAAGAACTGGGTCACCAACTCCACGCGCCAATATGGGACGCAGGGGGTCTAGATCAACTCATCATTCGGGAACCGACGGCGATCCAAGAACACCTACAGAGCCTCAAGTCGTTCACCTACCCAACTCCACTGAGGTCAACGAGGACGTCGATTCTCCTTTGGACCAAGTCTTCACTACACCTCCCCAGAGCGCAACAAAGCGCCGGCACAGCTCACGCGACCTTTCCTTCGCTAGACCTGACGCTGCCAGTACGAGGCACGGATCCATATCAAGCATAGCACAGTCCCCTATTACCTCAGTGCAGCAGAATCCATTGGCGAAGCCTCTTTCACAAGATGAAAACTCCAAGTCACCACAGCGCCCTGAGGATGACAAAAGCCATGACCCTGATGCTGAAGAACAAGACTTCCTGGAACAGACAGGTCTGCTTGAACAACGGCCTAGCCGTGATCCTACGGACAAAGCAACTGTCTCAACAGGTGCGGATCCCGCTGCCGAGTCTGGTACATCCGTAGACAAGCTTGACAGAAGCAAGATTCGCCGCAGCCTTCAACGAACCCTCCGAGAAGGCGCTGGACATCTCTCTCACCATCGTGGTAGTCGCAAAGGCAAAGAAGTAGCTGGCTCAGGAGAGGAATCGGCACAAGATCATCAGCTTGCAAGAGGCACAGGAAGTTTTGTGGTTCATGGAAAGAAGGCATCGGTCATCAACTTTGGTGATGGACTGCAGAACATGACCCACGATGAAAAGATTCGCGCTCGAAAGTCCTCGCAGCAGTACGATATGCCACTATCGCCCATGCCGAGCGGCCCAGAGGATGATGATTTCCATTCTGCTATTGGTGTACCTCTTGAAAGTGAGGAAACGAGCGGGCAAACGAGTGAGCGCAGAGAATCTATCGCAAGCGCAAGCACTGCAACCGCTCGAAGCTTTCGTGAGCTACATAGAAAATACTCGACTGCGCAGGCGACTAGAAGTACGTCCGCTGGCGGCAGATTGACAATACCTTCTGATACGGAGAGTGAGGTTGCAGTCAGCTTCTCAGATGGGCGCCGAAGCCCTTTGCCTCCTATGGAGACAGAGACAGATGAGGAGACAGATGATGCCGGTGTTAAAAGAGGTCGAAGCAGCACGAAAGACGAGCTTGAAAGGCGAGACTCGGATTCTGAGTCGGTTCAAGACGTTGAGCAGCTTCCAAGCCGCCCTGTACAGCCTGTCAACGCATGAGCCTGGCATGAGATGGAAGGCTTCCAAATAACGCGTTCTCTGTATATAGCAATTTTTTCTTATGGTCATTCTGTAAATGGGCTTTGCTGGCTGAGATGGTCATATCTCATGTCTTCGTTTTAACTGTGAGTTTCAAGCAAAGTTGGGAGGTTGGTGTTGATGGCTCATGCGATGTGCCGGCCACAATGGCATATGTACTTAGATATCCTCATATTGGCCCCGGGCCTTTGTTCATTTGTGTTTTCTTGATTTTGACTTGGCAGGGCATTTAAAAGTAAGCGTTAGAATTATATATGAGTGGTTCACTTTACCTTTCACATCTAATTAGCTGGACTCAACGATACAGCATGAATCAATACGACAGTGGGCAAAGTCTGCCGAGTTTTGAGGTATCTGGAAATTTATACCTATTTGTATTTGAAAACAATTACAAGACACATGGAGATTTTAAGACTGAAACATGGCGGGTGGTGATCTGGATTGCATATAGTATGGACGCTATCCCCTACTGCCTATTTCTTGCCCTTCTTCTTCTTCTTAGATGGCGGGGGTGCCTTCTCTACCTTAACACCTCCTCCACCTACGAGGTCCAGAGTCTCTTCCTCCTTCACCATGCCACCTTGCGTAGACTCTCCGGCCTTCTTCTTCCCCTTCTTGCCCTTGGGGCGGTACGAACTTCGGTCGCGCAATGGCAACCAGCGCTCGGGGTCGGGTCTGGTACCCTCGACGTAGTTCTTGGGCAGACGGATCTTTCTACGTCTCTTACGCGTCTTGTCATCGGTTCCCGAGGGTGCTGATCGCTTTAGAGTCGAGGATCCGACCTTGCTGGCAGGGGCGGCTACGCCTGCGCTGAGCAGTGACGCAACATCGATACCTTCGACAAGCGAATCGACAGGAGGGAGGTTCTGTAGGTGTTGCTCGATGCTAGAAGGGTTGGAAGTAGCAAATGCTGCAACGAGACCAGCCTTGGCAATATCTGAGCCTTTTTGCTCGTCGCAAAGCTTTTGAAATGACCTGCCCGCGAGGTGCAAGTCTTTGGCGTTGGATGACTTCATCAGCTCGATGCCAGCCTCTTCTAGAAGGGAGCTGGCCGGGCTGGCCTGTCGGGATTGCCAGTATGTCGCTGCCTTGACAAGCTCTGCCTTTGCCGATGACTCTCGTCCTTGTACCCGTAGAAGAGTCACAGTCAGTGCGACTAGACCGGGACTAAAACGAGCGTCCAGAGGTCCCTGGGCTTCAGCCTTCTCAAGGCGCTGGAGGAATGACTCAAGGATTGACAACGCTGAACCGATGTGTCCACCATTAAGTTGTATTTGCACGATGGTCAAGGCAAGGCCAACGTCATGTGGTCTCTTCTGAGCCAGTGCTTGAAGACTTTTCAGAAGCTGGTTCCCTGTAGTCCCTTGCGAGCTTGCGGCGGCGTTGAGGACAGACAGAATGCTGATGTCGGTAGAGGTCGTCGGGTGCTGTGCCTGAGCAAGAAGAGCGTCTGTACGGCGCTTGACTCCAGCACCTTTCAAAGCTTGCAGGTCGACGGTAAGCCTGTTCCGTCGCAGGATATCAGACTGATGCTGGAAGAGCTTTGCGTCCTTCTCCTTATCTGTCAGGGTAGAAAATCTTCGCTCAACAAGATAGGGGTTCTCAGACTTGGGTTCCAAAGCTACTAAGTTGTTACCAAGAATGAGTGCCAGGTCGGGATCTTCCTCTCTGTTGTGCAGCTGTTAGCTTTAGACCTGTAGCGATGTAGCTACGAAACATACTTTGTGCTGTTTAATGAGTTGTAGAGATCAAGTGCCTCCTTAAGTTTTCCCAGCTTGGCAAAGACGTATGCCTGCTGTGCCAGGATAGGTCGCATCTCCGCTTGCTTGTCCTCTTCGGTAAGGTCATCGGAGGCATCACACAGTCTGCTAGCCCGCTGCAACAAGTCGGCAGCAGTTTCGAGGGATCCGTTGGCAATGTGCGCGCAAGCAGCGTTGTAGCACAATTCAAATCCATCAGAGTCCTGAACCACGACCTTGTCAGTAACCGAGTATCCTAGCCAGCTAGACTGGGCAAAAGCGGCTCTAAGGTTGATGCTAATGTCGTTCTCCTCATCGGCGGGGTCGGTATCAAGGAGTCGGCTGTAGATGTTGCAGGCCTCGTCAAAGCGCTCGGCACGATACGCAACCTGTGCGGCAGCATGCTGCAAGGCCCTGTTCTTTTCTAAACCTACAGACCGTAGGACTGCAGTGGCCTCATCGAGCTTTCCCGTTTTATAAAGCGCATACGCATGTTCGAGTGCAGTGCTTGACGAAAGAGTAGGGGGAGCGTCCAAGATGGCGCGCAGAGCGTCGTCGAAGCGATCAAGCTTTAGTAGTGCGATGATTCGAGTATGCTGGCTATCGAGATCGTTTTTGTTTGCCTTGATTGCGGCGTTGGCGGCCCTGAGGACCTCCTCGTGATCTTCGATGGAGGACTGGCGCAACAAGGCGCTCAGGGCGGCGGCAGGATCTTGAGGCATGATGGCGATGTTGTATTAATTAGAAGAGCACATTCATGCCTGATCTGTAGCTAGGTCGGGGCAAGCCCAGGTTTATCGATGACGATCGTCGCTTTCTGTCGTCGGCGTCGTTGAGGATTAAGACTTGATGGGATGACCTGTCGTGTGTCTTGTTCGGTCGTGGTGATGCTGGCGGGGCATTTTTGGACAGCGGGGCACAGCAATTCATCCAATTCAAAGCTGTCCATTCTGTGGCTCAAGATCCCGGCCCACTTTAATAAGTAACTTACCACCTACTGACTGCTACTGCTTAACGCAATATCCATATCAGAGAACTATTTAACTCTTAACTCTTAGAATAATCTGATAGATTGAACAGTCAGAAGTCCAGCTCTTGACTAACTACTTAGGCAGGTACCTAACCATAAATAAACCCCGACTACTGCTTTTGTAAAAGATATAATAAAGTATGCTTTCGGGTATTTAATCAGAGATACAGAAACTCAATTCGAGCAACCTCCAACCATTATAATTCATATTTCTTTGTCGTTCAAAACTTCGAACGACTCATTATTTAAGCCATACTTTTAAACACCTGTGGTACTGGAAACCCACGACTCATCACCCGTCAGCTATGATCGTTTGAAAGGATTCCACCACTTCTTCCGAGCCTGTGTCTCTTCGTTCTGGTATGAGTAGTAATGCGGATATGCAGCCATATTCTCATATGTATCGTTTGGTCTTTGTTTTGATAGACGCCGTCTGATTTCACCAAGCTTGGTGGAATCCGACTGTATGGTAACTATTGAGACTCGGTTATGAGGTATTGACTTGTCTGTTGAGTGCCGGCTTCTAGAGCTTCGCTGGCGATGACGGTCGACAGCGGAGTGTCCTCGACGACTCGTATGTTTCTTCCTCTCTGACCGTCTCTCGGATTTATTCCCAGCTTTATGGTCATGTCGATGAGATCTCTGTCGTCCCCTGCTCACAACACTACTTTGTGAGCGTGAAGCTACTCTGCTTGACAAATCATTTATGGTGCGGATTGCATCCAGACTTGAGCCATTTGAAAGTGCTAGGAGAGACTCATAGTTGAGCGGCTGCCCCTTGCCATCGCTAGATGAGCAGACGACATTGGACAGGGCTGTAGTAAGCCTTCTGACGATGCGTCTGAGGGCCGATCGTGCAGGAGCTAGGGTACACTTTAGATTCATGATACATGCAACAGTTATATGCGAAGTGCAACGCGGAAATAAAGACTCACCATCGCCCTTCTCAAAGCGAGAGCCATCTTTTGAAAGCCGTGAAGCATATGCTTTACGGATTCGTGATCGGTCAGATCGAAGTGAAGCGCTTAACGCTGATTGTGTATCACTCAACGGTCCTGCATCGTGCTTGCGGGAACCCTTTAAGAGTGATAAACATTTGGTATAAGTGTCTAGCAGCGAAGTGACTGCATTTCCGAAATTGCCCATATTTTATTAGAAATTGAGCGATATCGCAAATGCAAAGGCGCAGCTCGAGCAGGACCGAAATTACTGACTGTCAGATTACGGATAGAACTGAACTGGTCAGTTCAACTGACCTATTGTGCCTTTCCAGTTCTTAGCACGTGGGTGAAGGCAAAATGGCCAGGCGCTAACTTGCGGCTGTTACGTACAGTACAGCCAAGATCTGATCACCCAGTAAAAATGCAAGTCAAATCACGGTTGCAATATCAGACACAGAAATTGCGCAACAAAGTCACCCATCCCATGGATGCTCATGCTCATGCACAAGAAACGGTGATTGACTTCTGCTTATCAGCTGCAGCAAACCAACGGGCAACTCGCCTGCTTGCTCAATATGCAGCCCAATGAGCCCATCAACAATGGCGCTGATAAGGCGTGCCTATGGTAGTACATATCTGGAACATCAGCATCAGCAGAGGCCTCTCGACCGCATCTTGGGTACAGTTCATGCTGTATCATCTGCACAGATACTGTACTGATATACCCTCAGGGCTCAAGGACAAGAATAAACCTCCCCGCACCCACCTTCATGACTCTCTCCGGTCCCGGCGGGCCCTGTTCCGTAGCGTCGCGGGCCCTGAGGGACGGAAGGGTAAACCCGTCATTGGTTTATCATCTGTCAATGGCAGGCTTGGCGTCCTTGAGTGTGTGGGGGTGGACCAGCCAGAGACCATCTGCTAATCAGACAGTAGGTACTCTGTATCCGTACCTAGGCCGGTTATTGTCCCCTGCCCTGCACTCACTCAATCACTCAATCAACAGTGCATGCATTTGCCCAGGGCTGGGCTGGGCTGGGCTGCCCGTTCAGTTGATACAGTACCTATCTGCTGCGCCCGTTGCGAATCGCGTGGCTGCCCCCAATCTTCTGACAATGATTGCCAGTCCCTTGAGGCGTCAGGGACCAAAAGATTCGAGGACCAATAATACACAAACAAGATGTGTCCGGCACCTAGGTATATTCAGTTATCAATCAGAGATGCGTTTGAAAACGGCCAGAACCACCACACCGGTCGATATTGATACAGCATCTAGCGCCAGGATGGATCCTTTGAAGATTACAGTACACCATCCTACGGTCTAGTAATGGCCCTGCCTGGACTCTGTCCAGGTATCCGTACCTTCTCACCGCGATGGATCTTTCCCTCCACCCGCGGGCTTTGTTTGCTTTTATCCTTCTCGGTGTTACTGATTGTATGCGACTACGTACCAGGCGGCACCGTTGGCTGTACGGATACCGCGTGGGATAACGGACATGTTCAGTACGTACATACTGATACTAGGTGTCCCCCCACCCTGGCTGCTTGGTTGCCGGCTTTGCTCTGTGGTGCCAGGACCATCTGCGGGTCTCAACGTGGGAGTTGTGATGCCATCAGCCGGCCTGCGGGCGCAGTCGGTCTGAGATTTCGTGGGCGAGTTGGGAGAGACAAGAGTCAGGTCAAGACGCAAAGGCGGGTGATAACGTTGCGAATGCGGATCCTGGACAATAGATCGCTCACATCAGGTACAGTTAGCAGAACCGTACGGATACCCAAGGTACGGTTGGATACCTTATTTCGCTGCTTTCGTCGTCTTTATCACCCTGTTGACCAGGTACGTGAAAGTACCTACAGCACAATTGGTCCGGATCATACAATTCAATACTATTATCCCTGGAGCTCAAATCTCGACATTGATCGCCCTGCTTCTCTTTATCATTGAAGCCGCCCGCCTTTTTTCCTTTCCTTCTGGTTTATCTTTTTTCATATTCCTGCTCCTTTGACTACCTTATTTGGCTCCTGCTGCCACCGACCTTTCCATGGACAACTCATCTCAAACTCGATCTCGTTCTTCTATTCCCTGGTTTGACGAAACTTAATGTCACCTTCTCCCTCTCCCTCTCGTTCACCTCCACCGGCCTCGACGCCGCAGGCCGATGAGTCTCAGCTTCCCAAGGGACAATGTCGCTACATTCTCATGATACCTGAACTTAAAGGTCAGCGGTGCGGCTGCATGGGGTTTGATCATAACAAATCCCTGCCTGGTGCTACCTGTAATTGTGGCCATTTATCATGCTATCACATTGCCACTGCCGATGCGCCAACACCCAACACCAACAAGTCAGAGATCGACATAGTCAAGCAACAAGTTCAAACCTTGGAGGAAAGATTACATCGAGACGACCGTAATCGAATTTCTCACATCATCACCCGCATCAGCGCATTGGAGGAGTCGGTGGAAAAGAACAAAGAAGAAACAGACATCGAACTCAAGAGCTCATATCGCAATGCAGCCTCCGCATGGGCGCTTGTTGCACAATTACAGCAACAAATGAAGAGCATGGAACAAGTCATGAAGTCCCAGGTTGAACAGATGGCAAGGACAACAAGAGAGATGGAAGACCTGCGTAACCGTCAACTAGAGCTGCTAGACAGCGATGAAGTTTTGGAGGAACGCATTGAAAAGTTGGAAAGCGTCGAGCCTGTACTATCGCCGTCTCAAGATTCTGGCCCGTTTGATGCGCTTTCCGGCATTATACGCCCGTCGCCCACAACTACCATGACCTCACAGAAGACATTGGACTCATCACACGGCCTTTCAGGTACACAATCTGCAGTCGCCGAACCTTCAAGGTCGTGGACTGTACACGTATCTCTGATGCCTTCCAAGGACACCCCGTTTCCATTTGAGAAGGATACAACCTCATATAAAAGGTGTCTCTCCCGTGGACTCCACCGTATGCTGGCGGTCGAGGGCGACGACGTTCAATCATTCACGAATGCTGTATCACAAGCTTTTGAACCCTTGCTCAAAGGAAGACCATGGGTGCCCCTCCAAGCAAAACTTTGTGACGCTGAACGTCTGCAAGGGTTGCCCATGCTGCGGCCTTTAGATCCTAGGCTCCTTCAAGGCCGATATGACCAGGCTTTTCTCAAACAACACTGTGCCGTACTGGATGCTGGAGGCAAAATCGACTCTCTGTATATCGCAATGGAACACGACTCCCTATCATGGAATTTTCTCAGACGGTCACCTGTCTATCTCCAAGGGTTAGAAGCAGCCTGGACATATGACAGCGTGCTCGACAAAAAGGACGAACCAGATATTTTGAGGGACCACAAAGGCGAAGAAGGAGACGAATCACCACCTGCTGGCAACATTGTTGGAGCTTTGACAAGTCTCAAGCGTGGCATGTCCGATATTACGTGCCCATCACTCGATGACACCGAACTGCCAATGGTTAAAATGCCACGAACATGCAAAACTTCACCGTTGGAGATACGACGGGGAGTAGAAACTGCACGATAGAAGAAGTATCTGGACAAAACTTGATGAAAGCGATTTCTTTTTTTAGGGGGCATAAAATGGGCGTTATTCTTTTAACTGGGAGAGTTATTGATACCTCGGGCATAGCACTGGCCCATTCTTGTCAAAAGAACGCGCCTGCTTTACTGGTCTGCTTTGGAATAGAAGGATAGGATTAGAAGATAGAGAAAGACACGTTTTACGCTCAGATTTCGTTACATTATTGTTATATGAGAGTGTTATGATGTTGATGACACTATGAGAATGTGAAGCCTGGGCTTATGTTTCGTTGAAGGTTACATATACTAAAAATGAATACAGATAAAGAAACATTATCTCAAGCCCCGTGTAACACTTTACTGGACACAAAAATAAGCAGGTCCCTGGCCTTGTATGATTGTACAACATCATCTGTATAGACCTTACTTATATTCATGGAGATATAGCGAAACCACTACGAGATCTTGTGTAGCCATGACTGGTAGAAAGCGCCAGCCGAACACCCTTTGCGATCGATTTTAATCCACATGGGAAAGAACCCGCAAAACTGTGTTCGATACTGGTGAAATGCTCTGTGTATAGATGGACGCTGGAAGCTTCTCGGCCGTGACAGGATCAGCGTAGTAGACTCTTGCAACAGAGCTTATTTCAGCACGAATTCAATTTTCGGCGCACTGGCAGCATGAAAGTTGAAACAATAGTAACTTCAAGGAACTCAAAGTGTAAATCTGCTCGTCCCAAAAGATTCAGGGTAAGTTATCTTGGTGATTTAGATATTCTTGCATATAGACCCTGAAAATAGGTGTTGCCGTTTTGGGAAAGTGCCCGCCTAGAAGCTGAGGGTTCTAGTGCATCTTATGTTCCTCTGAATCACTGCTGGCCATCGACAGATGAAAAGTAAGATATTCATCTGTGAATTTAATACTCACTACTAGTAATGGGATAATAAGAGTTTCATCGCTTGATGATTCAATCTAGCCTGGCTACTTCCAAGACAGATACTTGGTATATATACTAAATCATATAAAGTCTGCCACTTCACTTGCACCGTCAGGATATGCAGATCTAGCGGCGGAGCAGCCGGCCACTTAACCTCCGGTCAGTCGAGCCCATGCAGCGCTAGAGATAGAGAGCATCAACCGCAAACCGACTTTCACTCTTCCTTTCAACGTTTCTCCCTCCGCCATCAGCTCACCGATATCATTGCGCTACGAACTCTTGCACTTGAACATTCCTCTACTCAACATAGTACAACACTTCAGTCAGCACATCGGCTACTAGCACTTATCTACGGCCCCGACTCTTCGCCGACTATGGATCTCGACATTGAAATGGACGACGCCGTCGAGACGGTTCACGACGTACCCGTTGCCGATCTCGGTCGCGACGATATTCTCGTAAGGCATACACTTAAACTGTCCGATCGCGACCCGAATTGACCTCCTTTTCAGCAGCCCGACGAGCCTGAGGAGCCTGGCGAGGTGGCTGAGGATGAGCCTGCGACCGACGAATCCAAGACTCTCATGCCTACCAAAATTCACATCAAGGGCGTCGATTCTCTACACACATCTGATATCAAGGCCTACGTCAAGTCTCACTTTGGCGACGTTGACCGAGTCGAATGGATCGATGATTCTTCTGCCAACCTGCTTTTCCCATCCGAACCTACAGCCCGCGATGCCATTGTTGCTCTAAGCTCTGTTCCAGTAGCAGATGCTACAGCGCTAGCTATAGGAGAAACACTACCCGCGAAGCCCTTCGAAGCAAGGCCTGAAATCTCCCTCCAGGTGCGCTTTGCTGTCTTGAGCGACAGGAAAGAGGCAGGCGCTGCCCTGCGGAGTCGCTACTACCTCCTGCATCCTGAGCACGACCCTGAAGAGCGACGACGAAAGAACCAGGACAATCGGTCTCGATACAGGGAACGCGATGGGGGATACCGTGGGGATGGTGGCCGACGACGACGCGCTTCAGATGACGATGTCGAGACATATGAGGCCAGCATGTACGACGATGCGCCCCGTCCAGCACGAAGAAGACGTGACTCCGATATCGAGGAACGACCACGTTCATATGCTCGCGAAAACCAAGGCAAGGAGCTCTTCTCTGGACGAAGGTCACAACGTGACCGATCAGCATCCCCTAGGCGCGACGGTGACGGCGATGACTTGATGGGCGACCGTGCAAGCTCATCCGGAAACAGAGTGAGGGCTCGCGATCTCAGGGATCGCATATCAGGTGGAAACAATTCCAAGGAGCTTTTCCCTACCAAGAAGTCCATCAAGCAATTCGGCGGAGGAAACCTGGATACCCTAGAGCGAGCTATAGGATCAGCTCGACTTAAGGATGAGGACCGCCCCAAGGTTGTAAACGTGCCTAACGCGCGAGGAGACGGCAACTCATTCAACATCCGTGGCATGGCGAATCAGCAAGGAAACGGTGAAGGATTTGCGATCAAGGGCGCCGCAGGAGCCAATGCGCGGGAGCTGTTCCCTACAAAATTGGGTGGAAACAACGCTGGCAAGGAATTGTTTGGAGAGGGAGGAAGATCGAAGACACGCCAGAAGGCCGAGGATCTCTTTTCCTGATCCAGAGATGATTTCGAGTATAGTATACTACAGAAACCTCACAGGCTGGGCCAAGCATTCACCAGTAGTGAGTTTGGGTGCATGGTGAATCGAAATAGTTTGAACGACACCACGGCGCAATAAAACAAAACACATCAAGGGAAAGCAGGAATATCCTAAATTAAACAACATATTAAGGCGTTTTCATATAATAGACTGGATCGTTCGTATCATGAGCTTACCACCACTTCTCTAACATAACTCTCTCCTTATCCATCCCGCCGTCTTTTGTTAAACCTTCCACGATCTCATCTGTCATCATCGCCGGTCCACATACGTATACAACAGTGTCTTTCTCTTGCCCGTCGATGGCCTCTCTCACATCCTGAATCGTGAACCTTCTTTTCAACACGTCGAATCCAGTCTTGTCTTCACGTTCTTCATATCCTCCAGTATTAAATACCTTCAGATCACCACTGAGTTTCTTCTCTTCAAACCACGTTGTAATCCTCTCCAAGAAAAGAATACCTGACAATCCCTGCGAAGGTGTCTTCGTAGAGTAAAGGACCCTCACATCAAGTTCGTAGCCCTCTTCTGCTATATGTCCCAACATGCTGGCAAAAGGGTTAATGCCTACACCTCCTGCTACAAACACCACGCGGCGTATCTCATCGAGAGGTATTTCCGATGGAGGGAAGATAAAACTGCCTCCCACGCGTACCTGCAGTTTGGATCCCAGGATCTCAGATGGCGGTTGCCAGAGCCATGCTGCAGGAGGATTGGCAGGAGATTCTTGAACTGCCAATTCGAGGTATGGATTCTCGGGTTCCATTGCTGCCTTTGGAGAGGATGTAATGGTGAAGCCGCCTGGTTTTGGGTTATTGGGAACATATGTATCTAGCCATTGACCAGCTGAGAACTTCGATCCTTAGTATCATTCTTAAACACAAGTCCCGGATGGGTGTGACCGTAAAATATGGGCTACATACCTTGACTGGTCCTGATTCAAGTTGCAGACGAAACAACCGAATTCGCTCATTGATTTGGTCTATACAACCCAATCTTACATCGAGAAGGCTCTGAGCGTCATGATATTAGCTGAAGCTCCAGTTGGTTGATATGGAAAGACCGACTTCATCTCGTGGCTCTTGAGCTGTTCTTTCTAGATGGCTGGTTCGTTGAGTTGACATGACTCTTGCATTCAAGAGCTTTGGTTTAATGGTAAGTCTTGTTCTTTGGCTAAAGAGATGAACGCAATTGCTCAGCGGTTTCAGGTTCGTAGCCATAGGATCACTTATAGCTAGTTTGACAAGAAGTTATTGAATATGCATTCTCAGAAAGTCATGGGTGTAATAGTAGCTTCTATAGTGGGGTTGACAAGTCGTAGATGGCATCCATCACCATCCAGCTGAGTCAGGCAATCATGATCAGGACTTATTTGAGTTGCCTATACCATAACACTCAACACCTAAATGACATTGCACGCTTGGAAAACTATGATATTGAAAGATTTTGTGTTGAAGGGAGCAATGCGTTAACGTCCGTTTTGGGATTCTATCTTCTCCAAGTCCAGCTCCTATAGTCTACAATCATGACTTAAATTACCATCTCCAAGGCACACGCCGCCTTTTGTTACTCATGCATCTGTCAAACCAAGCAAACTTTAAGACTCTGTCCAGTTGACTTGATCCATAACCTGTCCAGCAGTTGGGTGCGTGTATCCAATTCTCAGTCGGAGGCGCAGAGGCTGCAGCAATTGTTAGCATATATAACTCACAAAAGATAAAAATATCACTTACCCCCTTGCAGCCGGACACTCGCATCATCTGGCTAGCTTCAGCTCCAGGTCCGAGGTCCGATGAAGAAATGCTCAGCAGTTGCAACTTCTGAGACTTAGGAACGGCAGCTTGCAGAGACACATTCGATAAGGTTGCTGAGCCAGAGGTGTTGACGAACTTGGCAGTGGCCTGGATCATACCCTCAGCATTGCGCTGAATCTGGAATGTCACATTGAGATCATTAGAATCGTAGCAAGGGATGCCAGCAGGTGCTTGTGGTGCTTGGGGCTGAGGCGCTGCTGCCCCACCGGACATGAGGTCGAAGTTTGAGGATGGAGGAGCGGGAGACGCTGTGGAAGATCCAGGGGCAGATCCAAACATATCCATGATGCTTGACATATTGGATTGCGGTGGCGGCGAAGTTGCGGATGGGGGAGGAGAGGAGGTGCCACCCAGAATATCAGCGAGGAGGTCAGTGTTGGTTGTCGAAGAAGCCGCTGGCGTGGCAGCGGGTGCGTCCATAATGTCGAGAAGATCTTGTTCTGTTGGCTTAATGACTCTCGATTTCCTGTTGGCGGCCTTCTTTTTGGTAGGCGCGGAACCAAGCACACGGGACTCCTCCTTGATTTGTGGGATGGGCATCTTCTCAAGCACACCACGTCGGACCTGATCAAAGCTGAAGAGGTTGCCATACTCGACCACTCGCTGCTGAATCTCGATATCAAGACTGGTTTGGTGGTACTGCAAGAGTCGTCGAATCTTCTCGATTTGAGCCGGGTCAGAAAAGCGAGTTGTCAGCTTCATCAGCGCTGTCACGATGTACTCTGTAGAAACCTGGGTGGCGTATGCGCTGTTGAGAATGAGGGAGAAAAGGTCAACGACCTCATGCTCCTTGACTTCCTGGACGAGCTCCTCTTCCTCGTACTGTCCGCCCTTGAGCAGAGCGTCTGCGTACTCGCCAATACACCAGGCGCCTGCTTGTGTGAGACTCTCCTGAGTAATGTCCTTCTTGAGATTAATGTATAGCTTTTGCACGGCATAAGTCTGCAATTCGGGAGTAGTAGCGACCAGTCGGACGAAGGACGACAGAATTTGCTCCTTAACGTAGTTACCCGCCAGAGACAAAACGCGAAGCATTGTGTCAAAGTGCCATCGTTTGTTGGGCGAGAACTTGTCAGCGGCAATACCAATCTGGCTGGTCATTGTTGGCTTGAATTCGTTATCGGCAACCTCCAGGAAAGCCAAAAGCTCCCGAATCAAAACTCGGACATTGCTCTCGTTAATCAGGGTAAAGCTCAGATCCAGAGCTCGACGTCGGATACTGATATCGGGGTCTCGTAGACATTCTAAGATTGTGTTTCGATGTCTCTGAACAGCGTTGGGCTCAATGGCGACGACCTTGATCAAAGTGTTGAGAGCCACATATCGAATGTTGTTATCGCGGTTGGTAAGGAACTTGCCCAGGATGTTGACGCCAAGAACTCTCAAACCAGAATCGGCCTCAATGTCGAGAATGGTGCGCACAGCTTCGTACAGAATCGAGTTACCAACGTTCTTGGATGATTCGGTGTTGGTAGCAACCTGCGCCAAAATATCGTTAATCTGTTCACTGGTCTCGGCGTCGCCAACAGCCAAGACTCTCAGCAAGTGTAGAATCTTAACCTGTAAGAAGGGGTCGGTAATGCCGGTAACATCGTGTTCGGGTGCGTAGCCTGAAGTTGCGAGCCCTTTCAAAGTCCTGACAAGTCCCGGAACGAACGATCTGAACTTCTCAACAATTCCTTCCTCTCCGCCCTCCTCTTCGTCTGCTTCGCAAAGGCTTGTAACCAGGGTTAGACCACAGAGCAAAACGCCATGGTTTCTATCGGACAGAAGCTGTGTTGCCTTATCAACAAAGTGTTCTTGCAAATCAGGAACCTTGCGACATATGCGCATGGCGCACAGAGCCGCCTTTCTTCGAATATAGGGGTTGGCGGTAGCGACAAGAGTTTCGATTTCGGGGAAGAGATCTCGTGACATCTCAATCGAGGCGATGTTTCCTAGCGTGCAGAGCGCAAGACCGACAACATATTGGTTGGAATGTCCAAGATCACTAGACTTAAGTAAGCACCGTGTTACTTGGGAGGACGGTAGAAGACGCATACTTCTTGAGCGAGTTGGTGACTAGTGTCAAGACTTCTTGGTTCTCATCCAACAGTAAACTTGTAGCCAGGTGTCCAAGACGTTTGTCGGCAAATCGAGGGGAGGCCAGAAGCTTCAAGCATTCGATCTGACCAAAATGGGTTCGTTCGCCGAGTGTGAAGAGGTAGAGTAGCTTAGCGACATTGTTGCGACTGCGACACTATCAGTACATAGTATTCTCCAACAACAAAAACATTGGAACCGACCGAACGTTGGGGTCGTGGCTCTCTTCTCGAAAGCTGGCGCGGATGGCAGCGCTCTCCTTCTGAATGACAGCACGCTCGTCGGCGATCGTCTTGGCCGCTCGCACGTTTCGGATAAACTGCTTGACTATTCGAAAGAAAATGAAAAGTAAGTCTCTGGAGTGTTTTATCGTAGGGAGAGCTCGTCGGTGCCGTACGGGAACTCATCTTGTGAGGACAGACCCAGCGGTTGGGCCGTCTTGTCGATGCTTATCCAGGGGTTATGAGGGAGGCGTAAGAGGTTCGTCGAAGCTCAATCAGCTCTTGTAGAGAGCAATGAGCTAGATAACGAATCGCTTATATGCAACTCAAGACGAAGAGTTACTCGGATCAGGGGGGTTCGGTCGGAGCCTGTTCAAGGCAGCTGTATAAAGAGAAGCTAAGTTGCGCCGTCACAGGTCAGGGTCAGTCTCAGTGACGGTGTGCTGTCTGTATCTGTACTGCTTGCTGCTTGCGTTGCGGCGGACACCTTTCAGACGTGGGGCACAGACTCCACGCCCGCCGAATTGGAATTCCTTGGCGGTACGTACTTCAAGGTTAGTCATCAGCCAAGGAATGTTAAGCTTCCATCATAATGCTTCTATAATTAATTGCCTACTCAGATACACTCAATAGCGATTTAACAAGAGTAAATGGATATCATAATACGATAATGATTTATTTCGTGTACGCATGAATTATTGACTAGGTACATATAAGAATACAAGCAGAGTCGCTCCCACAACATTGAACCTCTTTCCCTCTTCACTTCACATCCCTTACCTATTTTACATCGGGACGACTCAGAGGATGTGCTTCAGTGTTCAACACCCACTGATCGAGACTGATCACATCGAACTCGCTAAAGATGAGATAGAAGTACTTGAGCGTCTCGGCCAACCAGAAACTCTCCATGCTATCCATCTTGGTAGGCTCTGCTTTCGTAACATCGTCGATTGCCGAAGCTGCGATCTCGGTTCGAGTCACCTTCTCGATTGTTTCAAACATCGTCCAGGCCTTCTCCATCCACTGCGCGTCGCCAGTGGTTCGATACATGATGAAGATGGACTCGATAGCCTCTGGTCTTAGGATATACCGGGGGTCACCCACATCAATCATGCCCTTGGGAAGATTATGCTTCTTAACAACATCCTGGACGGTAGGCTGCTTCCATTCAGGCCCTTTCATCGGCGGGGCCTTAAAGTCGGGGGCATGTTGCTCTTCGATGGCCTTGAGCCATCGTTCCTCATTCCAGGTGCAGTCGCCCGTCTCTTTGACATCAACGCTACCGCACGAGATGAAACTAAAGACCTCGGGACCAAGGCCAGACTGAGTTGCCTGATAAGCCCAGATACAGCCGTCCGTGAGTTGAGTGGCAATATCCAGATCAGCTGGGCGGTTGAATATCTTGCTAGCCATTGCCATCATACCACCAGCGAAGCAGGTCAGGTGCTGACCTCGTGCTACAGATGTGTACTTGGGTTGTTGTCCTGGCAAATCTGTTACCTGGTAATCGCCAGAAATAATGATTGGTTTTTCCGAAGGAGTCAATGCCCTCTTGAAAAGGTGCTTGATGGCGACAGGGATGAAGTTCTCGTACAATCGACGGGGCTGCTCTAGTTGACCACCAAGAAGAAGATACCATTTCGGAAGGTATTCGTACAGCGAATCGGACATACCACCGAGGGTAAATTCTGAGCCAGCATGGAATGCTGGTGTGTAGGCATCAACAACCACTGGCCACATGCCAGGAAGGCGAGTGTTGAGTTGCGTAGACTCAAACTGGTCTCCGAGCCTCTTGACAGCGTCATAGTATTTCATGTTGCCAGTGATTTGAGACAGTTTGGTGAGCTCTAGACTCATAGAGCCCAACTCAGAAACAAGAGTCTCTCGAGATGCAGACTGAGATTGGCCATAGGCGGCTCTAAGCATGTGTAAGTAAATGTACAATGATCATCGACTCGCAAAAACTTACTTCTTCCACTCCAATCGAGTGATGGGTATATGGTTGGGCGTATCAAAAGCCACCATGAGGAGGTCTCCCAGCTCAATAGCCTTCTTGAGCAGAATAGGATGAGATTTCCCACTCAACTCATATGCCGACAAGAAACCACCCAAGTAGCGAATGGTGGTCTCAAATATGTTAATAGTAGTCATATGGCTTCGAGTGAAATCGATACCATCTGCGGCGGCGACAGCCTTTGTGAACTCCTCCTTCATATCCATGATCCATAGGGTATCTAGGGCGTCGACCAGTGTCGCAGCCCAGCCGCCAAAAGGATCCTTAGACTTGCCAGTCAATGGAGTCACTTCATCATGCATCCATGCGTAATTGGAATACCCGCTCCAGCTGTGTTCAAAGCTCTTCTTGACAGCGGCAAGACGTGTTAATCGCAGTTCCTTTGCTGCAGCGCTCTCAACTGGCGCATTGGCTTGAATCTTGGGGACCTTGACATCTCCCTTAATCTCAGGTAATACGGCCAGTTTCTCTTGAGGAATTGGATATTTGGGCAGTCTTCGCGTCCAAGCATTGGCGCCTTTCCCGGCAAGAGGATCATTGTTGCCAAACAAAGAGAAAGCCGAATCCGAACTTGACCAGTACCAGAAGCAAAAGATCCAAATGAAGACGACACCAGCCCAGAGACGGCCTCGCCGTAAGGGACCCGCCATTGTGTAACGTACAGGTAGTAGTGAGTGAACCGAGTCAAAGGTTACCAGAAGAGGGTGAAGAACAAGCTGATACTTCACATCTCAGACCCAAGAGGGCGGAAAGAGCGATGGGAATCCAAGCTGTTGAGGTGATGTGTGTCGTGTTGGGTTCCAATGTCCAGAAAAGTCGGCGATGTGTCTCGACTCAAAGGGGGACTAAGCCTCCAATTCTAGCTGTAGACACAGGACCGAGAGCCGTTGAGCCTGAATGACAGCGCTTGATGTTACAAAACACACTTTCTTCCTCTTAGAAAGAAGGAAAGTAAAGAAAACCGAAGACTTTTAAGGATAGGTGGTTTTGGTTGATGAAGGGCGATTGTAATTCATACTCTCAACCAAAAGAGTATAATGACAGCACAAACTAATGACTGACTTTGTCCAGTCTGTCTGTGGCTGACCTGACCTGCATATAGGTGAGAAGGGGACATTGGATGGATTGGATGGAAATTGCGGCGGGCGTCCAGCTAACACGTGAAGGAATGAATGCGCCGTATCCATACCTCGACATAATACATTGGATCTGACAGGGTCCAGTCCCTTATTCACTGTAAACTACTTCCCTTCGCTTGGCATTCATCCGACACTGAGGTAACTCATTAAAGGATTTGTACCTCGGCCATTACCTATTGTGTCACCTGGACTACTAACCCAGGTTCCTATCTTGTGGTAACATCTCGTGGCGCAGGACAAAGGTAAACTTGACAAGCTTTGTCAAACAGACCTAGCTGAGCAGTAGTACTTGTGCCTTAGTACCTAAGATCATTCGTATCGACAGAATGTTTCTGCTCAACAGAGGATCCTTTGTATGGATCCTGGCAGGTCCCTAGATTAGGTCCCTCCCTTGCAAACCCACAATTAGATTAGACGATGGATCGTGAGCTGGCATGGCATGGTCTAACAGAATGCCTAGGCCTCGAGCTTTGGGGCCTTGAGAGTTGGGGGTCATCCAATTAGAAAACCGATCCTTTCGGGGTCGGCTCCCTCAGTAGAAACATTCAATACCCCTGAAAACACTAACATCAGCAACCCCCTTGACATGACCATTCGCAACTCTGGATAAGCAAAATGGCCGTCCACTGCTAATGCTGTTTCATGGAGCGCTAATGCATACTCAGATTGACACAGTGCATACATGTCGATTCACTACGATCGCATTCTTATCTAATCTAATGATACTGAATGGGTTGGTTCGTCCTTGGGTGAGGCGCACACCAGCTGGGTGGGCTGTAGGGCTGATTGCAGCCTTGTAGGTCGCTCGTTACATGGTTCCCGGGCCTCGTCCAGCCGTGAAATTGGCTGAAACGTCGCATTTTGTTTGACCGCCTTACTCGGCTTGCCCCTCACCGAAGTCGCATGGTTGTGCTTACAGATGCGCATAGATCATGGAAAAAGTCATCAGTTTAACTATGTCACCCAATAGGAGCGCCTGCCAGAAGGAAAATATCTCAGTTGCTAGAAGCCATGCAGGTGAAATCCATGGCACAACATCCGTGGAGACATCAAGTACCACGGAAAGCAAGCCACTACAATTCATAACTTCATCCCAACCAGTCCAAAATGCCCTCCATATCGCTTGAATTTTTGCCACTAAGTAAACAAGATTCGACGTATTCCCCTTGATGCCATACCTATTCGTCACTCATCGGCTAGCGAGAGTATAAAGACGGCAAGTCGGGAGAGTTGGTCGACGAGGTATCAGAATATTAATCCCTTATTTTTGCATCATAAGCTGGACGAACTCGTTGTCTGTAGATTCTGTTAGCAACAGGATGCCTGTGAAATTTTGGTTATCCAATGCAAAAGCAACTCACAGTCGATTCGGCCATCACCGTCCTGGTCAGCCTCCCGGATCATCTCATCAACCTCATCATCAGTGAGCTTCTCGCCGATGGAGGTCATGACATGTCGGAGTTCGGCAGCGGAGATAAAGCCGTTGTTGTCACGGTCGAACACCTTGAAAGCCTCGCGGATCTCCTCCTCGGAGTCGGTGTCCTTCATCTTGCGCGCCATCATGGTAAGGAACTCTTTTCTCCATTATCAGTGTCATAATTCTTCAGCCGATCTAAGAAATAACGCACCAGGGAAGTCGATAGTGCCGTTGTTGTCGGCGTCAACCTCGTTGATCATGTCCTGAAGCTCGGACTCAGAGGGGTTCTGACCGAGAGAGCGCATGACGGTGCCGAGCTCCTTAGTAGTGATCTGGCCTGTAACAAATGTTTAGCCCATGTTCATCAAGAACGTAGCCCTCGAAAGAATGTGAATGCGAGTATGGACAATGATTCGATGCTTTATTTGGGTTTATTTGGATATCGGCTCGGGCCAGTGAAGGCTCGTCGCGAAAAAGGGGAGCATAACTCACCATCGCCATCCTTGTCCTGAACAATGAAATTAGCAACAACTTCAGCGAAAGGTGTAGGTGCGCCTAGATTGACTTACAAAGAGGGAGAACGCCTCCTTGAACTCGGAAACTTGCTCTTCGGTAAGTGAGTCGGCCTACAGTAACAAAATTGTCAGTCCAAGATCCCGAAACAAGGCATCGCCAGAACCATCAGATACGATAGAGCCCCTCTCCCAAGCAGCCGCGGGGTTCAATGCTCTTCAGCCATAACGCCACAGCAAGAGAACAAGGCGGTCAGATAAGAGGGGATAGATACGCAGCTGGACCAAGCAACAAGAGTGCCCAACTTACCATGTTGATTGTGTATGTTAGAAGAAGTGTATAAGTAAAAAGGTGGATGTCGATCGCACGAGAATGAAGAAGATGACTTGGATAAGTTCTGGTCGCGGGGTCTCGAGCCAAGAATGTCGGACCTTTTCGTTTGGTTGGAGCTTCCGTGGGGAGAGCCAGAGGTCAGGGGGAAATAGGTACCTAAGGCAGGAAATGGCATAGGTCGACAAAGGGAATGAAATAATGCACTGTGTTTCGCATGCTCAGGGAGTCTGTGATTCACTGCTTAGTGGTTGGAGCTTTCCATAACTGCCCTCGCACACTGTGCGGCTTCCTCCCGAGTCCGTTTCAGGCGGACCTTTGGTTCGCTGCAAGTTCCCGCTGACCTGTTCCACGGATAGTACCTACTATTTCCTGAGAAGCCCCCCAAATGTACCTAAGTTAGAGGTACCTGCCCTGCCCAGAGAAGGGAGACTGGAGACTGGAGACCTCCTCCATTTTGGCTAACGGGTCCAGGAGTGGACTTTCCGCTGTCCAGTGTCGTAATGCTTTCATCCCTCCCAGTCCCAGCTGAAGCCAGCTAGTAGCTATCAACCACGACCAGCATCGCATCGCATCTCACCTCGACTAACCAAGATCCTCACACTCATGACGACAATACCTTCACCAACAATCTCATGACGCTCGTCACAGCGATTCAATCGATTCCCTGAACTCCCATCCTATTTCTTATATTGACGATCGATACGATCTCGCATTTGCGTCCGCCATGTGGCGAGACCGCACCAACCTGTACGATGCCTATTCTTGCCTACTCCCACCATATCGCGACTTTGTGCTGATGCAGATTTACAATAAAGATACATTTCATATCGGCAGTCTTACGCGCATCATCCCACCCCGCGAAGACCTTACGGGCCGGGCACCACTGGTTCTGGCCTCCTTGCCGCCGACAACAACTATAACAGTAGCTATCCGAACGATGACCGTCGTGGCCTTCTCTCGGCTGGTGCCTTTGAGGATGACGGCGATGCCGTCATTGAGATGGACGTGTTGCCCCCTCGATGGGCTGAAGTTTCCGACACCATTACCGACTTGCTCGCCAACATTGCGACAAAGGGCCAGAGCTTAGATAAGCTGCATCAGAAACATGTGTTGCCTGGTTTCAATGACGAAGAAGCGAAGAAGGCCGAGGAGGCGCAAATAGAGGACCTTACTCAGGAGATTACCAAAGGGTTTCACGACTGCCATCGCTGTATACAGAAGATTGAACAGATGGTGCGCGATTCCCAGCATGCCGGTACTATAACAAGGGCAGAAGAGACTATGGCCAAGAACATTCAAATCTCGCTGGCTTCGCGGGTCCAAGATGCAAGTGCTAGCTTCAGAAAGAAGCAAAGTGCATATTTAAAAAGTAGATCTCTTCCCAATCGTTGTCAGAATCGTTCTAACGTGTATTCGCAGAGCTTCGTGGAATGGGTGTATTTGGCGCTCTAAGTCCCGGAGAGAGATCTAGCACCCCTCAACCTGGCTCATATTTTGACCCCTCTCTACAAGAATCAGATGCGGACAGATCGTTTTCTCAGTCAACTCTTCAAGCAACTCAACAGAGGGTGCGTCATTCCAATGACGCGGCCATTGCTCAACGAGAGCGGGAGATTGAGGACATTGCCCAAGGCATTATCGAATTATCCGATCTTTTCCGGGATCTCCAGAACATGGTCATTGACCAAGGCACGATGCTGGATCGTATAGACTATAATGTTGAGCGCATGAACACCGATGTCAAGGCCGCTGATAAGGAGCTAGTGGTTGCTTCAGGCTACCAACGGAAAACCACCAAACGCAAAATTATCCTCCTTCTCATTCTTATCATATTTGGTATGATCATATTGTTGGTGATCAAGCCCAAGAAACACGAGTAGAAGGCGTTTAAACATCAAAATCTCAGGAATACCCGCTGACTCTTGGAGCTCACACCAGAAGAGCTTGGAGGCAGCCTCTATTATAAACATGTACCAATACAATGTAAGGCAGGTGATGAAGGGACATGCCCTTTGATGTGTTTGGAGTCCCGGCTTTTTGTCTATTTTTATATTATACTAGTTAGAATCATTTATTATGGTAAATCGTGGCGTAGACAGTACGTCAAGCAGTTTCGTCTTTATCATAACTCTTCTCGAAAAGCCTAGGAAAGCTCTTCCATAACTTTGGCTTCATATTCTCCATCTCCATAGCCAGCTGACCCTCGCTGGGTAGTATTGGAGAGCCCCATGCTTCTTCCACCAACTGCTTTATACTTGCAGGTGATAGCTCCCTGTCGTCTCGCGCCCTTGCCCTTGTCCTCCCTGGTAGGTGTGCCACAGCGAGACGTCTGATGATCGCACTTCGCACCACCTGCTGGTCGATATAGACGCCTTTCTGCTTCAGCAAAGCCAAGAGACGGACACCACATGCTAGGTCAAAGTCGGTGATTCCTCCAGTTTTGGTCTTCGCAACCGAAAGTTTGGACGGCTCTTGTCCCAGTGTCTTGTCAAATCCCCATCGAAGTATAGCACGTTGCAGACTGACGTCAAAAATCTTCTGTATGGGATGTTGCCTGTTGGTAAAAGGCAGGTCGGCCGGTATACAAAACACATATTCGGGACTACTGTCCTTTTTTGAGGGGTTTCCGGTCTTGGTAACAGACTTCGGTTGTGTTTGAGATTGTGTTGAAAGGGCATTTGATGCCTCTTCGGCCAAGCCTATTTCCGCTCTCCAAAATTCTTCTCTGAAATGACTTTTCTTCTTCTTGCCGTCAGGGAACGAGCGATACTCGGCCCATCCCACAGAATCATTGCCGGGTATCTTGGGTTCCGACTTGGGTTTGGGTGGCATATCGCACCGGTGTACTGGAATCAGCCCTCCAGGGTCCGCGCTGTATAATTCGCATATCTCATGGCTTAACTCCTCAAGCTCGTTCAAGCGTCCTAAACGTCCAAGGTTGTAGAGCAGAATTTGCCAATACTTGATAGGGATAGCGACCCCATGCCGTGCTACACGTAGCGACAAATGGATAGCTCTGTCAAGCTGAGGATCCTCCTGGTAGCCGTGAAATTTTTGTTTGCTGGTTTTGGGATGATACCAGATACCCTCAAACACGCGGTCAAGAAATGCCTCTGAGTTCTTCTGTTCTATACTGACACTCAGGTTGTCCATCTTATCAAAGACGCTTCTGACTTTCGCCAGACCTTGCGTTGACAATGCAGCACGGAGACTTTGGTTGAGCTCCTCGGAGAGCGTCTTGACCTTTCTCGGCCTGGATGCCGGTTTGATAATCAAAGCCTCAACCTCCTGAAGTAATCGCTCTTGCTTCCAATCTTGCGCTTTGGCAGAAGCAGCCAGCAGCGTCACTCGCGTCTCTGAGTTATCGAATTCGTCTGGGTGTATATCGCAATGCAAGAGATCCCTGAGCAATTCGTCTTCCCCTCTGCCAGCAAAAGATATAAGAGCTTTGCAATAAGCTGTTGAGGAAACAGTCATCCCTAAGTCTCGAAGCTGTTTTAAGCGATCATTGACCCCTTGAGTATCTTGTTCTCTTAGAGCAATGGATTGCAACGATTGCGGGCCAATGTCCCGAAGGCCAAGTTTATGCATCAGATTGATTGCAAACTCTGCCGACGTCCAGGAGCTGGCAAACCACCTAGCTGCAAATTTATCGCTGAACATGCCTTTGTCCTGCCCTAAAGAGCCATCTTTATTGGCTGTATCTGATTCAGGGTCATATCTAAATCCAGCTTCTCGATTGAGTACTGCCAATTCCTCTTTGGTGAGCTGCACTTTAGAGAAGTAGCGAGACAGAAAGTCAAGAAACGGCATAGACTTTTGGGATTTGGCATGATCATTAAACAGAATAAAACGCTTTCTCCAAACGCGAGCTGCATGTGACTGGCCAGAATCGAAGAGAGTTGGCACAACATAATCGTACAACTCGCGAAAAGGATTAAAGACGTATATTGTGGTCAAAGTGCTCTGAATAACAGGAGTTCGGTCAAGAGCAAAGCTTGCTAGAAAAGCACCAAAGCTATCCAAGTCAGGACGAAAAGTAGGCATGAGTTTCAAATGCCAACGAAACGCAGCTTCGCAATCGGTCTGGGCCAGGTAGAAATGAACCACTTTCAGATATAGCTCAGGCCATTCGAAATTGTAAGTCTTTTGGAGGTCTTGGGCAAATGTGAAAAGCTCCTCCATCCTGTCAGCATGCATCAATGCCGCCTTTAGAATGTTATCCCTCAAGAATTCGGCTCGAGGTTCAGTCACAAGGTGCTCATCGTCTTCGTTTCGAAGCTGCATGAACACATCCCAAGCTCCTCGCTCTCCATGACTGTGACGAACGGTCACGAGTCGGCGCTCCCATGATGATACTTTATGTGAGCCGGTATCTTGATTCGACACACTTTGTTCTCCAGCTCCATGCTGGCGAATACCCAATGGGATAAGTTGTTTGGTTTTCGATCGCCATGTTGGATCTCCATGCTGTGCTGCTCGTTTCTTCGAAGTTGACCCAGGACTTTTCTGTCTCGTCGTATGTCTTTCCACTTGGTAGGAATATATATATCTGTTGTTATTGTATGGGCGTATGAGTCTGAGGTTTGATGTCGTATGACGAGGCCGGTGCTGGGCTATTGTATGAATGCATCGAGCGTATGTGTATTGGCGAGCTCGAAATATTGTAAGGTTTAAATGCATGGCTGGGTAAATTCGCCAGCTTCAGCTGGTAACGTATCATCGCATCGGTTCGTTGGGAATAATTCGTGTGAGAAACATCAGGATTATCTCAAATTTGAGGCTTAATGACAAGAGCCAAAGTTAACTCATGTCGTAGATCCCCATATCTTTTTTATTCGATATCTGAAAGTGCTCCATCAATTGTAAAGGCAGGGGGGGTTGCGCTTGCACGTGCCCACCCGCCAACGGGAACCTCGAAAGCTATGCTGAGTCATCCCTCGCACCCGACTCCCAATCAAGTTATGGCCTCATTTCTTTACCCGAACTTCGACATCCTCCGTTCAGCACCTCAACCACCCCACACGAAACCAACAATCGGAGCCTCCCAGGACTCTCCTTAACCGACTTCAAAATGCCGTACGTACAATTGAATAGCGAGCGATTCTCTCGATAGCCCTGGCCGCTTCATTCGAAACCAATGGGCCATTTCAAGCTCCGGGCATCGCGCAAAACATCACATCATACGAGAATCCGTCACTGACGCTCATCCAGTCTCGTCAACGCCAAGAACCCTGTTCCTCAGAACCAGCGTTACTACCAGAACGCTTACAAGAACCACACCCGTCTTTGGAAGATTGTACGACCGAATTGACTTTCTAGCTACTCTGAGCTTCTAGCTGACCGATTGATAGGGTCCTCGCGCCCGCGTTCTGATGACCCCCTACCTCATCCTCCTCTGGGGTACCCTCGGCGGTAAGTCTTATTCGACGATTTTGAAAGAGCGGCATTTACACGAACTTGAACGCTGACGAAATCGAAGCCTCTTTGTACGGTGCCGGCCGCAAGGTTCTCGGCTACAACTCTTACTTCGGAAAAAACTAAGATTCCTGGGCTGCCTAGCTTATTATAGAGCTCGACAACGATGGAAGGCCAATGTGATCAGTATTGATTGAATAGAAGATGGTTCCAATCTGAATCCTCGCGGATTTGTCCTTTGATTCGTATTCACAGAAACCGAGACAAACTACCAGTCGAAACGTGCCTTCTATTCACACGTCATTGCCATTAAACCTGGACTCCTAAACTTGAGAATACATGAAGAACCCAGAATATTGCATGCATCAAAAAGTGACGTCTAGTGCTCCGCACCGACCTGCAACTCTATCTGTGGATAGATATACCAACTCCCCAAACGAGATCATCTTAGTAGCCCGTGGCGCCGGGCGCCTTCTCGTCCTTTCGTAGGCTCACTAGCAACTCTCGGAAGCGCTCCTTGCCTGAACCAGAAGCACCTCCCTTGGCTCCCTTGCCGCTCACATCCACCAACTTGGCGATTCGGTCCCAGCTGGTACCGCCGGAAACAGTGTCCTCTCGGCTCTCCAGGAACTCATCGGCTTCCTTTCGTGTCTGGGTGATGCCCTTCTCCTTCTTGTTGTTGTAGTTCTCATAGAAGTCATCGATGTTCTGCTGAGCCTCCTTGATCGTCTCTTCACGCTGGGCAGCGAATTGTTCGGCACGCTTAGCAATCTGGTTATCCCGGCGTTCGCGCCACTCCTTGATGACTTCAGGTTCCTGCTCCTCCTCTGCGGAGGCGGCCTGGTATCCCGAGTTGTAGCTCACGGAAGGTCCTGTGATGCCTGTTCCAGCAGAAACTCCAGTACCCTGTATCCAGCATAAGTCTCCGAATGGAAGATATGACATCAGGTTATTTGACTTACAGCTTCAGGTTGGGTCAGGTCAGGGAATTGAGACTCGAAGGTAGATTGCTCGTTGTCGCCAGCGCCGCCGAGGAGATCGTCGTCGGCATCAGCAAAAGCAGCGGCGTCATTGTTGGTTGTGAACTGTTCGGCATCGTCTCCAAGGAGAGCCTTCTCACGAGCGAGGAAATCATCAGTCGAGGGCTCAGCAGACGGGTCCTTGATATCGGTTTGCGCTAGATTACACGTCAGCGTTCATCCCGCGCATGCGTGCTATTGATGCATATATACCCCCAGAATCGAAGTCCTCAAGTGAAGGGAATCGGTCGGCCATTTTGAATGTGCGAGATTTTAGATGTCGATCGTTTATCTTAAGTATGCGCCGCTTGGTGGGAAATATCGGATGATGATGCTCGGGAATCAAAAGGCTCTTGTTATCCGAAGCGACAATCGTCAGTGAATGCTGTTGCTATGGTCCTCCTATTCAGTTACTGCCAAGTAGGCCATCCTAGCTGATGAGGTGGATTCTGCCGGGCGGTGAGTGCCCTGCTCGCAACGTAGCTTGCTCGGGTGGGTCTGAAATATGAACCAAAGCGCTATATTCATGCGCCTACAAGCTATTTCCACTTTATCGGATGTTTATGCTGCTTGGCCTAGCTCTCAATCTATAAACTCTCCTTGTTCTATCAAAGAAAACATTTCATCTCCTCGCACATTTGCGTTGCGCATCAGTTTAACTCCCTCGGTATACTTTTACAGGCAAAGCGGATCGTAACGAGACTTCTGCTTTGTTTGTCTGCGTATTAAAGACGGTTAGCAAAAGCTCCGAATATTATTCCTGCAAGTAGCTGTAGTAGACGTCTCCAGAGTGATACTACAACAACAAAAGCTACAAAAGCCTTAGATAATACTCGCGCCATCTCATCCATACTTCTGAGCTTGGTTTCGATTCTACTAGTTGTCGTTCATTGTTTATATGAGCCGGCGGAAAAGCGTTTGCTATCAAGATGGCTTACAACGATGACTCCGTACTTGCGCGACTCTCGTCGCTCAATGAAAGCCATGACAGCATCGCCACGGCTGCGCAGTGGATCATGTTCCATAGGTACGCGTCTCTTGTTTGTCCGTTTGGGACAATGACTGACAATAGGTCACAGGCGCCATGCAGACCGCACCGTACAACTTTGGTTGCAACGTCTCAAAGACTCTTCCAGCACGAAGCGACTGAGCTTGATTTATCTCGCAAACGGTATGTTTGGATCTTGGTTGTTGGAAACTTGGCTAATTCATCTTGCAGAGGTGGCTCAGCAGTCTAAAATACGGCATAAAGACGACTTTATTATTGCATTTGCGCCAGTGATTGCAGAAGCTGCTGCCGTTGCTTATAAGGGAGCGCCAGCGGAACTCCAGGCCAAACTCAAGCGCGTTATAGACGTCTGGAGAGACCGATCAATTTTCGAAGCACCTATTCAAGCTGCCATTGATGCTCGTATTGGAGGTAAGTACAAAATGATATCAACTCATTATCGAGAGTAGTGGCTAATCATGGTGTTAGAGCTCGACAAGGCTCGTGGCATGGCAAAGCCCGGGTTCAGTGGCTCTCCTTTCGGTGGAGCTTCTGCTGCCGCCGCTGCTTCCATCCCATCCGAATTTGCTCCTTTGGTGTCTGCTCACCAAACTGTTACCAAGTTGAGCCCTCCTCTGAAGGCCACAATCGCATCTGCAAGTCAGGAGTACGAGAAACAAACTGACCCATCAACACCTGTGCCTTCTGCGCCTGTCTACGCGGCTCGTCTGAATGGCCTTCTCAAAACTTTGGCCAATGCCGAGAATGCAGTTGCCGAGTGTGTCAAGGCCAGGGAGGGCCTCGTTTCTGGCCTAGAGACACTACTCAATGCTAACCGAGCCGCATTGGAGCAGGAGAAATCAGATCACGCTCAATTAAAGTCTCGCAAGGTCGAGATTGAAGAGAAGAAGCAACAGGTTGAAGTTGGCATCATGCGAGCGTTGGGCCCAGCGGAGAGCAACGGAAATTCTGGAGACGGAGAGTCTTCCAGCACTCCCGCTGAGCCAGACAGGCCAGAAATGGAGGCTCTCACCCCTCCGGCATTTGAGCCTTTCGACGCTCCTACACCAGAAGCACTAACACCAGAAGGTGAACCCGCTGCTGCTCTTGAGTCAGCTGGCGAAGAAGAGACTGCACACTACCAGTCATTGCCGATTTCCACCAACGGATCTAACAAACGTCGCCGCGTCGATAACGAAGAATTTCCTGATCTAGGAGGAGACGATGGCATCGATGCTGATGTTGCTCAGATGCTCAAAGAAGGCTCCCAGTCGTGATTGGGGTGTCTGTCTTGTTTGCCAGGTTTAACAGGGCATATCCTACACGGAATGGCGTTTTATCGGCGCAGGTTTGAAAATCGGCTTGTCTTGGACAAGTGGGTGGCAGAGGGATCATCTTCGAGAAACCCTCCGGTCAGAGTGTATAATAGATAGTTGCAATGGTCAGTACCTGCGTGCTCAAGGCTGCAGAAGCAGGGTTGTGGCGTTCAATCAAAATATGTTTTCATGGCTACACGATGTAGAATATGTTTGCTCTGCTGCGAGAGTTTGACAAGTGATGTCGTTATTGACTGTCCATATCTTGTGATGATTTATCAATTGTGCGTTGTTTGTAAGAAAAACGACAACTGTTTCCTGTGAGTGTTTCTCAATTCAAGTAGATGCTTACATGGATAGCTCCGACAAATGGAGGGGCAGGGGCAGGACAGGGAGACTTCCGTGTTAGGGACGCACCATAACCCACCAGCTCGCGACGGTCCCCACCAAATTTTTTTGTGAGCATTGGATATCTGAGCTTGTCGCAACTCGGAAGCTGAGAAATGCCGCTACGGCGATGACGGCATTACAAACCACCTCAACTTCGATCCCTTCTCATTCATAATTAGAGTGTCTGTCAGCTTCACCTGCTTCTTTCGGCCTGCAGATCAAGCTCCCATTTGTTTCTCCGGTCGACAACGCCGCTGCTGAACATGCTACGCTGAGTCGGCATCTAATCAATTCCCTACCGTCATCATGGTCTCGGGAGTAGCACGCCGCGTGCTGCTCCCACGCCTCGCCGAGCCCTCGCAAGTGTCTCTGGCTGCATCGCGAACTCAATTAGGGCCTTCTCTATACAAGTCTGAAGTTTTCACTCTTCAGACAAGGCCCTTCCATGCTTCCAGCACCCGTCAAACCGCTCTCCCACCGTTCTCAATCGCTACCTTCCGGACACCAGCAAACAATACTCCCTCTCATGCCCGACTCCCCCTGGCGCGAACTCGACCCTTCCAACCTGGTTCAGTTTCTTACGCCTTGCGACAGTTCTCAACAGCCCCTCGTTTACTCCAGGAAATCCAGACCAAGGTCGAAGAAGGCGCCAAGAAGCCCGCCGAGCTTGAAGCTAATCGGAAAATTGCCGAGGATGAACATAAGCAAGAGTTTACCAAGAGCGAGAAAGCCACCCGGGCTGCCCAAGTTAACTTAGCTGCTAAACTCTCGAAAGAGGGAAAACAGGCAGGAAAAGCTGGTTCGGACGAAATCGTACGACTGATCAAGATTGCCCGTCCGGAAATCCGCTGGCTCGGTATTGCTTTTGTCTTCCTGGTTATTTCCTCTAGTGTCACCATGTTGATCCCTTTCTCTGTTGGTCGAATCTTGGATCTTGCTACCAAAGGTGAAGCCGATGACGTCCGTTTGTTTGGCTTAACCATGAACCAATTCTTCGTTGGATTGGGTACCGTCTTGACAATTGGAGCTATGGCCAACTTTGGTCGAGTCATCCTTCTCCGAATCATTGGCGAACGTGTCGTTGCAAGACTCCGATCCCAGCTCTATCGACGTACATATGTTCAGGATGCCGAGTTCTTTGATGCGAACCGTGTAGGTGATCTTATCTCACGCCTCAGCTCCGATACGGTTATTGTTGGCAAGTCTGTGACGCAAAATCTTAGCGACGGTCTCCGCGCCCTCTTCAGTGGTGGTGCTGGTTTTGCTATCATGGTCTGGACAAGCCCCAAGTTGACAGGTCTGTTGCTACTCATGTTTCCACCTATTGCAGTTGGAGCCTTCATCTATGGTCGAGCCATTCGAAACGTCAGCAGATCAATCCAGAGGAATTTGGGTACTCTGACCAAGATTGCTGAAGAGCGACTGGGCAACGTCAAGACCAGCCAAGCATTCGTCGGTGAAGTACAGGAAATCGGCCGCTACAACAACCAGATTCGAAAGATCTTTGCCCTCGGTAAAAAGGAATCACTCATCGCTGCCACATTCTTTGCTTCAACCGGCTGGGCTGGTAATATGACGATTCTTGCTATGCTGGTTGTTGGAGGTGGCTTCGTACGCAGCGGCGCCATGTCCCTTGGAGACCTGACTTCGTTTATGATGTACACTGCATTTGCTGGTTCAAGTTTGTTCGGTCTCTCGGGCTTCTACTCAGAACTCATGAAGGGTGTCGGTGCCGCAAGTCGACTTTTCGAGTTGCAAGATCGCAAACCTGGAATTCCGCAAACAGTCGGTGTTCAGGTCAAATCAGCACAGGGTCCTATCAGATTTACCGATGTCACATTCGCCTATCCTACTCGGCCAGCCGTCAAGATTTTCAACGGGTTGGATTTCGAGATCTCTCCTGGTAGCAACGTGTGTGTTGTTGGTCCATCAGGAGGTGGAAAATCCACAGTGGCTTCTCTGCTGCTTAGATTCTACAATCCTACATCGGGCTCTATCACTATCAACGGTCAAGACATCTCGGGTATGAATGTCAAGTCTCTGCGAAGGCGCATTGGCATGGTTTCTCAGGAACCTGTTCTTTTCTCTGGAACCATCGCTGAGAACATTGCCTATGGAAAGCCCCAGGCGAGTCGTTACGACATTATTTCCGCTGCGCGACGAGCAAACTGCAACTTCATCAGCGACCTGCCCGACGGTTTAGAAACTCAGGTAGGTGCTCGTGGTTCTCAGCTCTCAGGAGGTCAGAAGCAGCGAATTGCCATCGCACGAGCTCTACTCAAGGACCCCGATATTCTGATTCTTGATGAAGCCACATCCGCACTAGACGCCGAGTCAGAGACTCTCGTTAACGAAGCCCTGGCTGGTCTTTTGCGTGGCCGCAACACCACCATCTCCATTGCTCATCGTCTCTCAACTATCAAGCGATCCGACCAAATTATTGTTCTCAACAACGAGGGTAAGGTCGCTGAAATTGGTAGCTACAGGCAGCTTGCAGCCGACAAGGGGAGCGCATTCAGTAAGCTCATGGAGTGGCAGATGAGCGGTGGTGAGGTTTCCAAGGAAAGCGGGGCGACCGCTTCACGGGCACACATCACTGAGGCCGAGGAACTCGAGGATGACCTGGAGAAAGACGACGAGGAGAGTTTTGAACACAACGAAAAGAGCAGGAACTCCAAGGACGAGGAGAAGAAACCTTGAAGCATTTTAGGTGATATAGAGCACCGCAGCTTTCCCGCAAAAACATAATATGGATGGGGCTACGGGGATGAAGAAAGATTAGACGAATCATGTAAATTATATATCCTGGTATCTATGTCTGAGTCTCTATGGCGAATGATTTGGGACGCCAGCAGCAGCAAAGAGAACTCCACTCGACATATATCCTATTTTCGTTGGCGTCGTCGGTTTGGTTATTTACTCCTCAAAATGGAAGACATAGTTAGGCAATGGTGGTTATTGATAGCTGTGCATAGAAAACAACATCTCAACATTTTGTCAAGTCTTGGGTCTTCGGAGCAAGTATTACAGAGTTTCTATGTGAAAAGGTGGGATCAGAAGCGAGGCAGTGAGTTGTGTTATGCCCTTCTGTGAGACCAATTTATCAGATCAGTATTACTTGTGATAGATGACAAAATTCAAGAGCCGGACATAAGAGTCGGATATAGAGTTCGAGATGGTGGACCCGGGCTCTCGGAAGAAGATGTTGAACCTCAAGCTCGTGGTTGGTGGTTACGTCTGTTTCACAGTGGCAGACTACCTAACTCTGTACCTCGTTCTGATTGACTATAAGTATAAGCAGAAATACTTACATCGACTCTGGATGTGATGTTTGAAATTGCGACGAATCTGAGATAAGCCATGCTTGATGTATGTGGCTATTGTCAGCTCAACATAAAATAGATTGTCCAATACGAGGTGACAGAAATGTTGACATGAATGTATTGTCCGCTTTCAGTTACAGAATATGCATATAACAAGGTCGGAATAAGCCAAATGTCCTGAGGCCAAGCCTCATCACGATGGAGGCCAATAGAACAAGTGCAGGTTAGGCTCATCGGCAACGGTTTGTCACATGTGACCCCATTTTGGCTCAAGCATGACCCTAGCCAAATCTTGATTCATGGTAACCGGTTTGCATCTCATCTTTGTCGCGAAATATAGGCCGAACGTAATTCTTGACTCTGTTTACAGTCAGCAACTTCTCGTCTTCCATCTTCTCACATATAATTTGCCCTTTTGCTGAACTTGCGCACCCATGTCGACCGAAATTGAAGGAACCTTTCAGCTGGCAGACGCCAGCCTCTACACCAAGACCTGGACAGTAAGTATCAATAAATGATCCCTGATCCAAACAAAAGCTGACGCGACAACAGCCTGAAGGTCCCATCAAAGCCAAGGTGATCCACGTTCATGGCTTCAGCGACCACGTCAACTGGTATGATGACGTATATCGAATTTTAGCCTCTAGCGGCATCCAGGTTTTCGGTTTTGATCAGAGAGGCTGGGGCCGAAGCGTCAAGCAATCCTCCGACAAAGGAAACACTGGCTCGACACCACGCGTGATTGCCGATATTGCGGCCTTCATCGAGAGTAAGCTGCCGTCGGATGTCCCGGTCTTTGTCCTAGGCCACTCCATGGGCGGCGGTGAGGTCATCACACTTGCGGCTGACCCTCAGTATGCCAAGCTCGTAAGCCAAGTGCGCGGTTGGATGTTGGAGGCTCCTTTCATCGGATTCGCGCCCGAAGAGGTACCCAGCTGGTTCAAGGTCATGGCAGGTCGTTTAGCCTGCAAGGTCCTGCCGAGATTTCAGCTCAAGCATGAACTCGACGTGATGAACTTGACGCGAAGACCCGAGATAGCCAAAGGCTACAAGGAAGATCCTCTTTGCCACGATACAGGTACGCTGGAGGGTTTGGCGTCGCTTCTCGACCGAACGGCCGCTCTGCAATCGGGTTCCGTGAAGCTGGGCAAGGAAGTCAAGTCTCTCTGGCTCGGCCACGGAGATCATGACAAGGCCTGCAGCTATGATGCCGCCATGGAGTTCGCGAAGAGGCAGGAGATCGAGGATAAGGTTGTCAAGACGTATGTGGGAGGATACCACGCTCTGCACGTAGATCTGTGCGCGGAAGAATATGCAAAGGATATCACTAATTGGATCTTGGAGAGGAGCTCAGGTGAGAGGCCGATCGAGGCGAAGCTGTAATGAAGAATGAAGCTGGGATATTGTTTTGGCGGTTGATTTCTGCATCTGCAAGAAGCACTAGACTCATGCACCTTGCTTTTTGTACCATACACCCTGTTGTCGGTAATCTCTACATCACTTGATGTTATTTTACCTCGATTCAAATATTTTACAGAAAGCGAAGAGAGTGTCTACGTCTATCTTATATACTAATTGTCAGATACTCGGACCCTCCGATTGTGGCTGGCTGTATTGTATAACATGGCCGCTTATCTTGGGTTCCCATGTACAAAAGCGGCATACCAAGCCAATAGACTGAGCAATAGCCTCAGTTAAATCTGGCCTTGGCCTGCATGCTACCGAAGTCCAGATCAGATCTATGGAGACAAGCAATCGTCTGTCAAATGTCAAAGTGGGCCTGCCCTGTCCGTGACAGTCCGTCTTTCCGCTCCGTAGACGCCCGAAGCCAAACGTTTCCAAGACGTAAAAAGTTACGGGACGCCGAGACTTGCTCCGATCGGTTCCTGGGCTTATCGGAGCCGTATTCGAACTATAATTGAACGTCTCCCGCTCCTCTTCCTCCGATATTTGCTTAATTGAAGCTTTCCGTGATGCAATATCGTCCTTTTCATGTTGGACTAGGACTCGGAAAGCATGCTCCGCTTACTCATTCTATTTCGGCTCCATCGGAAACTGAAGCTCACTAATTGACTAACCGCTATTGGTCCAGCGTCGCTGTATTGCAGTACAGTTGTTAACGTCGAGCTCTCGTCGCTATTGATATCCTTAACAATGGATGTCATCGTGACTGCCCTGAGGCCGTGAGCGAAGGTCCCCATCGCTCTTCCTCCACGTGGGAGCATGACTGGCCGAGCCAAGATTCGACAGGTACTAAGGATGAACCAGATCGGATCAGATGTCTTGTCGTTCATCAAACAACTTTGTTTGCCTCGACCTTGTTCCTATACATCCATGTCCTTGCTATACTATCAACTCTATTCGTTGGCACAAAGCTTTATCGAATAGCCCACTGACTACAGTACAGCGCACAGTCAACCAGTAACTTCCATTGGCCTCGATTTTGATCTTGCCTTACAGCCGATCAACTGAGATCATCACTGCATCTAGTCTACACTCCGCACTCGTAGATGCTTTTGATGAGGCACCTTCTTCGCTCCTAAGGCCTCTTTGTTGGCCTCCCTTCAACATTTTTCTCATTTACATATCGTCGTCCAACAGCTTTTCACGTTGTGTAACAAACAACATCGATATTGTGCATTTGCCTCTCCGATACATCAATATTACCCTTTGAAACCGCCGCCGTATATTAAGACATGACGCCAGATAATAATCACGCTCACCCCAAGTCTATTCACTTGCAATCTATCGAGCGCTCACGAACACGAAGTTGCTCGAGGTCCTCGACCAGACACAATGGAGCCAGTACCGCTTTTGAGCCTGTAACGGTCGACGACAATGAGACTATCGCCAGGAACGTTTCTCATATGACTGATGTCGAGAGCCAACTTACCGCCACCGGGCGTCGACAGCATAGTCCCATTGACAATGATCCGTATGGCCTCTCTCGCGGCTACAAGACGGAGTCTGATATTGCCGACATAAAAGCCAATACGTCGCGGAAGCGGGATAGCCTACCTGGGCGCAACTGTATGCCCAGCAAGATCGGCTCCAAGATAAAAGCTCGTAAGCTACAGGGCTTTTACGAAAATCAGAATGCGGCAATTGATCGCATGCTCAAGTCGGTTGAGGAGCATCGTGACGAAGCTCGCGACCAGCATGGCGAGGATCAACTCAAGTTTCGCATTGCTGTTTGGGGTTCTCTTGCAGCCAACGTTGCTCTGTCGGCCCTTCAGCTCTACGCTGCTATCTCATCGGGCTCGCTTTCGCTTTTCACTACTATGGCCGACTCCATCTTCGATCCTCTGAGTAACCTGACACTCATCCTATCGGCTCGAGCCATCCGCCATGTTGATTCTAGACGGTTCCCCGCTGGCAAGGCACGTCTCGAGACCGTAGGAAATATTGTCTTCTGCTTTCTCATGATTTCCGTCTCCCTCATCATCATTGCCTTCGCATGTCAAGAGTTGGCACAGTCGAAATCTGATAAGGGCTTTCATCTTCCTGCTGTCATCTCGGTCTGCTGCGCCTTCGCCACCAAATTCGTCCTTTTCCTCTACTGCTGGGCTCTCAAAGACAAATACAGCCAGGTAAATATTCTCTGGCAGGATCATCGGAATGATCTTCTTATCAACGGCTTTGGTATTCTTACAGCTACTGGCGGCGCAAAGCTGGTCTGGTGGATTGATCCCATGGGTGCCATCCTGCTGTCAGTCCTTATCTCTTGTATCTGGCTACATACCGCTTTTGACGAGTTCCTGCTTGTTGTTGGTGTCACAGCTCCTGTCGAGACACAGCAGCTCATCACATATGTGTGCGTCACGCACGACGATGCAATCGTTGGCATTGACACCGTGCGTGTGTATCACTCAGGTCCTCGTTTGATCGCCGAGGTGGACATTGTTATGGAGCCAACACAGACTCTTCAAGAGAGTCACGACATCGCAGAGGCGCTCCAGATCAAGTTGGAGGATCTTCCCGACATCGAACGGGCATACGTTCACATCGACTACGAGACCACACACAAACCAGAACACGCATTTAAGAAGGACATGTAGGTCTAGGTTCGGAATGCGTTTTCAGGGGATCTTTGAATTGGAAAGAGCGTTTGGAGCGGCTGGGAAGGTTTTTAGCGTTGGCGCTTGGTGTGAAAGACAAGGGAGTTGAGACGAGACATGTACTCGGCCGGGTGTACGAAGGCTGCAGGCCTGAAGGGCTATGGCATCAAAGACAAGAAACCTCTCGAGGGTAATTAGTGTATGCGATAATGAATGAAGTGGCGAGACTTGGAGTAGCAGTGAAAATCAGGGCTAGTTGTTTTTTTTGCAAAGAAACGAGGCCATCATTGCAACAATGGCTCACGTGGGCTACTTATGCAAGTGACAGCGTGTGATGCATCCATACGCAGTATGAAGCTGGTCGATACAGTATAGTGCTGCAGCTAGGGTTTTGCGCAAGGTGAATTGAGCTAAATCATGCAAGTTTAGTTTCGCAGATCCCGGCATTGCAGAACTGCACTGTCGATGTTTGGTGAAGTGAGACACATTGGTATGGAAAAGTGACAAGTTTTCTCGCGTGTCTTTGTCCCGATATCTGTCTACTGTCTCGGTACGCCATGTCCGAGTGAACAGCCAATGTGATCTGCAACAGTGAAAACACCAAATCTACGTCACAGTCTTAGCTAGTCCCAATGCTAGCGCTAGCTCTTTCGGCTGAGATTTGAATGTCTTTACAAACACCAAAGAGCGAGATTGAGATTAGAAAGGGGACTCGCAGCGTGTCATGATGAAGTGACCAAGCGGGATTTAAGTGCATTTCAACCCAACAGCTTCACCAAAGGGAACCACAGTTTGGAATGGTTGAGATTAAATGAACGTATTTGAGCGGCGCGTCACATTCTCGAAGCAACTTTACAAGGGGGGAACATGACCAGTTTCGGTTTTATGCAGGAGCCCGCTCGTGAACTCCATCCCTGGATGGTTGAACGGTACGAGCATCATATGCAGGAAATCCCTGACTGACGCGAGTGCCGTGCTATATAGATATGGTATATTGCAGAGAGGTTGGAGCTACCAGGACTAGAAACTGACAATTCCATCATCGTGCAGCCGTTGAAATTAGTGGCGACTGACTAGTACGAGAAACCCGCCCCGATTTACGGACCTAGTACAAGACTCTACTGCACCAAGGGAGCACCAAAACGGTCCCAAGTTTTGTGCAATTGAAGGCTGTGAACCCTCAATCTCTTTTCTGTACCAACGTGGGGGCCATGATTCAACAAATTTGTATATCTCAGGTAATTATTATATGTTGTGCTATGCTGTGCTGCCCTTGGACGGTAGGAGTACTGTAGAGTGTCAGGACTCAGACCTCGGCGCTTCTAGAACAGGAGAGTTCCTCAGGGTCATTGTGGCTTGGAACAGTTAGAGTTTAGTACCTGAAGGGTCGAGTCACCACAGACTGTTTTGTCAGACACCGTCAAAGTTCCCAGCCGTGATTAAACCCATCCATTGAGGTTTTTACACAGGTATCTGGAGTTAGCTGAAGCTTTACAGGCATATAGCCTGTTATAATGGTGCCCGCTTGGAGTTTTGGGTGACCCACAGGAGCTTACTGGGGACAGCAGCCCGAGCTCCAGTCTCTCCAGTGCGTTCTGGCCTAAGTTGAGTTAGTTTGCTGGAGCTGCACCTGGACTGGGAAGTTCCCCCCCTCCAAATCGTCTGGGGCCGGGGGCCATCATCGGATCATCTCATACACTGCATAGGTGCATTGCATTGGATGGAACACTAACATTACCTGCCATTCTCATTTTTGTTCTCGTTCTCATCCATTCTCATGCTCATGCTCATATCACGTCACGCCTTGGCTCTCGCTTTAACCCCCTCTCCAAGTTTTGTTTCTTCTCCAACTCTTTCTCCTCCCTCTCTAGGTTTTATACCAGATACCTTTGGGCATCGCTAGAGATCCAATTCTTGCATCGTTTCAAAAGCATAGACCACTACCTGTACTAGCATTTAGCTTCCACAAGGTACCCTTGCTAGATCGAGCTTGCTTTGCCTTCTTGTTGGCTTGGACCCTCGACAAGCTCCGTCAAATCGTGATCCCACGACTTCTCCTCTTCCTCTTCTCCTCCAGAGCTTCTTTCCATGGGCTGCTGACCGAACTCTTCAACTTGTTGTAGCTGACCTGGACAATCTGCGCCGAGATCTGTCTCTCAGCTGGTCAACTACTCTTGCTTCTATACAATCATCATGGCTGCCCAAGGTGCCAAAGGCGAGCAGATCTATGCTACGGTACGATCCATTCTGACCTAATTGCGCTCGATTTTGCCTCGCTAACGATCCTACAGCTTCTTCTGAGCGATTCTTATCTTCCTGGTGCGCCAATTGACGCCTTCTTCCCCTCAAATCCTAGCTGACTCTTTTCCCAGGCGCACTCGTCCTCGCTCACTCCCTCCGCGATGCTGGAGCCAACCGTAAGTTGGCAGTCCTGGTTACACTCGACTCCGTTTCGGCCGACTCCATTACACAACTCAAGGTAAGCTACTCAACATGTTCTTGCGCATCTTCGAATGTTTCGCTAACCATACGTCTTTCAGAATGTCTACGATTATGTCTTCCCCGTGCCGCGCATTCGCAATGACCACCCAGCCAACCTGTACCTCATGAACCGTGGCGATCTGCACTCAGCTTTTACCAAGATCAATCTATGGAAGCTCACTCAGTTTTCAAAGATTGTCTACATTGACGCTGATGTCGTCGCGTACAGAGCTCCCGAAGAGCTCTTCGATCTACCCCATCCCTTCGCCGCTGCGCCCGATATCGGTTGGCCAGATCTATTCAACACTGGTGTAATGGTCTTGGATCCCAATATGGGTGACTACTATGCCATGATCGCCATGGCTGAGAGGGGAATCTCTTTCGACGGTGCCGATCAGGGTCTGATCAACATGCACTTTGGCCAACGGTATCATCGCCTGAGCTTCACTTACAACGTCACGCCATCTGCCCACTACCAATACGTGCCTGCGTACCGCCACTTTCAGTCCAGTATAAACATGGTGCATTTTATTGGCGCAAACAAGCCGTGGTTTACCGGCCGAGATGCACCTGCTGGCAGCAATCCCTTTAGTGAAATGATAGGACGGTGGTGGGCAGTCTACGATAGACATTACCGGCACCAGGTGAGTTTGTTTTGTGTATAGCAATCATTAGTCTCTAACTTTTTGTGTAGGAATCTTCTGGCGACACTACCCAGTATGTCCAGTACTTTACAAAGGGAGAATGGCGTCCTCAGTCGCTTCAGGCTCAGCCCTCTACCAGTGAACAGCAGTCTCATGGTCAGAGCTCGACTACTTCTGTTGAAGGGCAGCACCAGGAACACCATACACCTCAGCCGGAACAACGCTCAGAGCCTCAGCACCATGGGCAGCATTCTACTACCCAGCCTGGCTCTGCGCCTCAGCAGCACCATCAACACCAAGAACCTAAGAAAGAGCCACCCCCGATTACGATGCATGACTGGGATGCTCAGAGGTAGGTTTATTATCGATTAAAACTTCTACTCTGCCTTGAGCATGAGACGCTGACTTTCCAAGACACCCTCCCCCCTCCGATTCGAGGCCTGAAGCGATGAACTTCCCTTCTACTCACTACGAAATGTCCCGCGACACCGCACCATTCGTCCCCCCTGCAAGGTACCCGAGTCCCCCCAAGAATATGTGGTATGAAGTTCCAAAGGAGAAGTCCGCTCCTCGGTCAAAGCCAGCTTCGGAGATCTTTCCCTGGGAACGCAACCGACCTCGACCAACGAGAACGTTTGCTGGAGAGCCCGAACCGGAGCCTGAACTTGAACCAAAATCTACTACTCCTGAAGAGTCGAGTGCACCACTCTCCGTGAAAACTGAAGGCCTTACAGAAACAAAGAATGAGTCAACTACAACTACCCCTATAGTACAGATCACACCATCGGATCCTTGGACATCCTACACGCGCACAAATGCTTGGGACGAAGTGCCTGAAATCGAGCGGTACGTCGACCGTCTACATGGCGGTCACCGACGTGGTAAGAGTTCGACCTCTTCGGCAGGTCGCGTGAAAAGTCCAACAACTGGCTCATGGAGAGACGACAAGAGCAGTTTCAAGCTACGGGGTTTAAAGCTCACCGATTTCCCCAGCGCCGTTGAGCGCCCCAGCTTGCCGGTTACACCAGCTCCGGTCCATCGAAACTCTTTCTTTGCAGAAGACGACGCGGAACATGAAGATGAAGGGGCCAAGAAGCTTCCTGAGGCCGAAGGCGTGCCGGCGCAGTCCGACTGGGTATGTGTGCATGGGAGACGATGGGGGCCTACAGACTGTTTGTGCGAGGTGACTGACTTGGTGCTGCATCACCAGGATCCGTTAGAACAGCTGCAGAAGTTGGCTAAGCAGCAATCGGATGCGCTGCTCAGAAGACTAAGTGGTGATGGAACCGAAGGAGGGGAAGGAGGAGTGAGTCGCGAAATTCCAACACGCCCATTACCTTTTGGTTCGGGTGATTCGAAATCACCTACTTATGTTGCGCAGTCCGCCACAGGCGTGTTAAGCCCACAGCCAGTGAAGGGCGAAAGATCAGCAGGCATCTTGCGCGATATGAGCAGTGGCCGTCTCGACCCCGAATCGACTTCAACTTCTCAGGCGACAACGATACCCGAACCGAGCTACTCAGGCCCCGGCGCCGCATGGGAGAAGGGCGAAGATATACCACAACGCGAGACCCCTCTACCGCCTAACGAAAATGAACTGGACGCTCTCAACGCATAGGAAACGACAACCCGTACACCAGCAGCCTCCCACGAGTGGCCAGAAGAGATAGAGTCTTTTGTCCTTGTCCACCGAGAACATGACGGGGAAGAGTCAAGAAGGAATGATTAATGTGTTGCCGCTTCATGGCTATGGACGGGGATGGTAACAAATACTGGAATACAGGTAAAGTGATGGCTCTTGGGTATTCGCGGCATGGACACATGTTTATTCTCCTTTTCTTTCTCTTCGTTTTCCTTGGCTACCTTGTGCGCGCAAGGTCTACCCGCGACTAACGCTGAGGAAGAGAAGAAAAGATATATTTTTGTTGGAATATGAAGATTATGGCAGCATCTTCTTCATAGGCGTCAAAGAGTAGGAAAATTGTTCTCCTGACTTTGTCTTTGGATTCGACTCATTTGCTCTGTTTGGCACTGCATCATGCTTTTATTCTGCGCTCGTACTTGAATCTATTTTGCATGGTTTTTGCTCCAGTTTCGTTTAGCATTCTTCGATTCGTCTGCGTTTCTGCTGTGTTCGTTCGTCATGGGGTGGTGTTTGTGGATTGTGAATATTGGTATAACTTCAGATTGCATTGCACGTCAAGCGTTCGAGTGTATAATACTTGATAAATATATATTTCACGTGTTAACTATGCTTTATTGCCATTGAGTTAATCGAGTAATACACAACTCCTCAAAACGCCATGTCGCTATCTGGATAAAAACAAATGCTGCCTTGCTCGCCGCTAAATCAATATAAGCGAGCGGGCTGATACCTGCGCGTACAAAGAAAGATAAAGCTCGAGAAAGTCGATAATTCTATGTTCCATATAGGATTAATCCTCCTTTGGCTTGTCCTTGCCTTCGTCGTCCTCGACATCTTCAACAGTCACGGCTTTGGCCTTGCCTTTCGAGGAGCTTCTTTCCGGCTCTTCATCATCTTCACTATGGGATGCTGAAGACGCTTCCGGTGTATGCTCAGCTGCTGGACTTGACTGGGATATAGTCTCGGCATGAGTAGTCTGACTTGAGCTTGGTTCAGCCTGCAAACCGTTCTGAGATGCTGATTCAGTCTGATTCGAGCGAGTGTTGTTGCCGAACAGTTGCGCTGATCCTCCCCAGTTAGGCATACGAGGACTAGGCGCAACAACCTGAGGCGGATCAACGGCTCGCGTAAACTGCGTTGGAAACTGAGAAGGGGCAGACGGGGGAGCAGATGTACTCTCAGCTGGCTGAGCTTCTTGGTTCCTACTGCCAATTGGAGACGGTTGTCTGGCCGCAGATGTAGGTTGGGGCATAGTGATATTATCTACCATTGTCGCTTGGGGGCCTACCTGTGGCGAGGGTTGCGTTGAGGTTTGGCTACCATCAAGACGTTGCAAAGGCATCAAGGACCAACCGGGAGGGATAACAACTCCCTCAGGAAGCTCAGCGCTACCAGAGGGAATGGGGACCGCATTAGGGGCAGCACCATGTCGAGCCATCAGAGGGCTTGGGATTCGTGGGGGGAGACCAGGGAATTGCGAAAAGCCCGAGGGCATCGGCATTTGCTGCATAGGCATTGGCACCATGGGGTAGGGCTGAGGCATGAGAGGTTGAGTCAAGGGGTACATAGGAGGTGGTATCAGTTGTGCCTGGGTGTTTGGCGTGGATTCTGGCGCATTTTGTCTCTGCCTGAGGCGTTGTAGCTCTGCCTGGAGAAGCTGAAGAGTTTGTACCTCTTGATAAGCCAGCAAAGCTGACTGCATCTCGCGCTGAATCATCTGATCTGCCTGGCTTAACAGTTGTGCAGCGGTCTGCAAGTTATCGCCAGTGGGAAGAGGAGTCGCTGGGGCAGTTTGGCCAGCGACAGGAGGTGTACCAACACCTGGGGTGGGAGGTGCCAAGCCTTGTTGATTAACCGCAGCTTGAGGCATGCCAAATTGCTGGGCAAGTTCTCTAGCTTGCTGTCCATTTGCTCCAAACCCAACACGTAGGGGGCCAAAGTTGAAAACCCGTGGCGGAGCTGGTCGTTGTTCCGGTTGAGCACCTCCATTCTGTTGCCCCTGTACGGGAGCAATTCCAGGGTTTGCTGGCGCTTGCTGAGCTGCAGCCCCGCCTCTGATCTCTATTCGAAGTCCCGCGGCCCTGTTCTGGCCAGCGCGAGCATTCTCATTAAGGCTAACAGGGCTTCGACAGGTTGGGCATACCTGCTGTCGTTCGAGCCAGCTCTTGAGGCAACCAAGATGTAAGATATGTCCGCATGGCAGCTTCTTCGGCCGAATCCTATCCATTGCTCCTGGGTTGTTCTCAGGATCCCAGGGGCGCATTTCTTCGCGACAAATGATGCAGGTATCTTCTCGTGCGAGCTCTTCCAGAGTGGCGTCAGGGTAACGATTCATCTCCTGGATCGCCTTACGGTACCGTAATAAGGCTCCTAGTCTTTTAATAAAATCCCGTGCCGTCATGAAGAGATCCCTCATAATGTGGATCGGTAATCCATAGAACGTGAGGAGCATAAAGAAGAAAACGATATATATGCCAAGCTTGACCAGATCTAACAATGTCAGTGATGTTTTCCAATAAGACCGGGTGCAGCATACCTGTAGCAAGGTCAAGCCAGAGAACAAACTCTCCCTTGGAAGACCAGCCCGGCACTTCGATATCCATTTCATCAATATCATCCTCGTTCGGCAGAGGATCAGTGGAAACTTCCTCGCCTGCTGCAGCAGCTGCTTCACGTTGACGTTCGATGGCCTGTCGCTCCTCCCTGACCTCTTGTCTCCTTTCGGCCAGTCTTTTGCGTTTCTGCTGCTCCTGGATATTATGTTCGATCAAGGATAGCGCGTACCGGGCAGCTGTCCGCCATGAACTTGTCGCCAACACTGCGAACTCGAAGAGAAACATGACCATCATGTTAGGTCTGGCTTGCTGAATGACGGTATTGATCGTGTATCGGAGGATGTAGATATCGTATATGAAGCTGAGCGTGAGCGACACGCTAAGTCGCAAATGGAACAGACGTGGGTTCGCAGGCGGTTGTTGCTCGAGGACCTCAACTCTTCCATCACCGATCCAACCCCAAACCTTTCCAGTAATTAAGGCAGCGAACATTACGAGAAACCAAGCACCTATTTCATCTCGGAAAATGGTCATGGCCAAGCATGTTTCCGTAATGGCGAACCAGGCCCGTTCTGTAAGTTGTTCGACTTCGACAGCGCGGAGGGGGCCGTAGCATAATCGTATTAGACTGTATACGAAGCTACTGTAAAAGAGTAGCGCAAAGTTGACCAAGACCTGCACATCATGAGTTCAATATCACGACAGGAGAGGGGCATCAATCCCGCAGGTGAGGGAACCACGTACCAGTAGACAAAAGTTGCTCTGGGCAAGATATACCATTGCCGAATAGAAGTTGGCCCTCTGATAAAAGGCCGAGAGGACAACGCTGCCCGCGAGGGCCGTTGAGGCCTTTGCGTCGAAATGTTAGCATTGGTCCATGATGATCAGCCATAGCTCCATATAGCTTCCCCCAAGCTCTCCAACCAAAGCAATTACTTACCCCAGCATACCAGCCAAGTCGCATCTTGGGCATGAGAGTTTCTGACTTTTAGCAAATAATTCAAGTCGTCATCAAAAATAACAAAAGTAAAAGATCACTCCCTCATCCCCATGGCTTAATCCGGATAACTTTTGATGAATGTACGTAGTTCTTTGCTATCACTGCAATCGATGAAAGCGAGCTTGATGCCACGTTAAGCACAGCGACACACGACCGATGACGCAGGGGCCGGCCGAGGCACGTGACGATGCTCTGACGTGAGAGATAAGATGAGTAATCAGACAAACCACCCTCTAAAGTGGGTTACCCTAAAGTCAAATGCATCAAGCATCAGCTTAGTGAGAGATAGAGAATAACAAGAGCAAGTTATAGTCGTGCTGCAACTTGAATGTGCTTTCTCCTGCTTAAACACGCCCATACATTTGCCTCATGAATTCTCACTGAATCATGGCAGCACTAACACCCGTCCTCACACCAGCATTGCTGGCCACGATCCGCAAACAACCCAATCTACCACACAATACATGGTATTTCATCACAGCAACAACCTTGTCAGCTCTCAATAGGCCAGATGAACTACCAAAGATCTTGAGAAGTGCGATTGAAGAAGGTCCCGGTGCTGACGGGAGTGGCGTTCCGGGTCGAGACGAGCAGTTGCGCATCTCCAGACGTCTTAGAGAAGCTCTGTTGAAAGCCTCAGCCGTTGGGGGGATGCCGAAGGTTTGAATAACACATATGGGGACAACAAGACTTCCGACACTAACGATTTCATCAGACAATCAATGCTCTTATGTCTTTGAAGTCGGCAACTCCAGAGGATCTCCTGGACGAAGCAGGAACTGATGCAGCATCACCCAGACACAAAGACATATATGACACTCAGCCAACCCAGATACTCCAACGGGGGCAGAGCTTCTTTGAAAGCATCTACGGGAAGATATCAAGGCGTATAATGGGCCAAATGGAGCGTTCAGGTGCACCAGACCTTGGCCTACTGGCCAGGTTGACATACGGATATGTGCTAAGTAACACTGATCTGCTTACACCAGCCGAGACCTCATTCGTTCTCATTGCTAGTCTGATTCCCCAAGATGTAAGTACACTTTTACATGTGCCATAGGGCTGAGCTTGAGTTATTGGTGATACTAACAACAGAGTTCCAAGGTCAACCCTCAACTCAAAGGTCACCTGCGGGGTGCATTGAATGGCGGCGCCAGTGAGGATGAAGTGAGGGCCGTAAGAGACTTAGTGATTAAGATTTGCGAGGCTTCTGGTATGAAGAGACTTGAAGAGAATGCAATTGGAGGATGGGGTTGGAGAAATGAAGTTGCGAATGTATGAATAGATCTTGGTTATCTGCTTACCCTATGGCAACCCGAGGACAATGGACATCGACAACTGGGCACCATCCGTGCAATCAATGGCTATCATTAACCGCGTCAACTCTTTGCATGCATATGCATTATCTGGTATGTGATTATAAACGCCATATCTCATCAATGCATAGGGGTTCAATTGATCATTGGTTGACGTCTCTAATACTTATTGGCCTTTGAGTGTGAGTCTCAATCCATATTGAGTTTCTTCGTCTTCCGCTCTCGGACGTTTATGCGACTAAAACTCCGCAAACCAACTAGTTATTGTTTCATGTCCAAACGGCGCCTAGTCTCTGCTATGTTCGGCGTCTTGACCTCCTAGCGGCCGACGATTTGGCGAGAAACGAGAAACGAGGAAAGGGGGGGGGGAGTTCCGAACGAGGTTGAAATGCGGAAGAGATTCCGCGTTTAGGCGAGTGCAGCGCTGTGCACAGAACCAACAGAGCGAAAGCCAAGTCGGAATCCGCTGTCACGCGCCAAAAGCAAGGGTAACAACCTGCCCGGGCCCCTAAAGAATGGCTTGCCTTGCGAACCAGGGGGCCATGGGGGCCAAGGACCAAGGGCCAAGGGTCGAGCAGAAAGACAGAGACATACAGTACCGGGGGACTCGAGGTTGAAAGAATCTGGGAAAGGGACTGCAATGGCGAGGAGAGACCCTGGGATATTGAGCGTGACGACGATATCACGGTCCGAAAGAGGTGGCTTGTTGTCGCTTCGCTGAAGTGGATTTCGACATCGTGAAGTTGATGTTGTTTGTCGGTCAAAGTTGGGGACCACACAAACGGGGAGAGGAGAGCCTTTATATACCACAGCCCCTTTACTCGGCACCATATGATTGCACGATCAACGTGGCGAAGCCAGACGCTTCTTCTCAGCTTTCTCCTCACTAATCCGCTGATTGGCTCTGTTTACGAACTATCTGACCGCCGCCCGCAAGATGAGGCTGAGTAAAGCTTCCGTGAGAGGCGTCAGGGTATCGGAAGGATTGGCTGCCGGGAACATACAAGACGAAAAGTCTGTTCACTTTCTGTTAGCTAAGGCTAGTATTTCGGCTACTTTGCTCTGGCGCCTGAGCATTAGAGGACAACTTTTTACCTGCTCCCTAGTGGGACGTGAGATTGCGACAAGATAGATGTCGCCGGGCTTGCGGATGACAGCTAGAGTATTGACATTGGGAAACGAATTGTATGAAACATATGAGAAGCAATTCTCAAGCCCTGGAGAACAGAGCGAAATGTTCTCTGACATGATAGAAAATAGACAGGCAATGCCATTGAATTACTTAAGATGTATTCTCAGTAAATAAACTCGCTATGAATCCTCCTCTTATACATTAATTCGGGGCTTCGATGCTCGGCCCCTTCTCTTCTACCTTAACAACCAGATCATAAGTCACGCGCAAGTTCTGCGCTCCACTGAGCGCCCGTGTCAGCATAGCTTCGTGCTTCTCGCCAACAAGACGTTTGAGTGCCCCGACAAGGAACCCTGCGACGATATCAACAGACCAGTCGTCAGGGATACGGCCTAGCACGTCGTCGATCTCGAACCAACCGCCGAAACGCTCGAGTAGCGCGCCAGTCTGTTCGATGCGGTCACTGATATCTTCGATGGTGAGAAACTCTTGAAAGACAACGTTAAACAACTGGCGCTGCTCCTCGAAAGAGGGTCGCTCAGATGGAGCAGCTCCTGTCGTACCAGCGCCGCCTCGGAGACAATACGAGACGGCGGTGTCGTAGTCGCCCAAGTTGTGTATAAGGAGACGAAGGGCGTCGTTGTGTTTGCGCTCCCGCCCAGCGAGAATGATAGTTTCAGGCACCAGGAGGTCATCTGGCAGACTAGACACTCGATCTCTGATTGCTGCAGCATCGTAATCATTTGCTTCTCCTAGCAGTTGAAGCAGCCTAAGACGGCTGTGCCAGACTTCATTTTCGGGTGGGGCGTTATCCCGAAGAAAATGGCTGTATGCAGGCTTCGGAGCTTGCAGTGCTCGATATGCTTCATAGGTTGACCTGACTATGGCTCGACTCTCTTCAGAAGACTCAAGATCATGCACAACTACATCCAGGTAATATGCCATCAGATCGTTTATGTAAGTGGTGTGTCCCTTGCCGAACACCAAGTGCTCGAGGTAATATTTGACGGCATCCGGCGCCTCTTTTCGCAAGATTGCAACGGCTTGTGCAGGCTCGAACTTGGGCGCTCGTCCCTTGTCTTCTGCAAAGACTTCGACACCGAGTTTCGGGTTGCGATTCGCCAACCAGACTCCGTATTCTTGGACAAGAGCCTGGCTACTAATCTTCGTCAGGTACTCACGAACACGCTGCTCGCCTTCGCGAAGTTCCTGGCCAACGTCTTGCTCGCCCTCGATAATCCGCTTCCAAGTAGCCAGTACATCGCCTGCCAGCTTTCGGCTCTGGTACAATCGACTTAGTACGAAGAGACGATGGTAGGTTTCCAGTAGGCTGACTGCGCGATCGAAGCAATCGACACCCTTGTCCACGATTTCATATAGCTCCGAGCGCACGACGCCTCCTTTGCCCAATCCTTTCGGCGAGTGCTGGTCGATCTCGAGAAGAACCAAGAGCAGAGCAGCGTCGACAGTGTGGAACACCTCCCGCTCATCAGCAACACTGCCAAATCCTTTCCTCTTCCGCCAGGTACCGAGAAACCTTCGAAGAAAATGCATCGTTCTCGGTTCCAGTGTGCCAATGCCGTCCTTTGAAGTCATCTGGAACTCCCTGCTTCGAAGATAGGCATCGGCGGTTCTTCTCACGCCACCATAGATCCATATACCACGCGAGCCTTCGATGGTTTCGTTCCGAACGCTTGGTATCAAAGAAAGTACTACTCTTGGATCAAGGCCACTCTCGACTAAAACTTCCTCAAGCGCTTTCACTTCTTGTTCGGTAAATTGCTTATCTTCTGGCGACTTCAATAAATTCGTCAAGAGCAAAATGCCTGCTTTTTGTCGTATATAACCATAAGTCATAAACTCCAACTCGGTTTGCGGCTCTCGGCCTCTGATCGAGTTGATAGTGGTAAATATCGCTTGTCTGTCCAGTTCAGCAGGGTTGAAAACATCCCCTATGCAGGCTGCCTCTAAAGTAGCGTCGAGTTGTATAAGGAGAGGATTACGGATGGCCCACCATATGTGACTCCCACTCCACACTGCTAGATTGGCATGTGCTTTGGCGAGTTGGCGAGCAAATTCTTCTCCCTCCGCGTTGCGATTTGCCTCCCATTCTTCTGGGAGTGACTCTTCATCTTGGGAGTCAATGTTCCTGTCAAAAAGCTCCTTCTCTTTCGAAAGTTGCTCTATAGATGAAGCAGTTCTTGAATCCGATGCCTTGGCTGACGATGGATCAGGTGTTCCCGGGGTGACGGAAACAGAGAAGGGCGTGTATCGTCTTTGAGAAAGTTTCTGAACAATCTCTTCAAAGCGTGTTTCTTCAGTACCAGTGAGTGAGCGGATTCCATAAACACCATCCTGACCAACTTCTTTGGCTGTCAGCCAGTACTTTTGTGGGTTTACATCTGAGCCAGCGTCGAAACGTTGAATCTCTAGACCATGCTTCAAGCTGCCATTGACTTCTTTCGTCATCGAGGCCAAAACGTATCCTTCTTCTTCCTGCATCGGCGACGGTTGTGATGAGTTAGAGTCTGAAGGAGGGCTATCTACAACAACCTCCCGAGGGTATCTGGTAAACTCAAGCGTAGGCCGTGTAGGATCTCCGTCGAGATTGACAAACATGCCAATTCCTGGTTCTAGAGGATCTGTTCCAGTAACTAACAAGAATTCGTCAGGGGTCGGAGAAGTGATATGGGGTTTCAAAAAAGCTCGGCTGGGCTTGGGCCGAGGGTTCGCTGTTTGCGAAGGGGTACCAGAGGGTGAAGGCGCAGCCGGTAAAGGTTTATCTAGTGACGAGTTTGGAGTTGAGGCTCTCTCCATGGATGGTCTCGGGCTTGAGGACAGCTGCGGTGAAGAAGTACGACCTAGGAAGTCATCGCTTTCATTGCCACGGTCTTGTCGTCGAATACTGTCTAATATTGAACCTCCCAAGCTAGTACTTCGACTATGGCTTGGGGCCTCGATAGATGGGCGGTTTCCAGTTGAAGAAGAGCTTCGAAGGAGTCCAGTTGATGTATCTGTCCCAATACTCTGAGCGTGTCCGATTTCACTAGGTGACGTTGTCTCTTCCAAAGATGAGATGCTCATCAACGGAATCTTGAGTTGTTGCTCTACATCGATAAGCGCATATGATTTAGAGTCCGCCACGCATGCAATTGAGTCTCTGCGCACTGATAGCGTGCTTCCAGAGAAGTCGATTTTCTGAAAATCGTCAGTACTTGTCGAACCTCCCACGATTTGCTGTTACCTACCTTTGTAACGCGAGCATCTTCCCCAACACGAACGGCCTGGATCTTTCGCATAAGAGAGAGGAGAATAGTGACACCTCCGGTTCTGTCTGCACCACCATCGTCAAGAGAGGGCTCGTTAAGATCAATGCCGCCTATCCAGCTACAATTCTTGACCAGCGTCGTGCCAAACACAGGGCTGAGCTCTGGTAGAGAATAGAACGTGACAGTCCAGTTGCACAGAATACATGCTTTTCCAACGCGAGGTAGTAGCAAGATTTGCTGTACACCTGGTCGCGAATTCGGAGTTCCTGGTGTTTCAACATATTGAGGACATAGTCGGGAAGCAAGTATGTAGACGGGCTGGCCGGATCGGTCGTTCGGGTCGGGGGGTATCTGAACAAAGTGAAGGAGCTCCGAGGCGGATGTGCCAACATAGAGGTTCGCATCTGAATGCACATGTTAATGATGGACGCGAAAAGTATGACTTTCTGTCAGAAGACCTACCTAAGTATTCTACACAGTTGATCTTGATGTCGTCCTGGGAACCGTCTGCAGAGAGCGGTACCTCATCTAATAATGTCCGCAGAACATAAGGGCCAATTTCGCGGCTGGTCAGCTCGGGGCTGACGATTGAAGGCCCATCGCCTGAGCCATCTGGTGTCATAGCGGCGTTGTTATCAACAGCATCATCTGAGCGAGCAGCGCATGTCCTGGTCGACTATCATGTGTCGCGAACTGAATACCAGATGGGCTGTATAGACACTCGCAAGTGGCTGGTGCAGGTATGTTGACATCAGTAGAGTGGAATAGTGGATGCATCGAAGCTCTGGAAGCTGACGGGACCTTGAGTGGGGACAGTACCTGCTGTAACATGCTTGTGGTCAGTGGCTGTGCTTCACTGAACTGCAAGGCTGCGGGGGATCAGTTCATGGACTTGCCCCTGTAACCTTGGCGTCAACAGCCTGACAGCTTACGTAGCCAATGAGCTTAGATGACACACAACGCAAACTGGCCCCAATAACCAACCGAGGAGGACGCATCCCTTCGCATGCCTTCATGGCTTCAATTTGACAACGACAACAAGTCTAGACGACGACCTCAACACCTGTACCAACTGCGAAACACTCACTTCGATACGCACGCGGCGTTCGAGGCTGCTATATACACTCCTTTGCGCCCACTCATAGATCTACAACTCGATACTACCATGACCGACGCAGCCGTTGAGGCCGCTCTGGCTTCCACGACTGAGGCCCCTGCTGCGCCTGCGCCAACCTTCGACGGAGAGAACAAGTTTCAACACGCGATTTCAGCATGGAGGAGTACGACTTACCAGCAAAAGACAAGCACGATTAAATACTAACTTTCCATAGCAATCGATCTCACGACCCTTGTCTCGAATCTCGACAATACGGCTTCAGACATTGTCGCCTACCAAAGAGACTCAACCGTTCAGCGCAAAGAGTTGGCGCAAAAGACAAAGGAGTTTCGCAAACTCGATGATTCTTCCAAGTTGACAGAAATCAAGGGCCTGTTAAAATGTACTGATAGAGCAACACTCTGACGATTCAGCAAGCTAACCATATTGCAGCCTACCAGACATTCATTGATCTCCTTACGAATCATTCTAAGTCCGTAAACTCGGCTTTCCTCCAGACCTATGCTTCATTCTCCGATGCCCCGGACCCATACCCACTCCTCGAGGCCTCGGTCGATTCGATGCTACTCGCTGAGGATACTTTACCAAAGATAACGGAAGAGAACAAGCACCTGCAAGAAAATGTCACAAACCTCACAACCCAATTAGAAGATGCCGAATCGAAACTTCAGAATGAACGAAAGACCCGAAAGGATCTAGAGGAGAACCTCGAGAAACGTGTGAAAGAGGTCGAGACATCATGGAACGCTGTACTAGAAGAGAAGACGGACAACTGGGAGGCTAAGGAGAAGACATTGGAGGACAAGCTGGAGAAACAAGAGCGCCTGTTGACTGAGATGCGTGCGAGCTACGAAGTTAACCAGCGACTGGGCAAGAACGGTGATGAACAGGAGGCTCAACGCAACCAAGTCTCAAGTGCTGAGCTTGAGATGCTCCATGCGGACTTGGATCGTACAAGCGCTCGCCTTGCTGAGGTGGAGGCACGTAACGAGCAGATGCGTCTGGAGCTTGCACAAGCCAAGTCATCAGCACAGCAGCAACCTGAAACAAACCTCGAGGACGATCCTGGTTATATGCGTGTGAGGTCTGAGAATCAGTCCATGATCCGCAAGCTAGACGCTGCTCGTGTGGAGAAGGAAGGCCTCAAGCGTGAGTTGGATGGTAAACTACGATCTATCGAGAGAGAAGTAAACGCTCTGAAGGAAGAGCGGGACACGTTGAAGACTAAGGTCCAAAAGTGGAGCGACTACGACGACATAAAACAAGAACTTGAGGTTCTGAAGAGCATTGAGTTCTCTACAGGCGATGACGATGAGGTGCGGGAGCATCTTGAAACAAAGGACGCTGAGGGTAACTCTCTTGAGAAACTTCTTTTGGCACGAAACAAGAAGCTGGGTGATGAGCTGACGGTCTTGCGTGTCTCGCACAACGACTTACAAAGCCGTCTGGAAGATCTTCAAGAAGAACTTTCAAGAACAAACTCAGAATTAGAGCGTTCTCAGAAGCTTAACCAGAAGCTGGAGAGCGATTTGGAGACAATCCAGGAGGAGGGAGCTAATGCATTCCCATCTGGAGCTTCTGTTGCTGGAACATATGTCACTCGAGCAATGGGACGTAAGAGTGGCAGGATTTCGCCCACCTCATCGATCATCAGCGGCATGGATCCTCGAATGGGCGGTGGCGAACCCGGTGAACGAGTCTATGGAGGTGGCTCAGGTATGCTGCCAATGGTTACAGCTCAGCGTGACCGCTATAAGAAGAAGAATTCAGAGTTGGAAGAGGAGCTGTCCAACACCCACCGGACAGTGTCACAGCTGCGCCAGGAGGTCGCGGCGCTGCAGAAGGACAACCTGAACCTATACGAGAAGACACGATACGTCTCAACATACAACCGAGGAGGCGGCAAGGCAACATCGTCGGCGTATGGCGCAAATCCCAACCCATCAACAGTATCGATTGGTGAAACAGGAAACCCTGGAATCGCCATGGACAGGTACCGTCAGGCATACGAGTCCAATATTTCGCCTTTTGCAGCTTTCCGCGGGCGAGAGTCTGCTCGAGCCTATAAGCGGATGAGTCTACCAGAACGGGCAATCTACTCCTTGACCCGCACGGTACTTGCTTCGAGAACCAGCCGAAACCTGTTCGGAGCGTACTGCGTGGCACTCCATTTGCTAGTATTCATGTCCTTGTACTGGATGAGTTCGTCAGATGTCCAGCGGGTAACCCACCTCGAGTCCGCCGCGGCAGCGGCAGCTGGAGTGGCCGGGGGCTCACTTGGCAGTCCAATGGATGGGGCGCCTAAAGATCCCGCCAAGTAGAAAGCGATTCGCTGTGTTGTTTTGGAAGTGTTTTGGTCGAAAAGCTCAAAAAGAAATCCGCCAGAGACGGACTGTATCATTATCAGTAGAAACCTGTACTGAGATCGGCGCTGTAGTGGAGTAATTGGATATTCAGGATCTGGTATTATGTGTATTTTGGAAGCAAGCGAGATCTGGCATGACGGTAAGCGAGATGCCAAGATGAGTGTTGGTGGCATTTGTAGATGATATCCTATGCCTTGAGTTAGAGCATAACATGATCCACCTAAGCAACCTCTTCCCAAGAAATAAACCAAACATGTGACAGACCTTTCGTTCCGCTAGCCATGCAAGTCATGATGGGAAGGGTGGTGGTGGGATCCGTAATGTTGTATGCGAAAATCGTCCGTCCCAATAAGAGGGGTTCTTTGGGTAGGTTATCTGTTTGATATTACGCGGGGCCGGTTGCTATTTTCTGCAGCCGCTGGCCGCTTATCGCGGCCCGCAGACAAGCATGCTCCGAGGTCCAATCAGAGTCTCCTACGCTGGTAACAAGTCTATCAGGACCCTGTATGCAATTTAACCTGGCCGAGGGACTTTGTTTCTCGTTTCTTGCAAGGTCTTGAATGTTTTGATGCTGGGATGAGGTTGGTTCGTCAGTGGCGCCGAGATCTTGGAATCTATTAAAGGGTCCCTGGTTAGATTGGAGATGGATGGATATGATGAAGAGGCTGGGGTGTGATTGAGATATCAATATTTGTGATATCGACTTTCTTCCATACTGGAGGGGATGGGAGGGAAAGGCGTTGGGGCACATCATCTTTAAAGTGCTGACATGAACCAAGCGCACGCCAATTACTCTACTTATAAGCTGGGCTTGCAGTAGATGTGAGGTAAGAACTGGTTAGATCTTCCAATTGATGCCATCCAAGTTCTCGATGACAATGCCACATGTCGTGTGTCGCATGGCAATGTTGAAAAAAAGCGGAAATATCGTTGTCGTGACATTCTCTAGTCCCATCCTAATGTCTTAAACGCCCATGCATCCATATGCCGGCGCCCGAGACAGGCGCTTAAACAGCCACTCTCCAACCAATCACAACCCTAGCGACTACATCTCGAAACGTATTGATTGGACATCATTGGCTGATCTGCTTCCCGCATCACATCTAAGCCAAGGTGCATCTTCAACATGGGAAAAGGAAAAGAGGGCTGGTGTTTATTTTTACATACACATCTTGGCATTTGATCCAATCATGGTCATTTATTCAGACTTACCGCCCGAGCGCTTTGGCGCGTGTAACAAGAGCCTTGGCTGGAGGGGAAGGCTGGTATAATAAGAGGTGCAGCTCGTCGACAAGAAAAGAGAAAAGAAAAAGGCAGGAAAAGATTCTCTTTGCATCTCTTGTTACACATTTCAAAGACGCTGAGCGTTCTTTTTTCCTTTTTGTTTTCCTTTATTTCCTTATATCTTATTTCCTTATTTCCTAGGTCATATCTCAAGTCTCGTTTTTTGGTTCATCATCTATAAACGCTTCTCTTATATCTGTTGGGTTCTATTTCTCGTAACGACATACGTCTTGACGACTGAAACGATACCGATATACTCTATACCCTCGACATCACATATACACACACCTTCAAGATGCAATTATCAACATTCGTCGCCTCCGTCCTGGCAGTGACTGCTTCTGCAGCTCCCAGCTTCCCTGTCCCCATCGTTACCGATACTCGATCTGCCATCGATACGTTAGGATCATTGTCTGGTTACTTCAACCTCGTTGCGGATAAGGTCAAGGCTGCCAAGGCATATGATATGGCTCCCGTCTGTGATCTCTCACAAGCCAAAATGGCTCTTGGTATGGAATACCATCCCAGTTTTTTTTTCTCTCCAAATGCTAACATATGATAAGATGGTCAATTGCTTCCCCCTTCTAAGGGACTTACACTCAAGCATGTTGCTGTCGGCCGCGGTACACAAAACTACACATGCGACACCAAGGATCCCTCAGCGGCGCCTGTTGCTACCGGTGCTGTGGCTACTCTGTTCAACGCCAGCTGCATGGCTGCTCTGTACCCCGACCTTCTCGAGCGTGTCCCCGGAATGGCTGTTCACTTCCCTTTGGCAGCCGCTGACAAGCTGGGCCCTGCCTCTCTGCCCGAATCCGGTCACCACTACTTCACTGCCGATGGTGTGCCTTACTTCGACCTCCGCACACCCGAGCAAGAGATTGGCCAGGCACCTTGCGCTAAGAACAGCAGCGCTCCCGCACCATCGCTCTCAGCCAAGGGTCAGCTCGGCGAGTCTGCTGTTCCCTGGCTCAGACTTTTCACCGTTGAAGGTGCGACTCACGACATCAAGGAGGTCTACCGAACCACAACTGCCGGTGGTAGCGCTCCTGCCACATGTAAGGGCATGGCTTCTGAATTCGAGGTCGAATATGCGACACTGTAAGTGGTTCCTTCCAATGCGAGTATATTGTGCGGTAACTAACATAGATATTAGATACTGGTTCTGGGCCGGTAAAGTCGATGAAGACAAGGCTTAAGCTTGCTGGAATACGTTGGGAATTTTTATTGTTTGCCTGGAAATAATTTTCTGTATACACGTAGATACTATCGATTTTGTTATGGTTGTATTCCCCTATGGTAGCGTTGCGGAGGTCAATAATTCAACTTGTGACTTGAGCATGTTCTGTCCGACTCGTTATAATGAATGATAAGTGTACTGGTGAGGAAAATAAAAAAAATCGGAGATATTCGAATTGTATGACATGATAGCGGCTGTCATTCTTGCATGTCTGTGTTTCCAATTCTTCAAGTCACGGCGTTTGCATCCGTTGCCCTCCGGCCTTCTCCGGGACTCGTGCCATGTGCTTGCCATTTCTCCAGGGTGATAGGATAGTTTCGGCCGCTTTATTTATACTTCAATATCTTTCCAATAAACTCTAGGTCCACGTTCTTTTGACTTCATATATCTAACGGGGATCTCCCCGTGGGGACTTGGACTTGATGGGGCTGTTTAACTGGTCCCTTGAAAGATGAAGCTTCAAAACGAGGGTCCAACCATAACCATAAGACATCCATTGTGAAATGCAATGAAGATTCAACGCCTCATGAAACCCCGCGAAATTAACAATAAGCTTAAAGCAACCACTTCAGAGATTCCATCAAGAAGAATAGCAATTGCTTGGATCGCGAACTTTGAATGCAATACCCTTAAACAGTGACGTTGGCTCTGTGAATCAGGGTAGGTGCAGCTGTGGAGCTCCTCCCAACCGGAACCTGACCGCAGCAGTGATCTTCTCAGTGGAGCAGCAGCAGTCAAGCCAAGAGCAGGCACCCAACAAGGTTAGCGATTTCCCCACGTTAGAAAGCCCGAGCCTACTAACTAAAACTCACCTTAAACATCCATCTTCAACACATCATTTCCTCCCTTCGGAGCCGCAATCAGACAATTAACATATGGCCGTTACCCAATGAAACACGGGATAAGGCAAAACTACAGCTCGTTTACCCTGTCTCAGCTACCGGAGACACAAGGGTCTATCCCCTTGTATCTATCGTCTTCTCCAGATCATCGCCACTGACCGTATCGATCCCATCATCCTTCTTTCATTTGTTGCGGCTGTGTTGAATATCAAACACAACCATTCAACATCTACAAAGGCTTCACTCGTTGAGCCGACGCTACACTCGTCTGAGGAGGCCTCTTTCTTCTACTTAAACCATTGTTTTTTGCACATAAAGCGTTTTGGAACAAAGCACCAATATACACAATCTCTACATTGTCGCATTCACGTCCCCGCTACACCCCGCCAAATCAGTAACGACATTCAAATTCCTTCCGACCGAACGCCTACAACCAGTACGGCGCATTCACACTTTCGCCCATAAAGATTATTTGCTTCCCAAACGATAAAGAGCATTGTTTTCAAACTCTCCCGGCAAAGATGACTTTCGAAATGATGACCCTTGATCCGGCATCGGAGAGAAGGAGACCAAGCACTGCTCCTCCATCCTGTGACGACGATATTTCCTCTATTTCTGAACGATCAGATTCCCGTGCTTGGTCTTATCAGAACACGTCTATTCGTTGGCCCAAGAACAAAGTACCAGTCGAGATCTTCGAAATCATCATTTCGCACCTTACGCGCCTCGAAGTCAGATGCTTGCGACTCGTTTGCAAGGAGTTCGAGACCAAAGTATCTGCACAGTACTTTCGCAATGTGGTCGTCCCATTCAAATCTGAGCTTTATAGCAAACTGGATCGTGATGAGAATGGCGTCCTCAAACGCACCTCTTCTGCCCTCCTCTCAGGTGGAATGCGCATCTTTCAATCATTTGGCCCTCACATCTGGCGCTTTGCGCTTTCGCTAGAGCTCGATGAGGACACTCTCTCATACCCCCCAATCAAACCTTCACAGGAGGCTGTGCCATCTTTTTGGGGTATATATCGTTGGCCGCATGGTACATATCACCGATACACCGACCTGGAAGGCCTCGAACAGACTGCCGACGAGACTGAGGCCATGAAGGAGGCCCTCAAATGTTTGGTCAAGGTCACAAATCTTGGTCTTTGCTGCGATGCTGGTCTTGGGTTTCTATCTGGGCCTGATCACATAGCACGCAACGCTACCACTCTACATCCTGTTTTTGCAACGCAAGATTGGCGCCGCACCGGCCTTGAGCCTCCTCACCGAAAGCAGGCTATTGTCACCTTGTCTGATTTTCATGAACTCGTCAAGGATATTAAGAAGCCTGTTTTCGAAAACCCCATTTGCTTTAAGCGGACCGTATTGCAAAAGATGGCAACCGATGCCGGGTATTCAGCTGATCAAGTTCAAGAAGCTGTACGCATGATACTCGACACGGAAGGCACTGACCTCAACACCATCGACTTTGATGAGAGAGACTCCTTACTTAACGACACGGACTCTCGACCGTCGTTGCTGAATAATCATCGGGCCAACATGGAGCACCGCGCTAACTTCGAGCCTGCTCCAGATACAACAAACTTTCCACTCGTTCCCTCCTGTCTTACAAGAGCGCAGAAGGAGATGCTCCTAGAGCTAGAATGGGCTCATCGAGCTATGATTCAATCCTACGTCATCGGTCTGATTGACAATGCTCGAGATGGCTGTTTCGCGAATCTAACAACACTCACCATTGCCAAAATCCCTAGCAGCCATGTGTACATCTTCCAGCGTCATGATCTCTGGCAGAACCTGCCCTCTCTCAACAATGTCTCATTGGGCGTTATTGCAGACTGGCGACGTGTTTCTAAAACTGCCCCAGGATGTATCGAAGATGTCCCCGTCTCTCCTGTCGATGCTGTCGGGAAGGTGTACCAGCTACTTAATAGTTACATTGGTTCACAAGCCAACATCGAGAGCCTTCACTTCGAATGGATCTGCGGAGGAGAGTTCGCGCCCTCAACGTTCCAGCGAAATCATTACATTCTTCCGGCTCCTTTCTTTGAAGATCCTCACCTCATGGCGCGGGTGGACAGTCCCAGAACTCACCGACACGAGGTCCTCATCCTGCCCTTCATCAAACATCTATCTTTAAAGAATTGCTGGGCCTCACCGCATGTATTTATGCAAACAATTCGCAATATGGCACTTTGCGCGTTGGAGAAACTTGATCTGGAATCTGTATCACTTTCCGGTCCCCCCACTCTTATCCCACAAGCTCCTCTTCAGGTGCCTGTCCATAATTTGAATGCCGTCAATCTACTGGGCTATTTGCTTTTGGCGCCAGATGGGCAACAGCAAGCTCATCCTGCACCTGGTGTGGCAGCTCCGGCTCCTCCGCCACCACCGCCGCAAGTCGCCCAAATGATCCAGAATCAGATGCCCCCCAACCTTGCGCCAGATCCATCAGGGACTCCATCTGAGATCTTAGGACAGCCTGAGATGCTCTCGTGGGCTGGAATTATCGAGCACTTCTCTCCTAGTATCAAGATTCAAGAGATCCTGGCCGCCAGAGATGAGTCTGCTCCCAATTCTACCGATCAATCGACGCAGGACCAGGCAAATCCACTGGGGCAACACATACCATCGTCGCATCGCTTGCGTACTGATGAGAAGAGATACACCCTCAAGTGTCTGTCGTTTAAATCCTGTGGTTATGTGTTGATTGATGTGGCAGCCATCAACACTAGGAGTATCCTCCCCTTGGGCACTCAAGGCATCGCTGGTAACGCCGATCTTCATAGCTCAAATCTGAGACCTCTAATGCAGAAATGCCATGATAAGCTACTGGGTCGCATTGCACCTTTTATCAGATCTCAAGAGCTATTCCAACTGACCAATGCTTTTGGTCTCGATTTGGGATGGGATAGTGTCTACGATCAACAAACCATCGCTGATGCTATAGCCGACGGCGTTGAACATCCTGGCAGAGGGCGATTCTCGGGCACAATTGATGCCACTAGCAATACTGGAGCCACTGGCTAGGTGCTAAGATAGGCAGGCTCTTCTAGGATAAGACGTGAAACCCTGGCTTGAGCATTGGATGCTTCATGCAAGGGTATGGGTGAAGATGGGAAACGGCGTTTGGTATTTGCTTTAGAACAAAAACGAGGACGATTCACGATATCTGGGCACAACAGAACTAGTCAGATGGGATGTCTAGTTATGCATTGATAGCCCCAAGCGAGATGATTTTGCTTTTACAACTGTTGCTGAAAGGACGGACGCCGTCCCGCAGTCCGTTCTGATAGTTTGCGAACCAATAGCAAGCATTACAAAACAAGAAACTTCTTTCGATAGATTGACTAGCAAAACAAAAGGTCTATTTTCGTAAGTATCAGTTGTTCTTGGAGATGGAGGGATGGTGAGGCTCGGTGTGTTGTACCAATATGTTCATTTCCATTATCCAAGCCAAGAAAAGCACGACTGGTTTGCCTGCACTACGTCACATGGCTACCGGGATCACGAACGGGACTTAGGAGGACTTGAATGATTTTATTTCGTCAAGAAACCTTGCGAATTTTTGCATGCGTTTCCCTTTAATGCCATGCTTACCGTAGCCTGCCATACACCAGGAGATGAAAAGCCACGAACCACCCTCGCAAAAACCCTAGAACAATTGATCGAGTTTTGTTTGTAATCTTGGTGTTGTGCCTCTTTGTTCAAGAGACTTGTCAAGAGTCACATAGTTACAACACAGAAGATGCCCGACGTAAACCCAGTTTTCAACCAGCGCTTAAATTTTGTCTATTTGAGAAGAAGGTTGTTGATTTGCTTAAGCAGCGGTGATAGCCTTGCGGAGGCGGGCACCACGCTGGCGAGAGCTGAGGTGCTCACGCTCAACGGCCTGGGACTTCTGGACAACCTCCTCACCCTCGGTCAGGATGAGCTCGATGTGGCAGGGGTTGGACATGTAAGGGTTGATCTAGATCGATGTTAGAGATGAAGCTTCAAGTCGGATAATTTGGACAACATACACGACCGTGGGCACGGTATGTCCTTCGGCGCTGCTTGGGGGCCTGGTTGACCTGGATGTGCTTGACAATCAGGGCACCGGTGTCGAGACCCTTGGCGTCGGCGTTGGCCTCAGCGTTCTTGAGGAGACCGAGGAGGAACTCGGCGGACTTGATGGGCCATCGAGCCTTGGAGACACCGAACTGCTTGCCTATTGATGAAGTCCGTCAGCATATTGTTCCCTCTGACGTTTTTCCCACTCGTCTGCGATTCCTCCAAATTTCTCAAAGTCCATCGCTAGCGGGTGAAGATTCTCGGATATGTCGTACCTTGGGCGGTGCGGCCAGTGGAGCCGGCGTATCGTCGCATGGGGACAGCCTCCTTGTGCTCCTTGACGTTCTCGAGGAAGGTAACAGCGCGCTGAAGCTTCCAGCCGTTGATGGCCTGGGCGGTCTCGCGAGTGTTCTTGAAAGAAACTCGGAGGTAGGCACCGCGAGCGCGGGCCGACTTCGCGGGCTGGATCTCGGTGGCAGCGTATCGAACCTGTTCAAGTGGAAAAAACCAAGTCAGTCATGACTTCCGCAAAATTGAGCCCATCACCACAACGCATATTCCGATTATGCCAACGTTGACGTTTCTCGTCGAAAGTTGCACCAGCAAATTCCTGATAATTCGTACAACAGCATATCCTTCTCTTTCTCGTCATGGCGATCGACTGGGGGCGTAATTACTGACCATCTCGGCGACTTGGGTGGTTAGTGACGGTTTCGACGACGGGACGTGGGTTGGCGGGCTGAAAATGGGAAAATCTGAAGCTCTTGCCCTAACAGGTCGGGGACCACAAACTCGCTTTCCCCACTCAATTGGGAAAGAGGCCTTAGGGTTCGCCTGCCCTGCTTGTGCGAAAACTGGAAATCAACGAAAAAAGTCGCAAATAATTCGCAGAAATTCGAGGTTGATATCAGAGTGCCAAGATTCCATTAGAATGATGTAAATAGTCACTTTTGACCGTTTCAATGGCTGTCGTGATGTGATATCGCATCCCAACTAGTATACAGCCATTCGAGCCATATCACATGACTCTTATCTTTTATCTACACGTGAAGACTGCATGCGTCGAAGCTACATCAGCCGCTCTATCCCCGGACCCGCCTCGGAGTCGGAGAAACTTGCATAAACTAAGTGGGTCTGAGCTTCAGAGAGCTTCAAAAAATTCTTTCTCAAAGTTTCCCAGAACGCCCAGCGTCCCCCAGGCAAGGCTATACAACAGACAATTTGGGCTTTGATCCACGTCCGCCTTTACTCGATAATCTTTCCGCGCTTCGAATATCTCTCGACAACAATCTAATTGTCGTATCTAATCTTTTAATCTTGTTCAATCCCTCTCAAATCGAATAAGATGGCTCCTTTCACTCCCAGAGGAGGTGCTCGTGGTGGCCGTGGCGGCGCTCGTGGAGGCGGTCGTGGTGGTTTCGGTGGTGATCGCGGTGGCTTTGGCGGCCGTGGTGGTGCGCGCGGTGGACGAGGTATGCATTGCGCTCTCGCGGCGTTGTTGTCGTGGTCATTTTGAACTTGAAAACTGACTGTTCGCAAAGGTGGTGGCCGTGGCGGCTTCGGTGATCGTGGTGGACGAGGCGGTCCTCGCGGTGGACGAGGTAAGCATTACTACTCAGAAACAACATGACTACAATGCTAACAAGATGAAAAGGTGCTCCCCGTGGTGGTCGCGGTGGTGCTGCTGGCGCACGAGGTGGTGCCAAGGTCATTGTCGTAAGTCGAACCTCAGTCAACTTTTTTTTTTTCGCGAAGTTTTGCGATCTAACTTTTTTCTTCACAGGAGCCTCACCGTCACCCCGGTGTCTTCGTCGTTCGCGGCGGTAAGGAAGATGGTCTTGCTACCCGCAACACAACCCCCGGCGAGTCTGTCTACGGCGAGAAGCGTATCTCTGTCGACGAGGTCGTCAAGAACGACGACGGAACTACCACTACCACCAAGATCGAGTACCGCATGTGGAACCCCTTCCGAAGCAAGCTTTGCGCTGCCATCGCCGGTGGTGCTGATGAAATCTACATCAAGCCTGGCTCTCGCGTCCTTTACCTCGGTGGTGCCTCTGGTACTTCCGTCTCTCACGTCGCTGACATTGTCGGACCTACCGGCTACGTCTACGCCGTCGAGTTCTCTTCCCGATCCGGCCGTGATCTTATCACCATGGCCTCCAAGCGACCCAACGTCGTCCCCATTGTTGAGGACGCTCGTCAGCCTGCCCGTTACCGCATGATCGTCCCCATGGTCGACGTCATCTTTGCCGATGTTGCCCAGCCCGATCAGGCCCGTATTGTTGCCATGAACGCCAACTGGTTCCTCAAGGTTGGCGGTGGTGTTCTCATCTCCATCAAGGCCAACTGTATCGACTCTACTGCTCCCGCTGCTGAGGTCTTCGCCAACGAGGTCCAGAAGATGCGCGCTGAGTCCATCAAGCCCAAGTTCCAGCTTACTCTTGGTATGTTTCCTTTCTTGAAGCCTGACTATCAAGTGCCTTAACTAACCTGTCCATAGAACCCTTCGAGCGTGACCATTGTCTGGTTGCCGGCGAGTACCAGCGCTACAAGCAATAGATGACTTAATTTAGTCATGCTGTGTATTTCGCTTAGGATGAAGATTGCAAGAGATGGTCTGCTTTGTGTCATGCGGTTTCCCAGGTATCTCACGGTTCCCGGTAGACTTATTTGTCTTCAGCTTGTTGCATCAGGGAAAAAATGGTTGACGGCTTTTCTTCAACAACGGCGAGGGGCGTTCCGGGTGGGTTGGATCTGTAAATATCAAATGTTTGTCCGAATCTTAAAGCCTTTTTTGGACCTGCGCATTCCCCAAAAAAGGCACTTGAAAAAGAACAACGGATATCAATCACTAGTTTGCTTTTTCTTTCGCAAGACTACGGGCCCATTTTTGTTCATTTCCACCAGCTGCGCCTGCAACTCCACCTCGACCTTTCGGAAGCACCGTCGGTTTGTTTGTTTAATGAGTGGTCGGAGAGAGAGATGGCACGGGATCAGAGAGGATTGTACGATGCTATAAGGCCAGGCTAGTGGCTCTTGTCGGTCTGGCCTACGACTTCATGATACCCCCCACGATAGCCACGCTCGGAGTCCCTGTGTTGTGTCTTTTAGATTAGAACAGTTCGAGTAATGCATGTCGTATCCCTTCAGCGTGTTGTCATTAAACATATTGTCAATCGGTTTGGTCAATGATTAGATTAAGCTTCTATTGGAACCAGATCTGTTCTAGGGCTATGATCTATGGTGTACTATATATGTTGTGACGCATCTGTATGTGCATCTACTAGTCTATGTACTTGAAAGGTTATATACTGGGTATCAAAGTATTGTCGCTCATCTCTCGCTCAAGCTACCACGGATCTTCGTCGAAACTCCAACTCAGTATCTGGAGAAGGCGCCTTGGCCATAACCACAGTCATAGGCTTCGGGCGGCTCTCACCGGCCTTGAGACGGATATCGTAGTTGATGAGCAGATGCGCCAACACAAGCTTCATCTCATTGTTGGCAAAGAAGCGACCTGGGCAAGCATGTTTGCCTGCACCAAAGTTGGTGTATGTATCGTCAAGAGATGTAAACTGCCATCGATGATTGGCTTCACTGGACTCTTGGCGGAGCTTGTAGAAGCGGAAAGCATCAAAACGTTCAGGGTCGGGGAAATAGCGCTCATCAAGAGCGATGCCTGCTTGAGGGGCGAGGACCTTCGTCCCTGCGGGTAACTGGGTACCGTCAGAAAGAGAGATGGGTTTCATGACCTTGCGGATAAAAGATGCTGCATATTGGTTAGTTGGGTGTGGATATAGATAAGTGGAACTGAGAAGGGGACTCACTGATGTTTCCGCTAAGGCGCTGGACTTCCCTCATGAAACTATCAAGCTTCTTCAGCTTGGCCAAGCTCTCTTTCCTCTCCCAGCCATTCTCTACCTCGAGAATCTGATAGGCTTCCTGGCGTAGTTCTTCTTGAACTTCTGGGTATGCTGCTAGATCACAAAGACATTCGCAGAGGAGGTTGTTGGTGGTATGAATAGACGCCGCCGCAATGATAAGCTGCAACTCAGCCTGGGTTGTAAGATCGCCCTTCTCACCCTCGGGTAGGGCATCGATAAGCCATTGGATCATATCATCAGGTGCATCTTCGCCGTTGGAGAGTTCCATATCCTGAAGTCGCTCTTCGAGGATGGGCTTGAGCAATTCTTTGGCGGTGCTGATGTCCTTTCGAATTTGGCGTAGTTCTGACACGAAGTACTGGCCAACAGGTCGAGCCCACTCAGGGATGAATTGGAGCTTGACACATGCGGTAAAGACGTGAACAGCGAAGTTGATGGTGGTATCCATCCACTGCTCGTTTCGGTTGAGGGAGGGACCGACGAAGGCTCTGCCACTGAGGCGGGTGATGGCACGAAGACTAAAGGGTTGCCATTTCACAGGCGTCCAGTCTTCGCAGGCAGGAAATTCGGTGGCCAAGATGTACTCTAGCTCTTGCTTGAGACGAGGTACCACTCGGGTGAGGTTCTGGGTCAACTTTGTTCGGATCAAGAGTGCAAGTGTTTCGCCATTATGGCCTGGTGAGAACTTGGTGTACTTGCTTTGCAGAGCCTATTGATATGTTAGCATACTGTTTAAACATACTAGTGATAGGTGATCCTTACATCTGAGACTGCTTCTGTTGCACTAAGGACATCTTCTGGGAGTCCTTTGAGTTCACCCACCAAGCTTGCAGGTACCATGACTTGTACTCCCTCAGTAGCCTTGATTTGATATACTCGATCGCGAAACTAGTACAGCATAAGCATATGTGGTGTCTTTAAGCACAACTGCAGGACAACAAACCTTTGTGTAGCTATCTTTGATTAATGATTCGGCATTAAAGATCCATTTGGTCTTGGAAGCCTTGTATAAGGGAACCTCTAGTTGAGACCTTTGTTTCCTGGGCAGTATGAACCATATTGTGAGGGCGAATAGAGCGAAAGTTATGTAATATCCGGTACGCTTTCCCTCGAGGACGAGTTGGGGATATTGAACGTTGACACCAACTGGTGAGGCGGGTAGACTAGAAGTGTTCTGCATATTGAATATGAAGAACTGAGGTAGGTAGTTTGGAACAAAGGATACGAAAAATAAAGAGAACGTTTTCGATAGGTATCAAAAGGAATCCCTCTATGTCGAGTTTCGGTTTCAAACGAATATGGAAGTCGTGATGTGTTATAAGTGCCTGGGTATCAGCAGTGTATCAGAAGAGCGTCTCCACCACGAGAGGGAATGGGCTCAGGGATCAACAAAGGCTCGGCGAGACTTTTGCTAAACAAAAATGCCCGAAGCGAAAGCGAATTGAAAAAGAAAGAAAGAAAGATAAGTCCATGGATTGGTGGGCAATTAAGTGTCCGTTTGTAGTTTTCGATTCATATGTATGGATCTTAACTCAAGAGGATCCCAGATTGCGATCGGACTATCAAGAAACATGGACTCCAGCCAAGACGGAAGCCGAACGGGGTAAAAGTATGTTTATTTCTTTTGCTTTGATCTTCTTATTGCACAGGCTGGACTGGGACGATTCATACTTTGTGTCACTTGATTATTTGTTTGTCTGAAACAAGTTGGGCTTCTGCTTTGGCCCTTTTGGCAGTAAACAGTATTAGGTAGAGAGGAAAACCTCTCGGGAAGGACCATCTCCGGATGTTAGTGTAAGAGTAGCGCGCATACTCCTTCCATTCTAAGCCAGTATTGGACAGAAACTCGATGAGTTGTTGACTGTGCTAATGTGCTTAGACCGTTGCGTATACAGTAAAAGTGAGATGTGCATTGCCCTTCCCGCCCGTCTTTTCCGATGATCATCATTGATTGGAATTAATTCGTATGAGCAGCCAATCGATGACTTGAACTAATCAATTGCCGACAAAAGACTATGGTTTAGTATATCGGCACTTGGAGTGACCGAGCAACTAGTCTAGGTAGTCTTTTGGATAGCTTCAACCTTGAGGAAGAAGGTTTAGGTGTGCCTTTCCCGGTGTGAGAAACCTTGCCCATGTTATATATGATTGCTTCTTGGGATATTGTACTTGACTCTGATATTTATCCATCTCTTCACGATGCTGGATCTTCAAGCCCTGATACTCTACAGACTCGACATAGTCTAGAGACTGAAAATATGTTCTGGAATGGCCCTAGCTCTCGGATGTCGGGTCTTCCATAAACTAGCGCCACTGACCAGCAGCGGAAATGTCAGCTTCCGTTGCAGTAAAAAGGCCCTTGCGTGTCTGGGAACTCTAGGATCCCTTGATGATCTCTCTGCCCTACAGACATGTCGGTATCGGCCAACTTGTTCTATGACAGCGACCGTGTCAAAATCATCCCTGAATATCTGAGTCCAGTCCAAGTTCCAGTCTGAACCTCAATTCCGTTCCTCCGTTCAATATTAGACGCGATAATACGATACGCGCCGCAACAAATTTGGCGTATCAGGTGTTACATCTACGTCGCCGACATGCTGGACAGGGTGAACATGAGACTCGTTTACCCCATTTTTCAGCTTCAACACCAATGATAGCCACGTTAATCAACGGGATCTCTCCCACATCCCTCTTATCTTATCGGTTCCCTGCGCTTTGTCTTGAAACTCCCATCATCAGTCAGCTTCATCTCATCAGATCTTCTCGCCTCCCTTTGCTCAGATGAGATCTTGAGATATGCATATTCTTAAAGGCCCGACTCGGGCTTTTTCTTGAGACGCCAGTGCGGCAAAGCGCTTGTTGGACAGGGACTTTGATACTGATGTTTAAGTTTACGGTTTCTAGGTTGTGAGAATGCTTCACTTGGTCTTGGCCATGGACCATGAAACTCGAGTTCAGTCCTTCAGTCTCGTCTCGTGATGCAGTCAAGAAACTCGCTTCAATCCTATAACTGGTAGAGATCCTCAGCTTCTCAAGATCCATGTCGCCAAGCCTCTGAGGGTCAGAGTGAGACGAGATATAGTCGTACGAGTTGCACACCAACTTCAGCTTCACAACAGGCCGAATTGCCCAATCGAGCCGACTACATGTTGCAGAATCTGCACCCCAGAAAATAGTAATGGTTCGCCCATCCAACATGACGGTTCATGTTCATTTCTCGACCCGCTCCGCTCCCCCTCTTCTTCCCCATGCTGTTCCTGTTGCACTTTCAAGTCCTCGTACACCAATCATCACAACCAATGCTTACCCAGACGCCCGTCGATGAAAAGTTTTTCATATCACAATACAGCAAAAACCTTGCTTTCACAAAGGATTTTCGTACTCTCGTTGGCTCGTCCGAGTTTTTCGTCATATATAGGTCCTGCTTGTATGCCTTGCCAGCAATCAGGGCGGCTCAGACGAGGCAGCCGCAGCCACCTTCATGGATCGCAAAATCAGCCGGGCGATGTTCAGCCAATATGTGAACTTGATCTTCACTTTGTTGAGGGAGCCAGCTGGCAGATAAGGAAAAATTTTCACTCTCCGTGGGGGAGCAGCAAGAACATGGTAGGAGTTGCTTGCATATTTGTGAAGTTGTTGGCTCCTATATATTCCCCGTCCTTGACTGTGTAATGTACGTGTCTCTCTTAATGTGTAGCCTCATATTCCATCTTCTTCGTAGAACTGCACCTAGCATTTGAATATGGCAGAATTCCACGGACTCGGAGCTAATTTCGATGGTATCCCCAGCTCGACAAGTGGCAGTACATCAAGTCCTTTCGTGGTATGTATCATCGCGATATCACCGTAATTCAGCCTCTTATTCTGAGCAGCAAGCTTCCGATGCATCGTCTCATACTTCGTTGTCTCTCAATTCCAATCTGTGCCTGCCACCACTCTCGACGCATGACACAGAAAAGGCACAGCATCACATGAAAAACTTCAACCGCTTCATCGAGGATCTCCAGGCAGTGAGTACTTTCTGATGATGGTATATCAGTATATTGCTTATACGTTATAGTCAGCAAGAAAAGCATTTCCCAACTCACCGTATTCTCGATATAGCGATGTTCAAGTCCTTCTGATACAGTGGGATGAAGATGAACTCCAGGTTGAGTTGGAACTCGACGAGTTGCAAACCGTCTTTGAACAAGTGTACGGATTCGCAACTCACAAGTTCCTTATTCCCACTGCCAACTCGCATCGCAAATTGAACCAGCAAGTATTGAATTTTGTGGATAAGAACGAAGATGAGGATACTCTTCTTATTGTTTACTACGGAGGGCACGGGAGTATCAACAAGGCACGACAGTCGACGTGGCACTGGTATGGTATCTCCTTCTATCATTAGTTACTCACAACTGACATAGTAACACAGCACAAGAGACAGGACTTACGCATCAGTCGAGTGGTCTGCGATTCAAAAGCTATTTGAAACAGCACAATGCGATGTCCTTCTACTCCTCGACTGTTGCGCCGCTGCAAGCGCAGCCCCTCTCACCGAGCGAACAAACTACATGATGGAGACGATTGCGGCTTGTGGGTTCGAGACGTGGACGTCTCTACCAGGCGCGCAGTCGTTCACTCATACCTTGATCGAGGTGTTGAAAGAGTGGGCTTCACAACTCCCCTTCTCTGCCGCTATGTTGCATAGCGAGATCTTGACTCGGCTCAAACATGCTCCTCCTGAACGTTCTTCGCAAGGAGTACCGATAGAGGCAAGGAGAACACCTACTTACATTGTCTCAACATCCAATCCACTTGCTGCCTCTATCACGTTGGGCAGAAGGATGCAAGAGGATGAAGAGTCTGCCTCATTTTCATCATGTCGGGCGATTCCTGACCCAAGCCTTGAAAACTTCACAGACAGGATGCAGCCAGACAACTGCTTCCCGATCCCGGCCTTGCTGGCTACGGACGCCAAAGGGCAGCGGATGGCACCGCATGTGCTTTTGACAGTTTCGTTAGAAGAGGATCAAGTCTTTGATGCCGCGAGTTGCGGTCGATGGCTGAAGCAGTTTCCACTGTTGGCAAAGCATGTAAGTGTTGAAGCTGTTTACCGCAGCTATTCAACTCTTATGGTCTTGTCTGTGCCTGTCGTCGTATGGGATCTGCTACCAGAGCATCCGGCGACTCAGTTTGTGGGATATGTGAGAACCCGAAACCTCCTGTCTAAAGACATGATAAAGGACGGGGCAGCAACACCGATTCCTATTACTGGACATGCTGCAGGAAACAAAACTAGTGGTCCATTTGACTGCACTTCCCCACCAAGATCCGCGTCAGGACTCAGCAGTCTTGACTCCGGATATGACTCGTACCTATCACGACCAGGAAGCTTGGTAGCATTGAGACAGAATCGATTACCAATGGATGGGTCGATGAGTTCCCTTGCTACTAAGGTACGAGCGGGCAAAAGACGAAGTAAGCCATCGTCGGTAGAGCTCCTGGGCTCAGATCGGCCGACTCCAATGACACCCATCACACGCTCTAGTATCAAACAAAGAGCGGGCTCGAGCAGCCGAGGATCCAGTCGCTTAGTTGTTTCGATTGGCGAAGCAGAATTGAATGGCGACAGAATTGGGCATACATGCGTGCTCTGGTATGGATACGATGTTCAGCAGAGTCGACCCGCTGAAAAGGCAATATCGAAACCAACATGGTGAGTGAAATATTCCTAATCACTAAGTGGATAAGGTCAAGCTTGGGTCTCTACCATATGACTATCCTTCTCTTGACCAACCAATAGTATCGTGAAGCTGATATGGATCTAGGAATGAGGACTTCAGATTCCGAGTACATAATTCACCGATGTGCTACCACTTGAGGGTTTCAGTGTGGGGTGCTCAAATGCTCGAGCTCATTGGGGAGGTGTATGTCGACCTTTGTGAACTGGTCACAAAGGAAAGGCTCCCAAAACTTGATACATGGCAAACTCTTCGTTGCAACGGAACCACAACGGGATCGATCCGCATCAAGCTGGCATACCTGGATGTGAGTGAGGACGAAGAACAGCAAAGCTTGGCTACCAAGGTATCAGCTGCAGAGCAGCAGGAAGAACGGCAGAAGTTGGAGCGTCAGGGGAGTGATGACGGGCAGGCTCGGGTTCATCAGATGGATTTTCAGGTTTGGTGAAGGGTGTCTGACTACCTCGGCATTGACACGGAGTGAGGGAAAGGGGCCCGGGTCGGTTGGTATTGCAAGGAATGAGACTCATCAAATTTGATGTTAGTTACGAGTGCATAGGGGAGTGCTCAAAGCAAGACAAGCCAAGGGGGACAACTCTCAGGCTAACGCTGACCTTGACAGCCAACATCCCTGTTTGGGTCGGTACTTGGTTAGAGCCCACAAAACAAAAGCAATTATCTTTCCATCTTATCTGATCGTGGCTGACTGACAGACCCATCAACCTGGGCCAGGGCTGAAGACGGCGCCATCTTTTCAGTGGGACAGAAACGTGAAAAAAAAGACTCGTTTTCCCTGATCCCTGCCCAAACAATAGCTTCTGTAATAACAAAATTCAGTCGGTGAAAGGGATCCCTGGTGAGGTTTATGTTTGTTGGGGACATGGAAGTAAAGGGGGACTTGTGCAGTTGACACAGACCAAGTGGGATAGAAACGGATTGCCTGATCAACCTCTGCATGTGTGTTGTTGTACACGTGAATGTCACAGACTATTGAGCTGCATAGCATGGCTGACCAGCATATATCCATAGAATTAGAGGTGCCAGCAAAGCAGTGGGTAATTTGGGCATTAAAGGGTATATTTCTCAATGTGAAACTGACTCAAACTTTTTCATTCGATCAGTTCCGAGATCGGTGGAATTGCACATCGTAATTAATGAGATGCGTCTCATCTCTCGAGATTAGATTGGATTGATAAAGGCCAATCCATCTGATAACTTTTTTCTGGGCGCCAGGACCAAGGCTGAACAACCACCAACCATGACTTGTTGGGATGATCCGATTGGTGGGCATGCGCCATTCGAAAGGGAGAAACGAGGAAAGAGTGCCCGGAGCCGGGGTGTCCAAGTTTGTATCCAAGTTAGACTCGGAGCTAGAAGAAAGAAACAGACAGCGAAGGCCAAGACAGTGCAATCTTTGACTTGGTGTTGGTGTATCAAAGACTACCTCAGGTGAAGCAAAGGAGGCATGTGACCCCGACTTTGACCCCTTTCTAGTCATTCCTGCGTCGGGAATATAGAGTCCAATGCCGTGAAATACACACAACGATACTGAGATCACATCACACAATGCCAGATTGCACGATCTGTGTTGATGTGGAGAAATCGAAGCAGCCACAGATCATCCATTATCGCTGCAACACTGTATGTGCCACTTGTACAGCAAGTTAGCGCATCTGTATCGGTTCAGATTTCGGAGTTGAACACCTTCAACTCTTCAAACTTGAACAAATCTGGATCATGAATGCGGGGAAATGGCTGCGAAGTCGGTACTTAGTGAAGGATATGGATCTGATAACTAGTCAGACCAGTGAAGCTGGACTGTCCGCGGGAAGAGATAGCGCTTTGCGGGCGTCGCCGTACTTGCGGTGATTGATTTCCTTTTCCTCGGGACGCCCCACGGAAACGCTCGGTTCGGCCATCGGAAGGGATGAAATCCGCTTACTGTACCAGTTGAGAGGGTCGGCAGTGGGCCGGATACCGATCAATGGATCAAAGGAAGTTCCTGTATTTCCGACATTTTTACCATGATCTGATATCAAACAGACTGAGAGTCTGAGCGGGCGTAATCGTAATTGATATCGTTTTAATTATACGACTCAATTGTTGGGAAACAGACAGGCCATATTGGCGGAATTAGACGGCGCATTCTGTACTTATAGTGTCTGTGGTGGCCTGACCCGAAGCCGGGAACCGTTGTCTTGTTGACCCGGTTAGTTAAACGCCTGCCGTGACTGGTCGGATCCAGGTCCCGAACCCTTGTTTCTTCTGGTACTGTAGCATAACCGGACAGAGCCTCATATGAGTTTAATGAGTGTGTGTGTCTTATGTTGGATCCCGACCACTCCCTCAAATGGCATATGATCGATGAACCGAAAAGATCCGAGCAATAGTCTCCTCGTATGATGCGCATGTGTTTGTTCAAGTGCTTGTTGGTGTTGTAATTTACAGCACTGTATTCATCGGATCATGGTAAATTGGGCGTGTGTCTAGCCTGTCATCGTCCCAAGAAAAATAAGGATTCGATGATCCTAGGATATGCCGACCTCTCACTGTGAGAGGTCGTCGTTGTGGTGTCGGGGAAAGAAGCCGGCTAAGTTGTGCAGTTATGCAGATGTTGCTACCCTAGAACAACGTTGACTTTTCTAGTTTTTCTAGTTGCCGTTTCAATTGATCGACCTCCATTTTATATCAACAGCTGGTAATTTGTTTTCCCCGCTTGTGAACTACCAAAAGATGGTAAGACTCTCAGGGTTGAGTTGGATGCCGGACATTGAATAGCGAGATCTCGTGACGTTGGAATGGATTGCCCAGAATGTTAGAACAGTGTTGATGGGTCAAGACGAAAATTGATCGTCGGGTGGCTGATTGATAAGGGGGGCACAAAGCTGATGAGCCAATCAGAGATCAGACTTGTGCAAGCCGGCCTTCGTTGCACAATCCGGTCACTGGATCGGCAGGCATTAGATCATAACCCGTCATGGAAGAGAAAGAGAGGGAAACCCTTCGCCAACTATCGATAAACGATAACAAAAGTTGCATAATTGATTGATTGGAGGGCGCGTATCGAAGCTTGTGAAAGGGTAGTCCGAGTAATGGATGTTAACGATGAATCCAAAGGAGAAACAATTGCTTGATGGCTGACCCCACCAGGTGGGCAACAGAAGAAATGTCCTCTTAGGCTTAGACTACCAGAATAATGCAGCCAAAATGCTTCTCTAAATTACCATAAAATGACTAAACTATTTCAATCCTTATGTTTATGACGGTCAATTCTTCTGACACCCTGCGGCCCACGTGTGCTACATAACTGATTGATTGATTACAACAGCTGAGACAAAGCACTGACTGATTGATTAAGGTGATTGATCAAGCATTGATTGATAACGAAATTGCGGCAGGGTCATTGAGACACGCAATTCACTTTCAACTCTCCTATTTCGGAGCTTGAGTTTGTTCAACAAACCATGTGCAAACTCTCAGGCTCCTATTTGATCATCATAACCAAACAATTACTGTGCATCCTATAATCATTCATCGTCAGATCTTGGTTGTTGAATCGTGCGCCAAGTTCACACCACTCTAGGGGCTAGAGTCGCTTTGGACCGGACAGGCACCTTCTCGAATTCGGGTTCTTTTACCCTGGGGCTGGACCTAGACCTAAGTCTGAGCCTGGGGAAAGGAGAATAACCGGGTGATTGGATTGCAAGGTTATCTGACCTCGCATGTACCTGAATTGAATATGATGCCACGAAACCTGTGTCATGACTAAAGTTTGTTCTGATATTTAGCATGATTATGCGGGTTACAAGCACTATTAGACTGGACGTTGCGTCTGTTTGTTTGTAGAGTCAATCAATCAGCAGTAAAGACTGATAAGATAACACGGGAAGAGATCCATTGGTAGATGGTTAATGACACGCCCCTGAAGACACTGAGGACAGTGCCAATGCAAAGCACCTGATAGCCAGCCCCACGGTGGAGATTCCCCAACCCGCATCGGGGCGCATCCATGGCAATGGCAAGAGCAGCCCAGAACAAAGAACCTAACAGAGGCAATGGATTGGATTTTAAAAAACCTCCCGCCCGCTCTCGGCCGCTACTTCCTGTATTTGAGTCTTTTGCCCCCTCCAGCTTTCTCAAGCTTCTTCTTTCCACACCACCAAGCTTCTTCTTGACTGAAGTATCTTATCGATCAATTACATCTCCAACTTTGCAATCCCTACAAACTACATTCTTACCTCTCAGTCACAGCACTTACAATCCCTGTTTGCTGCTGCATCGTCATGCTTTTTGAATCCTGACGTCGCCCGTTCACAAACTTTACTCGACTAAACCGAATTCACCAAAACCGTCACAATTTATTCGCTGCGAAGAGCTTTTCAACAACACCTACACCCGACTCTTCAGTTGCTCAATCACAACTTCCAGCGGGTGGCTCATACACATTTTTGGCCCATCATGACTGCTCCTGCTATCCGAATTGACGGCATCGTCAACCCCGCCGCTCCACCTCAACCCGAATTGATCATGGCCGAAGGTGCACCTTCAATTGCACCTTCATTGACCTACTCAGACGATTCCGATTCCCAAGAAGATGAGCCCGCCATCCCTCTCGAGCGCCGCCGCCGCGCATCTACACGCTTGATTGCCCAGAATGCTAGAGACATTCAGCGAATCACTGGTGAGACACCAGCTGAGTACATGGGCCGATGCTGTGGTGGTGCTTGCTGCATGAGTGACCGAAATGGCATCGAGTATGAGGAGATTCCTCTGCCTGACAATGACGCATTCAAGTCTCTTGGTCTTCGACTCGAGAAGCTTCCTGCCAATTTGACTGGCATCATCCCTATGCCTGAACAAACTGTCCACTTCACCTCAATCCCTCGGCCGACTTCTTCACCTTCCGACTCAGCTATCTCGCTCGGCTCAGACACTGAGTCAGCCCCCACATCCTCCTCTCCCAAGAACAACTACCTGGTTCCTGGGCCCGGCTATGAGGGCGTCGACACCTCTATCCAACCTCCTCGCTTTGTCCAACCGCACCCTCCCCACAACGTCTACCCGGCCAAGATTCATAATACTCGTGAGCTCACCAAGCCTGGTGCTGAGAAGCGAACATTCCATTTTGATCTTGATATCACCGACTACCCTCCTGAGGAGGTTTTCGACTTCAGAGTTGGTGGCGCCATCGGTGTCATGGCCCCCAACGATGAGATCTCTGTGGATGAGATTCTCGATGCCCTCATGATCCCGCGTTTCCAGCGTGACAAGCCTGTTCTCATGAAGACAACCAAGGGCCGCTGGCCTACCGTTTGGGGTGACGACAAGCCTCGCGAGCTCATCACTACCCGCCGCGAGCTCCTTACCTGGACCACCGATATTCAGTCTTATGCTCCTACAAAGGAGCTCCTCCGTGTCATTGCCGAGCATGCTACTGCTCCCAATGAGAAGAAGATCCTTGAGTATCTCTGCTCCAATGAGGGTGCCAGCATGTTCTCCGACTTCCGTGGTGGTCCCCACACCACCCTTTCTCAGATCCTTAACGCGTTCCCCAGCTCTCATCCTCCCATGGATCAACTGCTTTCCGTCCAGGCTCAGCTCATGCCACGATTTTACTCTCTTTCCAACGATCCTACAGAATCATACACCCTCCGAGAGCATGCTCAGCGCCGTTTGATTGAGATTGCTGTCACAGTCCACGACTCCATGGACTGGCGACGTGGCTGCCGTGCTGGTGTGGGATCCGGTTTCTTTGAGCGACAGGCTCATAAGTTTATGAGAGCCCGAGAGGCTGGCGAACGCACCCCTCAAATATACATCCCCATGTTCAAGGGTTTGATGGCTAACCCACTGGCCAAGCAATTCAATTCTGACGGCCCTATGCTTCTGATTGGTGCCGGTGTTGGTATCGCTCCCTTCCGTGGATTCGTCCAGCGCCGTCTCAAGCAGGCCAACTGCGCCAACAAGGTTTGGGTCCTACAAGGTATCCGAGACTCTTTGGTGGATGAGATTTACAGTGGCGAGTGGGGTGTGCACGAGGAGGAGGTCAAGCGTGTGGTCCAGAGCCGAGTTGGTACTGGCAAGTACGTTCAGGAAGAGGTTATGAACCAGTCCGATCTCGTCTGGTACATCATCAACTCATTGGACGGCCGCATCTTCGTGTGTGGAAGCAGCAAGGGTATGGGCGAGGGTGTCGAGGATGCTCTCTGCGACGTCGCCATGGAGAAGGGTAACCTCGAGCGCGAGGAGGCTCGCAACTTCTGGAAGCTCAAGAAAGAGGAGGGCAAGTACATCTCCGAGACTTGGTAAATGGTCTTGTTTGGCTCATTCACAACTTGACCCGAGCCCATTGGTCCCTGGAAGGAGTTGGATACGTTCGCCCCATACGACTGGTGGCTTGATGGAGAAGGAGCATTGTACAAACTAAGGATTGCTGGCCGACACAGGTTAGATGGCCGCTGCAAAAGCGAGAAGGTTAGCATATGGCATTTTTTATTTGAGATGAGAGGAGCACTGGGCATGGTAAAGGCGTTATTGGTTCATGAGTTTGGGCGGTCATCTGCTCTTGGGAGTCTTGACTATTTTCTATGTGGAAAATACCCTCGGCGGCAATCTGGCCTGGATAAAAATATCAAGAGCCTGTTCTGCCCTATTCGAGAAGCGAAATTTACAAAATTCAGCAAACATTTTAGCAATTTGAAAAGCACTGGTGATATATCCTTTATTCACTTTCTCTTCTAAATCTTGTGGTAAACTTCAAGACATGAAACCAACGCGTCCCAGTTTTGGCATCATGGCTACAATTCGCATTTCCTTCAACATCCAATTCTGTATCGACATGCGGATAAGAAGTCCAATCTGCGCGATATGTCTGGTTCCGTCCCTCCCTCACCGAACGGTGAGTGCAGATTTTGGACGGCAGGATCATTAGACGTGTTCCCGTATCAAGCCACGGATGACGCCAGATTTCCTCTTCTGGCGTCTGAACCAGTCTGATAGGCCCGGCACTCGCTTGTGGCAGATGCAAGGGTTCAAACGTGTTTATGTCAGCGGAATTTCCAATTCTCACATCGTTCGGCTTCTTCAGCGGTCTTGCGCGCGCGCGTATTGTAAATCAGCAGCGGTATAAGGTGGGGTGGAAATCCGGGGCTAGTAGAAGACTTTAATGGCGTCTTAGAGAAGTGCTCATGAATCAAGGTATGAGAGGGGAAGCCTGTCCGAGGAAAAGTTAGATTTCACATGGGTAATAGTTATTGAGTGTCTCGTTCTTCAGTATGAGGTTGAGGTCTATTAGGTGGGATAAAGTTTTTACTCGGAGGGACACCTGAATTACTTGTGAAGAGAGTAGAGCGGTGTGTACTATGTTTTACATTTAAACAGTCAGCATGGGTGATTTAAGCTCTCGGCATTTATGCACCTGTCACAACACATCTCATCCATGTCACTATGTTCAATATAGCATCAATACTTGAAAAGTAGTATACGAGAACCAATAATCTTGACTAAAATCAACCATAAAAGAAGTCAATGACTCGGAATCATGTTACGAATTCCGAGTCAAAAAATATCGTGATGGCTTCAGGGTAGATCTCTACTGCCGACGCTTATCCTTGTCAGGCTCATATATCCGGCTGAATAATGCTTTGGCAATTCTAACTGGCTTAGCGCGCGCACGCAAAAGGTGCGAGCCGGTGGATTACAAACGTACTAACCAAATTAGTACAAGCTTCATAGTACCTGACTGATGCAATTCCAGTGATGCATTATTAGTCAGTGGGGATTGACGATTCCAAAGAATTGCTCATTCGTGCTTGGGAATCAAACTCGTCGATGGAGGGTCCAACATGGCGGGGCAACGTAGATGAATAGTGCCGTCGTAGTCTGGTAAGTGAGAATGACATTGCTATATATTCGACCTGTTCCCCGTCGTATAATCTATCTCATCATCAGCTTCTCACTCAACTCATATACCACTTACACTAAGTCTCATACCAAACACATTAAATCATCTCTTACAATGGCCGCCAAATTCTCTGCCAACGCCCTCATCGAGCTGGCCAAGAACCGCCGCTCCATCTACTCTCTCTCTAAGAAGCTCCCCATCTCCACCCAGCGCATCACCGAGATCGTCAACCAGACCACTCTCGAGACTCCCTCATCCTTCAACTCCCAGAGCAACCGTGTCGTCGTCCTCTACGGCGCTGAGCACGACAAGCTCTGGGACATCACATCCGACGCTCTCAAGGCCATCGTCCCCGCCGAGAGCTGGGAGAGCACCGCCGGCCGCATCTCCGGCTTCAAGGCCGCTGCCGGAACTGTCCTCTTCTACGTCGACAACACCACCGTCGAGACCTTCCAGAGCAAGTTTGCCGTCTACGCCGACCGATTCGAGCCCTGGGCTGTTCAGTCTGCTGCTATCCAGCAGTACCTCCTCTGGACTGCTCTCGAGGCTGAAGGTCTCGGTGCCAACCTCCAGCACTACAACCCTCTGATCGACGCCAAGGTTGCTGAGACCTGGAAGATCCCCTCCGCATGGACTCTCAACGCTCAGCTCGTCTTCGGTGCTAAGGAGAGCGAGGCCGCCCCCAAGGAGTACATTCCTGTCGAGGAGCGTGTCAAGGTTTTCGGCGCTTAAACGTCTTATGAGGCATATGAACAGTGAATTGGATTGGGATGAAAACTGCATTTTTAGCGAATAGCATTAGATGATAGAGTATAGAGCTCGACATGTCCTTAATGGACGAATAAAAAAATCATTATATCACAAAAAATCGGTGCCATTGAGAGTGTGATATACTGCTAACTTAGGAACACTGCGATAAGTGGCTAGTTGAGGACTAATCGATGGTGGCAAGTCAAGTAAATGAAAACGCTTCATTGGCTGATGCATTAATGGAGTGGTATACAATTATATATAAATGTCCAAACGCTCAACTATGTTTTTACTGTTTGTACGAGACATGGCGTTACTCAATAATACGGCCAAGAGCCTGTCCCATCTTTACCTTTTGCTCCTTCTCCACAGCCCACTCCCAACCGGTGTGCTTGTTGTCCTCACCCACTTTGTTTGCGGGTGCCTCAAATACGAGTACGATAGTGCTGCCCAGTTGGAAACCGCCCATTTCTTCACCGCGTCGAAGTGCATGGCCTCTCAGAACAGGGCTAGCAGCCTCGTACGTGGCTTCAGCGAATCCGTGGTACACCTCACCCCTGCTGGCCGCCTCCTCTGCAGCTCGATCCGCAGCTGTGTCGGTCAACAGGCTGTTGGTTCGGAGTTCCTTATCAAAGTTGACTACGATGGAGCCGACATTGGTAGCACCGACTGGAACATAGCTGAAGAAACCCCAGCGCCAGCGTCCCAGAAGGACTACACGTTCGTTCAGGGTGAAAAGACCAGGTAGAGTTCGCTGAAGATAAGGGGACACGCTGTAAAGTTCTCCAGCGAAATGGCGTCGGCGGTCAACGACCCAGTTGGTGGGAGAGTGGAAACGGTGGTAATCGCCGGGGGCCAAGTAGATGACTGCATAGTAAAGGGCTGTAGACTTCTCCGGTGATACGAGATCGTACCAAGGTCGCTCGCCCAAAGCGAGTTCGGCACGAACTTCAGAGACTGTACCAGGAGATGCGGGCATAGATTCATCCTTTGCTGAAGGAGCCTGTTTTCCACCACCGGAAAGGAGATCGGGAAGGGTGTAATGAATGCCATTGACCTGAGCAAACTCCTCGTCCTGCTTTACAAGAGCTTCCTCTTCCGAAATATCGGTGGAAGCTAGGCTGGTCGCAGGGGTCGAGGTGCCTGAGGCTGAAATGCTCGCAGGAGGCGTATTCTTTCCAAGGAGAGCATCGATACTATATGTCATACCCTTAACTTGCTCGATGTCACCGCCTTGGATCTGACCGAACTGCAGAACTTTGCCATCGGAGGGGCAGACGAGGGTATGAGGATCTTGATCGAGGGGTCGAGCACCGGGCTTGAGAGTACGGTAGAAGAAGGATGCTAGGTTGGGATAAACATGGAGATCGGGTTCGGCAACTTCGTCAAGGCTGTTCTTGTTAGCATGAGCTTGATAAAAGATTAGCTGGGGTGACAAACTTGACACCGAAAATCCAAGAATACAGCTTGAAGCCAGGGACACGCAGGTAGTAAGGGATAGTCAGCTCATTGAATCGACCCCAAAGTCTAGAGATAGCCTTTAGGGGCAGAGTTGACATAACCTGGACTTGCCTGAACTTGAGTTAGCATTGATCTAGGTATAGGGGCAGAGAGAGGTATTTCAACGTACCAGGGACCATCAGGACGAATTCTGGCACGCTTTTTTGGAGTCCTAGTACCCTCCTGTCCATCCTCGATATCGGATCTCTCCCTCTCACGGGAAGAGACCTTATAAAACTGGACGAGACCGAGAAATCCAATACCTAGACCGACAGGGATCTGGTACCATTGGATTTTGGTGTTGCGCATGGCCTCGCCGAGGCGCTGTGAGAATCTCGGTCTCTTGCCCGAATTGGAGGCGAAGGTTCGAATTGAAGAAACCGAAGGCCGTGTTAGGCATCGCGATCTCGTCGAGGCTTGGAGCATGTGTCGCGAAGCAGATGGCGAACCACAGTTTGCATAGCGACCGTGGGTATAGAATGAGTTGCGGAGCATGTGACTGCCGAGTTGGGAGGAGCCATGACCAAGGGTTGGCGCCATGGTGGGCAGAAACGAGCGACAGCGATTGAACGCTGCCGACTTTGATCTATCGTCTGTCGCGGATCAGATGAAGCGAATTGAGGCAGATGAAGCCTCTCAGAATGAGCTGGGACCCTTTTTTTCGACGGATGTTGACGTCAAAAACCAGCGATGACGATGGGCTGGGCTGCTCAAGCTTGCTTGTTAGTTAGTCGCACACATCTTCTTTGGTAGGTGGGTTGCAGGTCTCGGATGTAAAAGACGCCGACCGCCGAGAGTTGTCTCTGTCTGTCTTCTCGAAGAAAGCTTGAGTGACAAACAGTAAACGGGCGTGGGTAAGACTAGAGGCAGACCGAACCAATTAGAAATCATCCTCAGCGATGAGCAACTCCAACTGAATACATCCAAGAGTACGTACCGTTACCGCAATTGCTCCCCCGGTGTCGCAGTGCTAATGCCCCAGGCCGACGTAACGTGCCCAAATCTGTACCTGAGCTTACCTGAGGTACCATGCCTTAGCTTGCCTAGTCGCAGGACCCCCAAATGGCAAGAGGCCACCCTGACCACTATCCAGATCGATGAACCATCACTTTCATCACTCCTTTCTCTCCTCAGAAAGCATTGCCTTTTAAAGGCTAACAATCGCCTATATTTTCCAGACCGTTTTTCACAGCTTCTACAGCCTTTACCGTCCACCATTTTTGTTTACCGTCTCGTGTTCTCATCGTCGCTTCTTTCGCCGCCCGAAACTCTCCCTTGACATGCGACCCATTTAGTGTTAGTAAGACGACACAAACCGACGTCAGTAACCAAGTCGGTGCTTTCCCTCAAGTCAAGGACGTGAGCTCTCGTAGATCGACAGCCACGAACAGGGAGAGGCGAACTCTTATATACTATCGATTTTCGATATATGTTCCTGCATTATAGCTTCTTCGACGTCGATCCGTCGCATCCTTCGTTCTTAGTCGCCGTTCCTTCACTCCGACACTTCGGACTATTTCATTCATCCTTAGCTTACCTCGGCGTGGCATGCTACTAGCCTAATCATCATGGCTACTATGCCTCCTGCAACTGGTCCTGAAGATGGCCAATCTTCCGTCACCGCGACTTCAGCAGTCGACGAACAGACTATAAATGTGCAGGTCCTGTCACCGTCTAATGGTGTAACCGGGCCTCTGCTGTTTCCTGGTCTCGCTGCCAATACCACCGTCAAGCAGCTCAAAGACAAGATTCGACAGAGCCTTACTTTGCGCCCTGCCGATGAGAACCAGCGATTGATTCATCGGGGGCGCGCAATCGTGCGCGAGTCGGACACCTTGCTTGATATATTCGGCGCAGATGCGGTACGTCTTCAGTTTGACACCCTTGCCCTGTGTAGCCTACTAACAGCTTGCCTCTCTTTCTATAGGTCCGAAACCCCGAGCAACATACAATCCATCTAGTCATTCGTGATGTACACGATAGTCAAACTTCGGCCTCGACCGCCCCTTCTGCGCCTCCGAACCTAGCTGCTCCTGGTCCAGCATCAGCGCCGGCGCGAGGACCCAGCCCGACAGCTTCTGCTCCGCCGACAAATCCTCCACGAGCACAACCACCTTTTCACGGTCAACCATTCGGATACCAGGTGCCTTGGCGAAATTCGATGCCTCCAACTTCCAACCCGTTCCCTCAGCCTCGTATGCCGTCACCTTCTCCGACCCACACCCCTGAGCAAGCTGCGGCCTTTCAACACCAACACCAGAATATGACACAGTGGCTGACTAATATTCAACGAGAGGCCATGGCAAGAGCACTTAACCAGAATCAACGTACAAGGGCTCAGATGGGAATGCGTGGTGTTGGAGATAATGGTGCAGGGGCTGTTCCGACAAGTGAGAGAAGCGGTCGAGCGAGCCCAGCTCCAGGCCAAACCATATATCGCGAGCATGTTGGACCTAACGGGCACACCACCTACCAGGTTCAGACTTTTACAAGCTCTGGAGGAAGCGGGCAACAGGGTCACGGCAGTGCCGCTGTTTCCATGTCACCAGCCGATGTGCATAACATTATTCGAAGTGCCGATGTCAACCAAGCTACATCAGCAGCCACCAGTGCAATGCAGCGCAGCGCTTCTAGCACATCTTTACACAACCGCCCTTTGGCACAACCTGGAGTGACGGCACCTCTTTATCCCTATGGATATTCTGCCATGTCGAGCAGACGAGGGACTCCGGAGCCAGCTTCTACTCGACTTGCTCCCACGGCAGCTTCTGGCAGTTCTCAATCAAGGCAAGGGCCCGAAGTTTACATTCTCTCATCACCTGAAGGCCCAAGAGCTTTATTGTTCAACAACACAAGCTCTGAGGCATATTACACCCCACGACTACGCACTCAGACAAGCCTCCCTCAACTTCGACAAACCATGCTCAACCCGTTACAGGAGTCTTTTAATGCACAAATGCGACATAGACACCACCATCATCACCACCACCATCCTCGGCCCCAAGTGCCAATGCAGCAGCACCTGGGTCAGATGCCACCACAAGCACAACCTCATTACCCTCAAGGCTTCCGGCCCTTGGTTCAACAACCTATGCCCCAACAGCAACCTGCAGTCCAGGGACAGGCTCCGGTTCAGGCTCAAGCCCAGGCTCAGGGTCAAGGCCAAGTACAAAACCAAGGCCAGGAACCAGAGGCCGGGGCGTTCATGGGCCCCTTAATGCACCGAGGTAACCCACCGATGGGTGCACTTCCGCCACTTCTTATACAGCTATGGCCACAGATTTGGCTACTGTTTCGTTTGGCTCTGTTTGTCTGGTTTTTCACTTCTCCTAATGCGAGCTGGTCTCGATGGTTCACTATTATCGTGGTCGCTGTCTTCATCTTTGTGCTCAGCACTGGTGTTTTGAACGGAGTTCCAGACCACGTCTGGCGACCACTGGGACGACACCTCGAGAACTTGATTCCTTTGGACCCAAGAGGACGGGGTGCCGCTGCGCCGGAGCAGCGTAACCAGCAGAACCCACAGCCTAGACAAGACCCTGACCCTACTGAGATGGCAAGACGACTTGTAGCGCAGCACCAAGGCCAAGAGAATTGGGTTATTTCTCAAGTCAGACGTCTCGAGAGAGCTGGCCTCTTGTTTCTAGCAAGTATCGCACCGGGTGTTGCAGAAAGGCATATTGCCAACTTGGAGGCAGCAGCGCGAGCTGAAAGGGAACGCATAGAAGCTGAGGCAAGAGAGGCCGAGGCAGCAGCGGCGGCGGCTCAAAACGATGAAAATAATGAAGCCCAGGCTGGAGATGGAGAGGAAGCGACGACCACAGGCATTGAGGCAAATCAAGTGGAGAGGGCACCGGAAGACCGCGAGGGACCACCAGCAGAGCAAGGAGTTCAAGAGGAGAACCAGCATGATGAGAGGCAACCACTTATTCAGCTGTAGGGAGAAATATTTCCGGTCTGTGGTAGGAAAACGTTGTATGTGTTCAGACGAGACGCGAGACGAGGGGAAAAGTTTATACCATGGTGCCTGCCACTCACAGCAGGCGCTGAGTCGAAGGGGAATACTGGAGTTGATGGTGTTTCGTTTCCTTACTTCTATTTTTTCGTCTTAACAGCGAAATCTCATTATAAACCAGCTGGGCGTCGGCCCTTGTGTTACTTTGACATTCATCTACTAGCTAGCGTTTAGAGAGCTTGTCTTTTTAAGTGTTGTTCCATGATGATGACATTTAAAGACCAGCAAGCGTGCTTAAAGGCTGTTGTTAGGAGAAAGTAATAAATAATTATAAACGATTTCTCTCGGACTTTTCCATTGTCTGGTACATTGCAAGAATTCTAGCGTGATAATCGCAGGAATGTTAAGGGCGGTGATGTCGTAGCTGTGTTGCTGCCTCAAATCTCTTATCTTATCGGTGGGGGATGATATCAGACATCGTGTGGCTTTGAGCTTCGTGCTTGGCTTTTGAAGCTTCCAGTTCGTCATTCACTCCGCGAAAGCATTTTCACACAATCCTGATACCCCCTGACATCCTACCTATCGAACTGCATATCGTGGAAAAGAGCAGATAAATATTGCTCCCTCTTCTCTTTTGCTTCATCATTTCTGGTGCTGAATTCTAGCTATTATATCTGTCGCTACAATGAGTGGTGGATGGAATACCAGTAAGTTCCTTTGTCTTTCTCTGTAATAATCGGAATGCTAACTTGGTGACTAGTTGAATCCGATGCGGTACGATGCGAGCCTTCACTTATCGATCTCTTCGAAAGCTAACAAAGAGCTAACAGGGTGTCTTTACCTCCCTCATCGAGAACCTCGGCGTCAAAGACGTTCAATTCGAAGAACTTCTTACACTCGACCCCTCAGAGCTCCTCACCCTCCAGCCTATCTATGGCGTGATCTTTCTCTTCAAGTACCCGACCGACCAACCATATGCGACACCAGAAGGCCCCCGCGACGGCTCTTTCGACCAAGCCGCCTCCGAGAACATCTTCTTCGCCGCACAGACTATCCAGAATGCATGCGCTACACAGGCCCTCCTGAGCGTACTGCTAAACAAGACGAAAGACGTCGAGATAGGTGAGCAGTTGGGCGACTTCAGAGAGTTCACCATGGTGTTGCCACCCGAATTCCGAGGTGAGGCGCTTAGCAACTCTGACCTCATTCGCGAGGTGCACAACAGCTTCGCTCGCAGCAGTCCTTTTGCCGACGAGACGGACAAGACTGGCGCAGAGGCGGAAGATGCTTTCCACTTCATCGCTTACACGCCCATCAATGGCACACTCTACGAGCTCGACGGCTTGCAGCCCCATCCCATCTCCCACGGCGCCTGCAACTCTGAAGATTTCCCCACCAAGGTCGTCGACGTTCTTCAGCGCCGCATTGCACGATATGACGCCACCGAGATTCGCTTCAACCTCCTCGCTATGTGCAGGGATCTTCGACAGCGAGCGCGCGACTTTGGCGACCAGGAATTGTTGGAGAGGGAGGAGCGCAAGCGCCGAGACTGGATGTTTGAGAATGCTCTGCGAAGACACAACTTTGTCGGCTTCGCGGGTGAAGTGATGAAGGGTGTTGTGCGCAACAAGATCGCTGAGGGTGGTGATGCTGCTTGTGATAAGTGGGTGAAGGAGAGCTTGGAGAGAAGAAAGAACGCGGAGCAAGCTTACAGAGGTCGAGGTGGCGGCGGCGGTGATGGAGATGGCGATGTTGATATGGGTGCTTAAACTACTTAATGAACTTGTCACGGCGGGAATAGAGATACCATGTTTTGTGACTGGGTTTTATGAGCGAGCAGAAGTTGGGCTCGTGGTTGACACTTCATGATAGAGGCTATAGCTATGCATTAAAGACTAAGCTCGGTTCTTTTGAAGAGACTATAAAGAAAATATCTACAGCTCATATCTCATTTCATACATGACATTTGACATTTCAGTATCCAGCCTTTGCTGATCAGGCTCGCCCTTTTCGCCGCATTGCTTGATCCCGCAGGCACTTGCCCAGTGATCAAATACTATTGTAGGGAACTCCGTCCTGTTGTCCTCATCCAGAAGCAAAACCTGTTCCGTACCACAATTCCAAAATGAGGGTACCTCCCTAAATGATCAATACAGAGAATGGAAAGTGTCATGCGTGGGCAACGGCCCTTCTTGAATTAACGTCCCCATCGATCAGGAGGAGGGGACATGGGAGGATCGTCTTTGGCAGTAGACGCAGCCGTTGTGGAACTGCTGTGGTCGCGGCGCTCAGCATAGCTGAGATCATTCATGGCATGCTCGGATCCAGTCGGATGGTCGTCTTCCTCTTCGTTGGAGTTTCGGCCGTGGCGCATGGCGCGGACAAACCAAGGTGCTCGACCTGAACCCTTCCAGGTCCAGTATTCCTTGAGGTCGTACTCGCGGGGCTCGATGTAGCCGCGAGAGACAAAGACAACGAGGCCGATGAGACCGTTGAGGACGGCGTAAACAAAGACACCACTTATGAGGATTAGCAAGGGCTATAAAGAAGGAAGGAGAAGACTCACGCGATGAGACCGTAGGCTACGCTGTAGCTGAAAGGAATAAAGGTCATGACGACGAAGGAAGGAAGAACATCGCCGATGTATCGCCAGTTGACCTGGGTGATTTGACGGATCATCATGCAACCAACCTATTCATAGTGTCAGTGTTGCCTCTGGCAAAACAAACAACCACAACGGAACATACCAGAATAAGGGTGCATCCTGTTGCCCAAGGTGGCACAGATGCGAAGATGGGCGCAAAGAACACGGCAATGATGAAGCAAACTCCAGTGACCATCGCTGTCAAACCAGTTCTTCCACCCTCAGCAATACCAGCGCCACTCTCGATGAAAGCGGTCACAGGAGAGCTTCCCAACAAGGCGCCGACAGAGATGAACGCAGCATCAGTGCAGTAGGCAAGAGTGGAACGGGGAAAGTCTCCATCGCGAGGGTTAACGACGCCGCAGAAGCGAACCATGGAGTAAAGGGTGGCGGTAGCATCGATGATGTCCACGTAGAGAAAGGTGAACAAAGCGAGGGCGAAATGGGAGGCTGTTCCGCCAAAGTTCCAGTCAAGTACGTTGAGAGTCCTTTCAATAGGGTGCCAGACAACTACCTGTTTGAAGAATTCGAATCGGCGATCTCCGTCTGCGTTGTGAGGGAAGAAGGTGATGGAGGTGTTGCGACTGTGCATTTGTCAGAGAATGTTGAGAAGATCGAGGGGAGTACATACGGCCAAGAGAGGACGGAGACGAGAGAAATGCCGATAATGAGGGCGTACTTGACTCGAAAAGCCATCAGGAAGGCAGTGATAATGCCGCCGCAGAAGACTGCAACCCAGAGCTTCTTCGGTTAGTTCAAGCTTCAAGTCAGAAAGCAAGATAACTCACCTTAGGACTTGTCATGACCCCATCTTGACAGATGCCATTTACATCCTGCATTTCCTGAGGACACCCAGCAAGCGTAAGGGGAGTAGCCGCTCCACCAGTAATCGCACCGATTCCTGCAGAGTACGAAAGGCCGATCTCAGTGAGGAAGAAGCCGATGCCGACACCAGTGGCAGTCTTGATAGTAGCAGGGATCAGCTTGACGAGCCACTGGCGCATGCCGGTAAGAGCAAGAAAGATGAAGACGAGACCTTCGACGAAGACGGCAGTGAGAGCGAGACGGTATGAGATGGGACCACTTCCATTATATCCGACGACTTGGAAGGTGAAGTAGGCGTTGAGACCCATGCCGGGGCTATTGACGAGTTAGCATGATATGAGAGGTATTCAGGACAGAGTGACTTGCGCGATAGCAACGGGGAGGTTAGTAAGAAGACCGAAAGCGAAGCTAGCCATGCCTGAGACGGCAGCTGTAGCAGTAATGATGTCCCGTCGAATATCTATCACGTTCGTCAGTAGTTATCCAAGAAACAGATACGTTAAAGAGGACTGACCTTCTTTGCAAGCCATATAGGACTCGATCTTGTCACACGCGTTTCTGTCAACCAAGTCGCATTCGCAAGTACCGCCAGTCTGTTGGAGCAGTGCCGCCTATGAAGTGTCAGCCAAAGTTTGCGCAGAGAGGATGTTGTCGCATACATTGACGGCGATAATGTATGCCATAGTTGCAAAAGTAGTCAAGCCAGCGCGGCATTCTCGAAAAAAGGTCGCTCCAGAGATCTCTTCGGGCTAAAAGAAAGGGTCAGATGAAGTTATATCGAGAGAGGGGAGCAGGTTTCGTACGTGACCGGTGCCGGAGAGGCGAAAGAAGTGACCGAAACGCGAAGTGGTGATGTATCCATCAAGATGATCAAGAAAGTTGCGAAAACCGCAAAAGCGAGAGCGACTGGTTTCTTCTCCCGTGACAGAGCGCTCATCTAGAGGAGGCATCATGCCATGAGCCGGCGGAGAAGTCATCGTTGAACGTGACATGGAGTGTTGTTTTGCGGATTATTCGAGGTGCACTATAGAAGTCGAAAATAGAGACAAAGAAGAGTTTTAGTCGAGTGAACTGTGAATGATTATGCGAAGAAGAAGTGAGGGGGTGTGCAGGTGAGAGAAGGAGTGACGAGGTTGGGCTGTTGGTGACGCCAATAGAGGCGTGCGAAGAGGAAAAGGTGACACCAGACGAGATGAAGAAAAAGAGATTCTGCCTTTTGGCGATGTCCAAGAATCTGAATTAGATTAGAAAAGACCAGATCTTGAAGTAGGAAAAGAAAAGGTAGAGAGAATGAACGGGAGAAGAGTGAAGTGAAGTGGGAGAATCACAGCTACAGGTTGATAATTCTTTGACAGCTTCTGCCACTGCCAACAACCACTTGTCCCCCACCAAACCTCGATTCGACCACCAAGTCTCTCCTCTCGTCAAATCTTGTTACCAAATCGCTGGTAGAGAGATAATGCATTTCACAAGACTCGAACTTCGAGTCCAAGTTGCGAGTAGCGCAAGATGGGATGGAATGCTTACACATACATACATGCACAAGTACACGCACAGCATAAACGTTGTCCTCAGAAAACAAAAGAGAGGCAGGTATTAGAACGACGGAAGAAGTATATAAGATTGTAGGTTCTGTTGCGTACTTGGGTATGGCAATCAAAATGTTTGCTCTGATCAAAAACAAGGGTATTGTTCCCGTGGGTCTTTGTGCAATCACAGTTTGCAGGCCTCATAGTGTCTCGGCCTTGCATTGAGTGGGAAGCCTGTTTGTGATATTGGTGATGACTTGTTTGAGTGACATTGTGATGGTTTGCAGGAGCAAACGCCTTTTATCTGGGATGATCAGTGCTCTGATTCAAGATGATACCTGTGATCATGTATAGATTCTTTCTATAACGGAAATATCAAGAACGCATAGTGTTATAAATTCGAGAAATAACTACCTTGACATGATCAGCCGGCAACACTACACGACTAGAAATATTACCCCTGAATGCAGAAGCACGCACCCAACAGAAGTCTTCAATGAGGTCATCACACCTGAGTCTACCTCGAGGTTCTTTGAGCTGACTACTAAGGATACGGGTCCAAAGTCGCACAAACCAGGCGTTCGTCTCACTTTATGCAGCCCGCCGACGTTGATGAAGCGAGGCGGCGTCGGGTAAGAATGGTGGCGAGAGAAGTGGTTGGTTGGTGCCGACGTATTACAAGGTCCGGTCTGTCTATAGCCGAAATGAAATGAAATGGTTCCTGCTGGTGTTGCAGTTGATATGGGAGAACCATCTTTTGGATTGGCGGAGATTTATATCAGATGGTTAATTATGACAGTTGGTCATGTGAGAAGACTCGTGGATCCTTGAGTAAAGATTATGTTATGGTGACTGTGTTCGTGTAGGCTATATAGAACAATCGTGTGGATATTGACTTGATGGTTCTGTTCAAGACACATTGATGCTGTCCTCGACTTACACTGGCCAAGTCTTTAAGCTGTGGCCATCACCCTATGGCCACCGTCTGCGGCCAATGAACTTGTCCCGATATCCATATAGACCAGTAAACTTAAGTTATAGATCCTAGTATTCGGGACTTTGAGCTAAGGATATCCAACTATTTGAGTTAAACATCTCCGAACACTCACCAACTTGACAGGCCTCAATCACATACAATCCTTGTCCGCATAGTCAACCTACACTCTGTATCACTCCAGTCCCCGTGACGCATCATGGCATTGAACATGGCAGTTCAGCCTCCAGTAGACAGTGAATCAGTGGCTCAATGTACGGTAAATCATTTCATCTTGACACCTGATCGCCCACTCTATCAAATTTGAAAGAAGATAAGAACATGACTTGTGTTTGATATCCAAACGAACTTTTATTGTTTCAACTCATACGAAAACTAGAAGTCGAACTTTGGCGTTTGAATCTATATCTCAGTTGACTTTGGTAAACGGGAATTTCGCTACTATTTGGGAGTCTCTTCGTGCACCTGTTGCCAGTGCCCAGCAACTGGCACTGCGCACTCGATCTCCTTCGGCCCTCATTGACGGCCTCTCTTCTTACTTATGTTGCACATGACTTTTGATCTTTCAGCTGACCTTTCTAGAAGTGTTCGGCACTTCTTTTCCCTTTGATTTACCCTCTACATCAACATCCTCCACCTCCTCCATCCCCCCACACTCCTTCCTCCGACTAAGAACATCACGAAACTCATTCAATCTCACTATCATTTTTGAATCCCTTAGCCGATTCATCGTACCTGTTAACTATCATATTACAGCTTTACCTAAAATAGTACTCGCAATACCCTCATTCATTCGACCTACCTGAGAGAGTACAGCATTCACATCACCACCACAGGAACATCTACTCTGGTTACAAAGGGCGTCATGTTTGACGTTATATGGACAGACCCTGATCGCGAACTGGTCGGAGAACATCGCGCCAAAAAGGAAAAGAAGCGCGAACAAAAGGCCAAGCAGAAGGAACAGGAACAAGCGAACTCGGTCATAACACGCTCTACCTCCGTCACCAGCACCAGATCATCCACTGAATCACGCTTTGGCTTTCTTCGACCTCGAAATGGCAGACAATCCAAGAGCCGGGAGAAAACCAAGTCAGGGCTTCTGACTCCTAGCCAGCATTCCTCTCGCTCCAACTCGAGGAGCTATCATCGCTCAGCGCTCATGGCTAATCTGTCTGATGTGTCTCTTGGCGCTTCTAGAGCTCAGAAGGGAAATCTTCCTGCTTCTGCTTCTGCTGATGAGGCGCATAATTTGACGCGAGAGTCTGCTTCTTGGGTCCCTGAGCATACTGGAGCGCTACAGACTCCTCGACTGTCAGAGTCTGATAAGCCGGAACTATCTATCGACATGCGCATCTCGTCTGAGGCTGATACTGATCACCCTGTCACACCATCAGACTCCGTGGGAGAAGGGTAAGTTTGTTACGTGCGATTGGGAATATGCTACTGACCCATCACAGGAACGATCCAGTGCCGCTACTACAGATCGACTCAATCCCCGATCTTATTCCAAGCATTCGACTTCCAAAGGCACCAAGAACTCCCATTATCATCAACTTCCGACCCAACGACCCTGACTCATGGCGTCCCCCTGAAGAATGGGAGTACCTTGACCAACAAGCTGAGGAAGCGCGACAGGCCGAGGCCGACCAAGATGTCGAGATGAAATCCCAAACCGAAAGCCAAGGTCGATCCAGCGCAGAAATGGAGTTTGAGACGGTTAAGGCTCAAGTAAAGCAGATGGCTGCTGCAAGCCCCGTCATGGTGCTTGCACGTATTAAGGAGATTTGGAGTGTTACCGACGAAAGTTTCCATGGGGAACTGAACATCGAGTTGAAGCGATGGATGTTATCTATTCTCAGTCATATGGATGTCGAACAAAAGACCGGCCCTGTTGATGCCTCCGTTGCGGTGTCTGGATCTGGCAGTGTCAACATTTTGGCACTTTACGAGTCTCAAAGTGAGTATTTCCTTCAGCCGACATCCGAAATAATACTGATGGATATAGTCACGGCCTCTTATCTTGCAGCTCTATATCCAACCAAGCAGGTTCACCATTTATCCCCGGAACCTCTATCAAACGCACAGTTCACCAAGGTTCACCCTATGCTTGTGCCATCAATGTCGACAGCAAAACTTCCACTCGGCCAGCACCTTTTCGAAACCGTGTACTCACTATCGCTTCCTTCCGTCAGCCCTTCCAACGATATTCCAGGGGTCCTCAAAAACATTAGCAAGTGCTTACGAGTCGGCGGTTCACTGCATCTCACCCTCATCGATCCACTCCCCTGTGCAGGAACACTCGGCCATCGCATGCGATCATGGCTAGAAGAACATCTACTGATCAATCTGGAGCGACACTTCCGATGCACGAATCCGAGCAAACTATTTCCAGACTGGATGGGTGACGCTGGTCTGCGCGGCCAAGGCAGTACCCTCACCACCTCCAAATTCTATGCTGTATCAGCCAGCATCCGAAGTCAAGTCGACGACAACGATCCTTTCGTCGAAAAAGTCCCGTCCGAACGGGAAGTCAAAGCAGAAGTGAGAAGCATCATAGGCCGCCTGTTGTGGATGGAAGTCTGGGGCAACTTTGTCACCGGAGAAAAATGGTGGTGGGAAGATGAGGGTTGCGTCAACGAATGTCTCCAGCTTGGCACAGTTTGGGACTACCACATCATAGAAGGGGTTAAACAAGAGGAGGCTCTTGCACAGATTGAAGAATAACCTTGAGAGTTTTGGAGAGTTTGACTCTAGAAAGGGTGAGGTTGTTGCTGGTATGCGCTCCTGCTTTTCCTTTTTCACGTCGCTTTGTTGGTGATAGCGACGGAGACAGAACATATGGCTTCGTTCAGGAAAGATAACTCTTTCTGGCAGGAAGAGACTTTCAAGGCAAGGATATCATTTGATGTCTGTATGTTAAAGTTTGACTTGATGGTAGAAGCATTTCTTTTCCTCTTGAGGCAATGTAGATGAAACACAGGACAATGCTTCCTTCTATTTGAGTAGGTAATTATATGAAGGATAAATGTTCGAGCCTTGAGACAACACACTTCATTTCCATCCAGATGATTTCCTCAAATCTAACTAACAAGTAGCGGATATTGCCCTCCAAGCTTCAGGGCGCCAGAAGTAATTACCCCAAGGTCCAGTCCAAATCTACCAACATAAGGTATGTCGTCGGTTCGGCTTTCAGTGACCAACCTTTCTGGTAGTATGACGCCTGCCTGATCACTCCACTATTTCTGACACCGACGCCGTTATCTCCCATATTTGTGAGTCCGAAAACGTGCAACCATATCTCGAGGGGATATCGTAAACAGGTGTATCAACTTCTTCTTTCAACTCTGTCAGATAGTCACTCAAATCTTCAGTGGCCAAGTCCCACTCCAGATTCTGAACACGCTTGTCAACGGCTCGATACCAACAAACAAGACCTTCGCGTTTCCAAAGCTCCTCCTTTGCAAGTAACGAGCCCAGATGTTCTCTTGCAGTGGCAGCATCCCGGTCCTGTAACCCAGCCACAACTTTCTCGATGTTGCCGATATCGTGTTGTAAGGATCGGTTTTTTATGCCCTGGCAGAGGTTAAAGAATGCACTTAATTCAGCACTGCTTGGTGTGCGGGTTCCAAAATATTTCCCGTCATATATATCCAAGATCCAATCTCTAGGAGTTGAACCCCACAAGTCCTTCTGGTATGGATTGATGACGTGCAAGCCCAAGCTACCGAGATATTCCAGCATTTCTAAGGAGGCATACATGGCTGCTAGATGCAATATGTTACGGTTCCTTGAGTTAGATAATGAGAGTGAACATCCCAAATCTAGCAAGTATGCCAGCACGCTAATGTTGACGGGCTCCAACGAATTTAAAACAGGTGTGCTTCCATACAAATCCCGTGCTTCGAGGTCGGTGCCTGCTAGGACAAGCATTTCGATAATTCTTTTTGCATCGCCGTTGTTATTAGTTGTGCTGCTGGTTAGTCTATGTAGCGATGTTTCGCCAAAAAAGTTCTGACAAGTTGCTGATGCGCCTGCTGCTAGCAAGAGACTCACTGACTCAATGCATTGACACCATGAGGCCTTGTGTAATGCTGTCTCTCCATCCATGTCGGCCCAATCCACCCTGCATTTGGCGTTGAGTAGTAACCTCACAGACTCAGGAGTCCCTCTCTGCGCGGCGAGCATTAAGGCTGATTTCCCTTGTGGAGTTACTTCGTTAACATTTGCTCCCGCAGAAATCAACATCTCCATACAATCAATTTGATCTCTATCAGTTGCAAGTGTAAGAGGACAGTGGCCGGTATAATCAACTGTGTTGATAGCCCATGGCTGTTCCTGCAATGCTGCCTGGAGACCTTCGCGTCGGCGAATTGCGATATGTATGTTGGTCGTTTCCCTAGATGGGTGCCCGATAAGTCTAACGAGTTTCTGAAGAAGATAGATCTCATGGTCGTGAAGGTTGCCCCATGAGAGTCGATCATTGGCATGATCTGCTATGCGCCTGGGGGTGATTAATATTGATCCAAGATGAGAATAGAATCGACAAGTTACTTAGGCAGCTCTACTTCGGGTAGCACGTTTTCCCAGAGATCTAGAAGAGTTTCTAGGGCGATATATCGACTCTCGATAATAGCATACTTTATGGATCAGAACCATGGAATGAACAGCCGGCCACTGGGGGTATTATAACGAACCTCGATGAGTCCAACACCGGTAAAATCAGCATCACAGGGATAGACGACATAGTCAACCACTGATTGTCGAATTTCTTGAATGGAGTCTTTCTGGTAATTCCACATCGAGGAGTCCATTTCAAGCAACTTGAATGGACGTAGGGAGCATCTCAGTCCACCGATATTGTTGTAAGAGGCAACGATGGCGAATGATTGAGAAAATAGCCATCGAGGTACTTGGTATTCAAGCTTCAACATCGATGGGCTTATACATTGACAATCAGGATTTGAGCACTCCTGAGGGCGGTTTTCGCAACGGACAAGCCACGATCCAAAAAGTGACTGAACCCAGCCTGAGTTTTGATATTGCCGCTTGACGAAATGGCAGCTGCATTGGCATGATATGGATGAAGAAATGCCCTGAATATGAGTCAAAGACTGTATTGATATTGACTCGGACACCCGCGCATTGTCTTTCTGGCTGCTGGTAGTTATTGCTTCTAGTGCTGATGATTCGGAGCTGTCCGTCTGTTGATCTTTTTCTGGCTCTTTAAGCGATAATGTCTCCGTTGTGTCATTTTGTACTGGGTGGATTGCGTAAAGATTCATGAGCATCTGTCGCATGTATGCCTGGAACCTGTCGTTTGTGGTCAGCAACCAAGTTCAAACAAGTTCAATGGGATATTCACTGAGCATCGTTTGTCGCATGGGAAGATGTCACCGCAAAATGCAGAGTGGTCTTAGCATTTGTCATTCGCTGTTGAAGCTTTGTGATCGTGCTTTTCTCAAGCAGCCACTTCCTTTTTCTCGTCTTGCATATCTTGCCGTCTTTAGTATTGACTTCACGGACACAACTTCTGAGTAATTCCCCAAGCTCTTTGGTAACTTCGCTGAGATCTTCAGCGGCTGCATCCATCAAAGCCTGTTCATAGGCGGAGGGCGGTTTTCTCGAGACTGCCTTTACCATGGAATTGATAAGGGATAACTAAGACGCACAGGTAAGTATTCGTATTCGAAAATAGCAGTGGGACAGGGCTGCATACCTCTTTCATTAGATAATTGAAGTCATCCTGAATGTCGGGAACTTCTCGGATGATGCTGACGACATGCTTTCCAGCTGCCAGAGCCTGAACCACGGCGATGGAGCTTGCCACGGCACCAAGGACCTCCATTGCAAAGGATAGGCGATGAAAGAATGGGGTTCAAATGATAGCGTTGATAGCAAGTGAGTTTGCAGTTGTATTGAGACTGGATATATGAAGAGTCGGGTGCCCTGTATGCCTTGGAGGTTGTAAATTACAAGTCAGGCTCTCAAGACAACTGTTGGCGGCAGGAAGACCAATCACATCTTTGACTCACAGCCTCGATGTAGCTATTGGGCGAGCAGGCACAGTGAATGCTGAGAGAATCTGCCTTGTGACCTCAGCCACAAGGTAGATAAATAGAGATAGAAAACCCATCTTAAATTACGATTTCCTAGCCATCAGAACAGTTTGAAGGCGTCACCAAATACCAACACTTGATTAAGACTGAGTGCTCGCAAGGATGAGGGTCTTATGAACGCCAAGGGCATCTCTAAACAGCAAGCCCGAGCTAAGTCTCCTCTTCAAAGTATTATCAATTGTAATCTCCAGTGGTCAAATCTTAATGTTAGGTGTATATTGCATTAGCTACTGAACTTTAACGTTAATAAATATATATTAAGAGCTGCCAAGCTGTACGCAAGGCGACTTCTTCCTCCTTCATGAGAGTCTTATGACTGATAATAATAGGCAGTATTCGCGATATGCCATCTGACAGGTGATTATTGGGCTCTAAGCAAAGGCAGTAGTGAAAAGACCACTTCGCAGCTATCAACACCAAAGAATTCACAGACACCACGCGAAAGCAACCTCGGAGATAACTTCAACTCCACTCCACGATCGTAATCGCAAACTAACACTAGATAAGATATCAATCCAGATCCCCCACATTTACTTCCAACCCTGTCCCTTTCGTCCGGGCCAGATCAGATCATACGATGCCTTCCGCCAAGAATCTACACCAGACAAACACCAGACAAAGTCATCAACGGGCCGTCATCAAGCCACCGGAGAGATAAATAAAGCCATATAAAATCCCTGACGCCATCCCAGAGCTGAAGAGATATTCCGGGATCTGATATCGCTCACCTCGGACGAACGGAAACGCCTCTCAAGCACGGCGTTGAACCACGAACATCGTTAACGGGTTCAACGGTCAAGCCAAAATTCCAAATTTGTTACAGATACACAAGATATAGTTGTCTATATCAAATTACCTGACTTGGTTTAAGTTAGGTGTCACAGCTAATCTCCTCTGACCGCTTTGTAGTTAACAAGGCTTAGGACTGTTCGGGTAGCACCTGGAGCAGAGGAACAAAGGATGATGAGATTACGACATACACGACATAGAGGTACCGCATTGAGAAGAAGGATGTAAGACATAGTCACAAAGTGATAGATACGCGACAAGGAAAACAGAGACGTAAAGTAACTGGATAGGACAATACACTCTCGGCATCACGTATCTAAGGGAGACAAGTACGAGTAGCTTTCACATGACGACATGTATCGACAACACTAATACACCAATCTTCAACAATCTCAAAGAATCGAATGTCATTTGACTACTAAATAAACTACTATATTCAAGTCTTGGGTATCCATCATCTCCAGCTCCAACACTAGCGAAACTACACCAACTGTCTCGTAACAATTGCTCGTCCCGCACATGCTAGCCCCCAGAAAGTCATGTCTTCATTATATAAAATAACAAAATTGAAAGGACATTGGCACATCGCATCCAAACAAGTCTCTGACACCTATTATACTCGGCTTTGATCTCGCCGTTCATCGTCCGAAGTCGGCCGGCTCTCGTTGGCCAATTCGGTCATGCTCTCCGTCTCGAACTTATTAGATCGTCGGAGGTGACCAAGGTTATGTCGGTGGCCGCCGCCGCCGCCGCCGCCGATGGTGTGGTTGGCTCCAACTTCGGGTCTCATACCACCAACAAGTTCTGTTACATCTGGACGTTGACCCATGCGCATGTCGCTGAACCAGTTCTTGCATGCATCCCAAGATGTAACCATGTAGATAAGGGCATTCCAAAAACCCTGAAGGGGAAGCACAAAGGCACTCATAAATTCCAGGGGATCTGATGATCTCTTGTGGAATACTGAGTACATACGGTTGGCGCTCGAGGGAACCCATGTGATCAAAATAGCTGTGAAGAAAAGTAGGGCGCACTTTGTGTACTGCCATGCTGCGTTGTTGAGTTCGCGATTCCGTCTACGATTCATGCTGGCGGCAGAACGTTGCTGTTGTTGAGGGACTTGGATGCTGGCTCGTGTTTGCTCCCTTTCGATTGGGGCCAGTTCGTCTGCAATATCCCCAGAACCCGGCTGAGCTGATATGTGAACCGAGTAGTTTCCATTGGAGGGACTAGGGTTACTGGAGTCCGGCGCTCGGCCACTCATAGGCTGCAAAAGGATCCCATCGGGCTTAACGATCTCTGTTGTGACGGAAACTTCTGTCGTCTTGAGCGTGGTAATGTGGTTCTCGTTACCGTAAGTCAAATCTCGATCGGTTGAACTAAAGCCGTCGAGTTCTCTGCGCTTGCGGTAAATTGTGCTGCCGGCACGGATGTAGATGAAGAAGGTGACGATGATGACGAGCCTTCGATGGTCAGCACCGGAGTTAATAGCAAGTTTGGATCAAGCTTTACTTACCAAACAGGACCATAAAAGGTAATAATTCTCCAAATGTCCCATTCTGCACTGACCCAGCACCAAAGTGTGGCATTGCCGTACATTCTCTGACCCTCTTTGTTCTTGATAAATATGTAGACAAAGGCCGGAACGAATGGAACACCATAGCATCCAATAAGGTAAGGGATTTCCATCTTGCGTAATCTTCGAGCATCGAATTTGTAGTAGAATGTCAAGTAGACATTGATGGCCATTGAAAGAGTCCAGAAAGCATCAGCAGGCATAAACCTGGTACCTGTCAGTAACCCTTAGAATAAGGCTTCATTCTCAAACTTACATTTGGATGAGGAAGGCTTGAAGCTGACAGCCTGCCGAGTTCGTATCACCAACGTACGATCTGGACATTAATGTACCGACATTGGTCATCATGTTGCCAAACGAAGCATAAAAGACCAGGCGATTGATCGGTTTATGGAAGGCTTTCGATGATAGAAAGGTAACGATGATGAAGATGGATCCGAGTAATGAAAAGACGGAACATGTTCGTTCGATGACGCTTAGAGCGCGAATCTGATACTTGTCGAGGTGTTCTGTGGGAGCCATTGTGAAGTTGTTGAATCAAAAGACTAGAAGAAAGGTATCCTGGTAGCGGAGGCGTCGACTAAGTCGAGTCCTCGAGTCACTTATAAGAGTGAAGATTAAAGTGGTCGGTTTATGTATAATGTACCATTCTCCTTGTGTAGCTGAATGTTTGTTGAAGCGATGAGAAGAGTTCTGATAGTTTTCCTGATCGACAAGAGGTAGACCTGGAACCTGATATAGAAGGAGCGTCTGATGTTGGTTGGTACTGCCCAGTTAGGTAGTGGACCAACAAAGGTGAGGAAAGGTACACCGAGGTGAGAAGGCGCCCCAAGCGTCGAGGTCAAAATCAAATCGTATCGAGAAGCAAACCAACAGATATAATTAATTGCCTTTTGAATCGAGATTGGAAAACGCCATGTCAGGGTGCGGTCAGTCTAACAAGAGGCTTGGCCAGGGTCAAGCTGAGGTGAGGTAGGCTTCTCGAACAAAATGTGGCTTTCCGATAACGTTTGCAAACATGCAGCAGACACTAAGACAAAGAAGATATAAATATGCGAATAACAAATGCAGAGGTGAATAAGAAAGTATCAGAGACAGGAACAAGAATAGGAACAGGGAATGAGGGCGGGGGGAGAGGCAAAAGAAAAAGGTGGGCGATGTAAGATACAAGTAGTCAAGTGAGACCCAAGACCCGGCACAAAGGAACTGTGAGTGTCGAGAAAGATACCAAAAAAGGAACGGACGATGTAAGTGAGTGCTTTACTAAAATGCATGTAATGTACAGTGATATTGTATTGGCGCTTATGCTTATGCGTGCTGTGTCCGCGGTCGGGGGAGGCGAGGTCAGGATCAGTGCCAAGGGTTGGTGAGCTAGAACATTATGAGAAGACAAGTGCAAGTCATGGACGAGGATCCCCTGTTATCAAGGGTGGACAAATCATATTGGCGAGTTGCATGGCATTGTGCTGTTAGCAGAGTAGATCCTCAGAGACGGATATCTATCTAGTATGACCAGCGCCTCCTGAAGCCATGACAGCGGGAGCATGATCAAGGGTTTCAAGCCACGGGTTTATTCGCCTAATGAGGTATCAGAGCACAGCAGTTTGTGTCAAGTTTGTACAATAGTTACAGAGAAAAGAGGGTGTCTGGTATCTAGAATAGCTGTATAGGCTATCCGCATAACTGAAATGTTTCTATTCATCACAGGTATGTATCATTAGACAATAATAAAACATAGAGAAACAAGCTCAGGCTGACGCTATGATTCAAAACCCAGGGCTGAGTCGGGTCGTTGAAGAATTTGGTTATCCAGGGGATCCCAGTTATCTTCAGCAGATCATCTTTAATTGAAGCCTGTTGTATGGTTCCGGACGTGAGGAACAGGACTTCGAGTTCCACAACCATGATAGATTGACGAGTCGAGGATGAGAGAGATTAGGGACAAGAGACAAAAGAAGACGGTGGCGTGCAGGTCAAGATCTTCCAAAGCGGGTACAGTACGGTAAGACTTAACAGATTGTGGGGGAGACCTGGACCTCCACCAACTGACCCTATCTCCTATGTACGGTATGCGGTAGATGTTGGTGGGCAATAAGAACAATACAATACCGAATCTAACTACTGAGACAATGTCTTTTATTGATTTTCATCCACTAAACTGTTTTCATTCTAAGCCATCTCCGAATTAGAAGGCGGCACACGACGTTTGCTGTCATAGCCAGGAACGGCGTCCTTTTTTACGGAGGTCTCAATGAGACGATCCAACGCTGCAGACCGCATTACGTAGTAACATCCTCAGGCGGGACAACCCCTGAACATCTCCTAATTATCATCACAGGTCTCTACGGATGCCTCGGTTTGATATCTATTCGATGGAGCAAAGCTTGACTCATTGCTAAGAGCCGAAGACTAAAGACTCACCAATACATGGATTAACGCGATAAGAGACACCGTCGAACAAGTCGCTTTGACTAGAAGCCCTGAGGATTGACTAGAGATTTGACAAGTGCCGAGACTCCGTGATCGTCACTGTCAATGGAAATATGTCTCAATCCAAACGCTTGGGATGTCGTCTCCTTTTTTCCTTTTCTCCTGGCCCAGGCGCTGTATTCAAATCTCCATCGCGATCTTCTAACAAAACCAGCACAGACGAGACCCTCCCCCAGATTCTGTCTCCTCCTTTGTTGGCCTCTTTCAGCGTCAAGGTCGCACTTGGCACGCGGGGCCTCTTTCTCGCCTTCTGGGGAACCCTTGTCTCACCTGTAGACAGCCTTGGCCTGGGATTGGTAAGACGGTAGAAGCTAAGAGGGTCCGGGATTAACTAAAGCCGGTGTTCATTTCCCTTTGTCTCCTCGACCAAAATCAATAGCGTCTACTACTTGAATCATAAGAACAAGAAACTGTTGATCGGTGGATATCAAGGTATCTTCACATTAACACGTCACATCAACTAAGAAGCCGTGAATGCCGAGTCCTTTTCAGTGTTGTGTCTTTCTTGTCCCAACGTCTTGTCGCTTTGACCTCTTCAGGTGGGACTCTGGTAATTAAGCAGCGCTGCTCTCTTGGCCTACGCTGCCCATCAATTGCCAAGCCGCTCTACGGCTCGAGCTTCCAGTTATCAACATGTTTTGCTTGCAATGATCTAACCCAAGACCAATGTTATATGTGATATACCCTCACGAGTGTCTTTCCTAAAGAGCATAAGTCAAACACTTGGTGTATTCTGTTATCTATGCCGCCTCACTTTTGACTGCATTAATCATTACCCGAGTCAAGTCGAATTGATAGAATACAGAGTCGAGAGTCTACTGACTTATGCCCGTCGCCGGTCCCCTATCAACCACGTGCGTGAGACGAACATCGTTCCCACGGTAGGAAACGATCGCTGAGAACTGCCACGCGAGCAAACAGGCCTACTGCAGCGTCGTGTATCGTGTCACATTGGCATGGGAAAATCGGTCGACTCTGTTCTTGTTCTTCTCCAACGGATCTCTAAACTCTGACGCCACAGCTCGGAGGCTCAAGTAATTAATAAGTTACTGCGTGCATTCATGCTGAATGTATGTCATCCTTTCTTTCCAGGATGACATGTTTTTGGGCCCAGACTTGGGATCTGGGCAAGAAGTGTGCCATCCATGCTTACGCATTGAGACGGTAACAGGCGGGTTGGGTCAAGGTTGTTAATTTATCCCTGTTCTCAACCCCGGATTTCCCACCACATCACCCGACGGGATGGCTATTGTCTTTTACGTGGTAACTGTTTTTGCTTTCCCCCGCAGCTGTTGGTCAATGGTGATGCGCCTCTTGAACAATCTGGCGTCTGTTTACCACAAGCCCATTCTTAACAATAAGCCACCACGGATATTGGATCTGGTTTTGTTAAATCCGGCGCATTTCTGGGGTACGTAGGCTACTCTCCTTCAACTCAACTGTCTCAGCCAGTTTGGGGCTTTGGACGGAATGAACTTGTCAAAGTAAAAAATTGGTCAGTTATTGTCAAGACAAGGCAAGCTAGCGTCGCCAGTGACCCAGCATTCAAATTAATTAAATGAACAGCATAAGACGCCTTTTGTGTTAGCTTCTTTTCTTAGTCTGTCCGGCTAAAATGCCATGTGCTCTCGATCCTCGCTGCTACGTCGCTCTCACGAGCCATGTGGCGGAAGATCATAGAGGTTAGAGCATGTGCCGAGAAAGGAAATACAGCTGTTTCGCTCCGTGAGTTAAGGCGCGATCACTAGAGCCCCCTCGGGGTTTCAGAAGAATTGGCCCCAAGAGCATAAGAGACGAAATAATTTGGTCACTTTATGCTAGCTTAGGTTAGCACTTAGGCTACTTTATTTCTGTACCCTAATCCTTAGAGGATAATTCTTCTGACACCCACCTGAGCCCCTCAGAAGATGCAGCAACACTGCAACTCAAGCAGACTCTGGACGCAATTGACATGTCAGCTTTCTGTCTTTCCCATGTTCTAAACCATGAATATATTAATAAAAGAGCTATTGCCAAGTCGTCTAAGAGAGGCGGTAACCCATGAGCCTGAAGTCAAGTTCAGATCAGCATACATAACCTTGTCAAAGTTTACGGTGCTGCAACTACCCCGGACATATCCCAGTCAAGATTATCATCCTCTCAAACTCTGTTTCTCCCTGAACGTGATACCCAAAGTTCCCATCCCTTACCAGGATACCCTTTGTTGTTACCCGCTCAACCCCTACGACACGAGGAGTCCTGGCAAGTTGAGAGTGAAGCCATACCGACTTGGGAGTAGAACCGCATCTCGCTCGCCATCTCGGGTTACACTACCACATGTCGGCGTGGACGATATACCTTGCGCGACCAAGCCACAGGGACCAGAGTCCAGATCCGTTGTGTCTGTGAAACTTGATAGTGTTGTCTATTGTGTTCTGCCTTTGTGTCTCTTCTTCCGGGTTGAGTGTAGGATCATTGATACCAGGGTGAGATCTTGCTTAAAGTTAATCATACAATACTACACTGATACGGATCGGACCTTGTAAGAACCCAGGTCATATATCATCCTTCGGCGTCCTCGGGATTCATCCCGCTCGGAAGCACAAAACTCCTCGAACCTCCTCCTCGTAGAGATTAGACGGCATCGCCGAAACTTCACCCTGCCAAATGTTCTCGGCGGTCTAAGTATACCACATTAGCCGTTGCATTTAAAGGTGCCTAGAAAAGATCATGATCTCTGTCTCCCTTCCCCTGGAGAACAGAAATCACTAACCGATATCGGCTTGGAAGCTTTCGGTGATACAACTTCCAGAGTCTTGGCCGTTTGGAAAGCTGCAGCCGTTCACATCCAAGGAGGCTTAGCCACCACAGCATCGGACAGAAGGCTAAAAGAGGATAAATCACTCTTAGGTATTACTGGTTCCTCTGTTCTGTCTCTCTTCTTTTCTGGGATCTTTAAGGCAGGGCGGTAAACGATGTGGTCTCGATCGCGAAAGCGTGCAAGCACCTTGCACCCATGCTCTTGCAACTAGCTCGAGAGGGAACTACGAAGCCGGAATATGTCCTTTCCTATTATTCACCAGAGAATACGATCTTTAGGCACCAGGCCTGTAAGAGTAAATATGTCTTTACTGTAAGTGACGGTGGCAACGCTCTGATTCATAGTTACTCTAAAACCCAAAGTAGCTCAAGGAGACCGACAAAGAATGTTGTTTTGTCGGTTAATGCATGTTTGGTATACAAACTCCGTTTCTACAAAGAACTACAGGGTTATCGAGCATCTCAAATTCTGGATTCACAGACTAAAGTTGGCATGTTCTTCCTGGGAATATTGTAGTGTTACTGTCGCTTGACAACCTGCCGCCAGGGTGCCAGAAGAATTGACCGCTCAAAATCATAAGAGATGAAATAAGTGGATTACTTTATACTAAACTGTAGTAGATCTCAGACTACTTTATTTTAGTAGCCTAAGCTTTAGAGAGCATTTCTTCTGTTGCCCATCTGCCTGCCTTCGCCACCTGTAGATACTTGACATGAGCACTTAGGCAGACGACAAACAATTTATACATATCTCTTATTTCATCAAAGAGGACCCGTCTGCAGAAGTAATTAATAAACAACAGTATGTATATATGTATCGGATTGTTTGCATACATGAACTAGGTATGCTTAACAAACGACCACTACAAACCAAAAGAAAAGATGAATGATGGCGCGAGTTCTCCTTGAACGATTCAGCATAGATGGCCCTATCATCATGCTATTCTGCCTAAAGATTCTTTACTTTCTTCAATCAGCTTCAGCTAGCACATCATTTCCACCCAAAGATGCTATTTCTAGCAATTCACTCAGGAAGTGCCCCAGATCCTGTGTATTATCGATATGAGCAGTCATGCCTTTTCCTCCATCACGACGCAACAGAGCACATCATCTACTATCGTTTGGCGGCTACATCTATCAATATCATACTACAATGCCAAAAGAGCGTAAATTCCGCAAGGCAGACTCAAAAGATGTTGAGAAAAAGTCAAAGTCGCCTAGATTCAGCAACTTAAAGGTGTATGGCGATACCCTTCGATCATATCAGCAGAAACGACAATCAGAACATAAAGAGCCCCTCAAATATATGCGCACTGCATTATTTCATATTCTGAACGATAGATGGACCGGCAAGAGGAAAAGGGAACTATCGAACAAAAGTCAGAAGTTCTGCTCTAGGGTTGGCAATATCTATATCAAGGCACTTGAGCTGGCCTTGGAAATGGGGAATACAGATGAAGATGTTGACATGGAGTGGCAGTACGAGCCGACAAAACCTGTACATCTTGTTCGGACAAGAGAGGAAGAGGCTTCCTATCCTGATGGAGCGGTTGTCTCGCCATGGGAGACAGAGACCAACACGACATGCCGGAGTACCGCCAACGAACCCGATTCTGGACAGAGCTCAAGCAGCATAGATGACAGCCTTTGAGGCAGGATTGGTGGCATTGACTTATGTACCTTTGGATATTGGGACAGTTGAACATGATACCGGCTTGGTGTGGTTGAACATACTGTATTTGTGCCTAGATAAAGTCTGTCAGTTGATTTGCAGCCTGAAAAAGTGTATTTCGCATTGGAAAGCTTGTATAGATAGATAGTAGGAGATGGCTTTATAAGAAGATTTTGTCACATTCGTTATACTTTAGGCAGATCAAGGTTCGAGTGATGCAAGGTGGGTATAAGACTCCTTGACTGCCTCGTTTCCTCCTTCCGCAGAATAGTAACTTACATATTGTATCCAACTTCCACCCACTATCATACTCAGAAGGTGCACCTCAAAGCCTCTACTTCTCACGCAGACAAGCGTTCGTCTTGTAGCCTACACCTTTCACCTGCAGCATCTCGACATTCATTCACGCACCCTCATCTCTCCGATGAACGACATTCGCATCACATAATTTATCGCTTCGCCTTCCCAATAAGCCTCTTTATTTTCTTTATATACTTTATCCAACTTTCACATCGCCATCATGTCACTCTCTCATGTCACCGGCTTGGGCCTCTACAGTTATGCAACACTCTCCAATGCCGGATCCTATGCTGGATCCCATTCATCCGGCCACTCTCGAGAACCATCGTCTTCGAGACGTCTATCTCTACCTACGAGCTCTTACCCTACGTCTATGCACTCGAGAGCCTTAAATTCAACCGACTCACGAGCCGATCCATACCCATACCCCCGTACCAGCGAGTCTTCCCACGCTACAAGAGCGACGTCTGTCAATGCAGCATCCGTCAATGAGGAAGCTATGCGCCGCAATTCTCGAAAGAAGCACAACTACCGTGAGACTTCAGGGTCTTCGTCTGAACCACACCGTCATCATGGCTATCACAGACACAGCCACCATGCCTACCATAGTCATCATCCAAGCCAACGCGAAGACAGGTACAACAGCGCATCTACAAAGGCTCGCAGGCGTGTCAAACATGTCCAAAGTTCATCAGATATACCTCTGTCACCTCCGCCTGCTCGCAAAAAGATCACCAAGGTTATGGCTGTCAAGTCGACCAAGAAGGACAAGGACGGCAACAAAAACACGGACAACTTGACTTGGCGCCGAATCAGTCAAGGGATGAAGATTGGCAAGTCTAAAAAGAACGAGCAGAACGAACAGACTGAGTAGAAACCAGCTGATGCGACCTCGACGAAGCCAAGAAGGAAAAGCAAGTGGAAGTTCTGGGCGAAGCAGGAGCCCTACGTTGAAGCTGCTGAAGCCGACCCTCTCCCCCTCCCCCCCAAGATACTGGAACCCAAATTCGAGCCGGATACCAAGGTCAAAAGCTCTTCGCGCACGCCCAGCATTACGGAGTGGCTTGGTCAGGACCCAAGTGTTCCCCAGTCCCCAGCGACATTGAAGCGTCTATTCGAAGAGGAGGAATGAGACAAACTGTGTTATGGCTCGAGTGGTTTGATCAAACTTGGATACCCTCAGAATGCAGAAATAGGGTGATCCTGGCGATAGACACTCATTCTCTGATTCAAGTATAGTTGTTTGTACCTTTAATGAGATATAATCATTACCAATGTACTCAATATCACCAAGACTTCTCAAGCGCGAGCGAGGTACAATATATAACGACATGGAAATTGCAGTCAGCTGTATCGTTATAAGAGAACTGTATCTATCGTAGATATCAAGATCCTCGGCAAGCCAAGGCATAACACTCCCACTTCTCAGCACTGTGAGGGTTTATTCGGCTCAAATGATGTGCTCTAATGCACAAGAAGAGACACCAAGAACAGCCGATGTAACACACGTTTCTAGGCTTCCCAACCCCAAACCATCCAGTATCTTATCTCAAAGCTGATCTTGACCTCATGAACGATTCAGCATGCACGTCATCCTCGAACAGGTGTGCTCCGAAACTCCATTCTTCTTATTCTGCCGTTATCGCAGAGCCGCACCACTACCACTACCCTATCCATCTCCATCTTTCATCATGCCAGTGAACCTCGGAGCAAGACAAGTAAATACGAGTACTACGTGATGACGTCGATCCCCCACGAAGAAAAAGGGTCTGGTGAGAAGAAGACGGGAGGAAGCGGCTAATGGATGTATGGTTTGCTTTTTTCTTTCTAGCGGGAAGAGGAACGTGGGGAAAATGAGGGAAGCGAAGTACATATGTTTTGCATGTGGGTTGATGGATGTGATGGTTTGTCTATGTCTGGTGATATATGCATTATACTGCGTTTTTGCTGATATGGTGGAGCTGTGCTATGAGACTGCATGGAATTTTCTTGATTGCGATATTTATTTGCTGCATTTTGTATTTGTCTCTGATGAGCCGTGTTTTGTGCATCAATACAATGCAAATGCAAAGCTCGTCACTTTGGTATAGAATGTGCCCATTTGCACTGCACCTCCCACTCTCTGTCCCGTCTCCAGCCTTACAGGGTGAGTCCATGTTAGTCAATACACTTGGTCATGTCAGCATATACTGCAATAGTCTCGGTCGCTACTACTGCACATTCTTGTCTCAGAAGTAGTCCGAGTCCGACCAACCAATGGATCATCTCTCCACTTCTGCCCTCCAATCCATTCGTCTGTCACTTTTTTTGTAATTTGCCGAACCAAGCCCTCACCAAAACCAAGAAATGGAAAAGACAAAGGCACCGTAATCGCCTCAGTGGCACAACATTTGCAATTGGCGTAGACAAAAAAGATGATGACTCTTTGTGCTGTTTCCATTGGATGTAAATGTCATCTCTTTCGAGCTTCAGAAAACAAAACACAGAAATCACAAACACTGCAGTCCAGTCACATGTCTCCTCCTTCTCCTCCTCCTCCTTCTCGGCCGTTTGATGCACACTCCCCCCTCTTCCTTGGTCGTAGCGAAAGAGATGGGCCCCTAGTCATTCTGTATGGAGCCTGTAGCTGTAGCCGATGGCGTTCATGTACCAGTACAAACGCCAGACGGTGGATCTCCCCGTCCCCGCGAGGCTCGTCCCGAACCCTCTCGTCTCGTGGTCTTAGGACCCGCTCCTTAGTGGGAACTATTGGTTCAAGGTGGAGAAATCACAGTATGAAAAATCACAAAAGCAAACGCTGCCTTCGCTACGAGATAAGAGGTCAACACCACCCGTGATATCGTCAACAATTAGGTACACTCTGAGACAGCTTTGCTTCTCCAAGAGCTTGTTTTTTACCACGTATTGAAAAAACATCTTACTTAGCCAATTTATTGCCCTTTACATCCATCAGTCCCTACCATGCCATGCCAAGCTAAGGGTATATCCACGCACACATTACCGCCGGTATCCTTTCTCAGTTAACAAGAACAGGGTGTAGGACAATTCGCAACCGTCTACGCCAATGATAAAACAACAAACAGACTCAAAAATCGCTAAGCACTCAAAATAAAAAGAAACAAACTGTCGTGCTGACCTAGGTCTCTCTGCCTAGTTCTGTTTTTCCCCAGGCTGTAACTGGTGCATCCTGATCTTCAAGATATCCAAACAGATAAATAATTCTCCACCTTTTAATCAACAACCCGTAGCCCAATGCGATCTTCATTCAAGATGAATTGAAGACAGCCAAGAAAAGAAAACATAAAAAACATTAGGGATGCCTGGCTCCTTCGACAGATAGTGCTGTTGAACTCAATTCCAAGCAGAGTGCGCAGCAACACTGCTTGCAGTTGGATGACTCTGTCGACCGCTAGGCATACCTGGGGTATAAGTGACCGCCCTCGAAAGACGATTCGTCCCAAATCTGGAACCATCGTTGGAGTGTTCGCTTGTTACAAGCTGCATCATATCCTCGGGCAGCTCAGCACCCTCATCATTCCACCAATAGTGCAGCACATCGCTCTGCCAACGATCAAGGTCGCGAATTTTGAGCCCTCGGCTCTTGGTAAACGTCGTGTGGAGCAGTCGCGCATTGGTAGAAGACAGACGCAGTTGATGCAGAAGCCATCTATTGATGAAGTCCCCTTTGCCCCCCTCGCCGTGATCCAGCATGAGTCGATCAATGGCGTATTCCTTAGATGCGAGCTGCATACAGCTTGGCTTCTTTGGGTCAGTTGCCGGCAAGGCTGCAGCTGCCTTGAGTGCCCCGCGTGATGTGAGAGGGAAGTCTTCAGCTAAGACGTGTTCAGGTTGACTTATAATCACAGGGAATGTAGGATCAGCAAGATCCGAATGCGTGCGCAGAATTACGGAGGCTTTGTCGAGCTCTATATCCTCATATCCGTCCTCAGGGTATAGAAGATAGGAAACCCTCGAGGACAGATGCTTTTTTATCACCTTCTTCTCCTCGCAGCGTTTCCGAAGATGCGCTACCTGTTCTTCCAGGCTCGTGACACTGCTGCGCATTTGTTCTTCTTCCACTGGAAACTCAGCAAAAAACTCGACCTCAGCCTCGTTTAGATCCATCCCCGCTGCAGACTTCATCCTCAACTCGCCCTCATGCTGCTCTTTAAGAAACAGTAGCTCGTCAAGTTCTTCCTTGGCATTTTCGAGATCACCAACTGCAGCCATGAGCTCCAAGAATAGAGGGTGTACGTCTTCGGAGGGTCCGTTAGGATTTATGCCCATCAGCTCATTCGGCATATTGCTGTCGTCTTGTTCGAGGTCGGGCTCGTCATCGCGTGGTTGTTCCAGTGGGGTGGCCTGATCTACTGCCAATAAACTGAAGAAGCGGATTTCCAATTTGTTCAGTGTCTCTTCTTCTTCATCAAGTGTGAGCTCCAGATCTTCGTAATCGTTTTCAGAATCCTGATACTCGGTTCTGAGTAGTTGCAGATCTGCCAGTCGTCTTTCCAGAGTAACAGGTGATGTTTCTAATTGTTCTTGGTGAGCGATTAGCATGGGCCGAATCACGCCCATGAAAGCGTTGTCTGCATCGTCTCTTCTCCGACGTAGTTCCCGCAGTTCCTTCCTCTTCTTAGCCATCTGGCTCTTGATACTATTTAGCTTGACACGCTGATCTTTGAGTCTGGTCCAAAGAAGCTCCAAGGTATCCTCGGAAGGTGCAGATTCTTTTGATACATGGCTCCTGTCGCCTCTAGTGGTTTCCAGAAGAGGTTCTAGGCTGGTACTCAAGTCCAGCCGATCTTTTGGCGCATGATCCCGTTCGTACTCGGATATCCAAGTAGTTATGCGATTTGTCATAGACGTTTTTCGATTTCTTCCTTGGGCAGTCAGGGTGGATGCAGTCGGGTATAGAGGAGGAAACTGTCGTGAGTTTCTAAGAACAATAGAGTCTTCATCAGAAGATATATCGTCAATTAGCCGTGGTATGGTGTAGATTGAAGATGGTGTTCTTGAGGTTGATCCAGCAATCTCGTTTCGATTTGTTGTCTGAGGAACTGATAAACCTCCCAGACTAGCTCCCCCAAGCAAGTGCTGGGCACTAGGCAATTGACTGAAACCAGTAAAATCCCTTGGTGGCCTCAAAACTGGGGTGTGAGGTTGTGTTGAAGCGCCGCCAGAAGCACCAAGTGGTGAGCCGTTTGACGTCAGAACGGGAGGAGGCGGCGGTAATGTTTGTTGAGATGATTGTTGCTGAGGAAACGCGTCATGATTGTAAACGAGTGGTGGTCGTAGATTTCTATGGACAAAAGCATCTCCTGGCGGTGGTGGAGGCGGGGGTCTACCGAACGGGGTTCGATTGGATGCGGGCGAAAATGACTGTGGCAATATCATTGGAGGTCGAAGATAAGACGGCGGCGGCGGTGGTGGAGGAGGAGAACGAGATGGCTCATCGAGAGCTTTCCATAACAGTGGAGGATGAGGTGGGGGAGGCGGTCCAGACATGTCTATATCGCGCCGACTGACGATACTGGCCTGGGTAGACGTTGGCTGATACATGGAAAAGACAGTATCGACTTCTGACATGGGAAAGCTTGTCGAGACATGTAGAGAAGGCGGCAGAGCGTCGAGGGTCTGGTAGTGACCCTCGCCCTCGCCCTCAACCTGGTCTTGGGAACGAGGTCTGTCATGAGTCCCAGGAACCGGCAGAGGCGAGGTAGAGCTATGAGGATATTGGTGATGTTGATTTTGGTGGGTTCGGGCATAGCTCGAGTGGTTGTGGTAGTCGTACGCTACGGCATCCATCGACGTACGTAAGATCAACAGAGCTAAGGGAAAGAGACGGATTCATGGGAACTGGAGGCGGCTTGTCCATTTCTCTGATGACCTGACCAGACAAAGACGAGACAATCAGTGCCGAGACGACCGTTGAGGCTCTTTGCTCGAAAAAGATCGACTGTTGACGGGGAACGATAGGATAGGATAGGATAGAATGGATGGGTACGCAGACAGAGGGAGGAGAAAAAAGGGAGATGACAAGGAAATGAGAGCAGTGAAGCAACCGAGCCAGGGGTTGCTTTTTCCTCCATTTGGCGAGAGACAGCCCTGGGCAACAGCGTAATCTGGCGGCTGATTTGCACGTTGCTGTCACAACAAGGTTAGGTCGAGTTTTAGGGGAAGTGCTCCCGGCGTCGGGGACAGCGGCCACTAAAACTAGCGACTGTTAGCGCCTGTAATCTGGAGAAAGTGCATGGCCGTGGAAGCTGTTGATTTATCCATTGGCAACAAACACGTCGAGTATTCGTTATCTCCTGGTCCGAGTCGACCAAATAAGAATGTGACAGCAGAGCGCAGGAGGGGAACAAGCGAGTGTTTTCTCAATTATGCAGCGACGTTGACCAGTGATGTTCCATTGTCAAAATCACCGTCAGACTTGCTAGGATCTCTAAGACAATCCGCTACGTAGCGTGTCATGTGTCAGTTGTCTGTTATGCAACCTGGCCTTGCTTAGTGCTTTGACTTGTTAAACACATCACTTTGTTGTTGTTGTCTTGTAGGCCAAAAATGCCCAATTCTCAATTCAACAAAGTTCAAAACGGCCAACGGCTACTCTATTTAAACCCAATCTTAACACAACCGTCGAACAAGCCCAGAACTTGGGTTTTGAGGCCACCTACGATTCCACTAATTGGTGGATGCTCTAGCGCACACTGTGCTCTTTCCTGCCCACTTAGTCTTGAAGCTAACGGATGCAACTAGAGCCTCCTCGTTGTAACTCTACCTCAACACCAACAACTACACCCTGTAGTCATTCCCGCTGGACGCCTTCTTAAATCGCTCACTCCCCTCCTAATTGGCTCCGTGATCCAATACCCTCTCGGCTCTATGCATTATGCCCTGTATTCGGAGGGGCGTGTCTTGTTCTCTGGACTACAGTGCTCTGCTCTGCTCTGTGGTGCCTATTCCAGACGGATGATATCCATCACTTTCTCATTGCTCTATCGGCTGGCGTCTTGCTTGCGAGCCTTACCCTGCCCTTCTTAACTCGGGTTATCTAAGACGGAAGCTACCTCTGCTTGTTTCAGTCTCTTCCTCCCGCCCAAGGTATCTTCTTGGAGTCTTGATTTAGCTAAGGGTCTCGTCATGCGAGTTTGCAGCTCGACTCCTCCGAGAACCCCTCCATGAGTCCACCTCCTCCACTTGTTGCATCCATCCCCACTCGACGCTCCGTCTGCTACTCGCTGGCTGATGCGCGACATTAAAGAGATGCTGGACTGCATAGTCAAAAGCGACTGATAAGCTGCGGTTGCCGCTCAGTTGTCCACCCTCTAAGCCCTTCGGTTCTATCTCTTGTTTTCCGTCAACCAAAGGCTGTGTGTGCTGTAGGCACTCGGAAACTCGACCTCATTGACACCAGGCTGCATACAATTTGTTTTTTGCTCCGGTCAGCCAGTGCTACAACTTCTGCAGCCAAGCTACAGGACACTTCTGCGGTTCTGGTTCTTGTTACTAGCATTTTGCATTTTCTGGCGGGCAGATGCCACTGGTCCTGCCGTGTCACCATTTCGACAAAACCGCCTGCAACGACTATTCTCACTCTTGGTTCACGAGCAAGACCACCTTGAGGGACGCACGAGATACTTCTTCAGCATACTTCATGCAACTCTGAAGTGATAATCCTAGTTTTGGCGGCGGATCTGACCTGCGTCCTCGACGTACATACGCCACAAACACCAATCCTCACAGAATAGTGGTCGACCTCACCCCAGATACAGGAAAGGCGGTACAGCACTAAAGCAGAAGCAAGACAATTTCCCCCGCGGAATTTGTCGAGTACTTTCGCCCAAAGATACCATCCAGACCCGATCTTCGTAAACGCACCCCAAGCATACCAACGACAGTTCGGATCTTCGTCCTCGTGCAATCAAGTTGCAGCTCCCTCGTCCACTCTGCATCTGGAGAGACAGCTGAGCCGCATTCCTGGCTAGCTAACTAAGTCGGCGGTTTAACGGGTTTCCCTTGTTCACTTTTGACCCTTGTTCATTTCTACAGTACAAAAGCCCCAACCCACCATCTTCTCAGTTACTAGGATCTCTTACTTGAACTTTGGCTGGCGACCTGGAACTCAATCGACGATAATCCAGCCCTTCGTCTTTTGAAGGTGACGGCCCAAAGCTCTTTCGGTATTGATCAGTCGATTGCTGTACTGGTTTCAGACGTTTTTTTGGCATCACTTTTTCGAGTGATTCGTACCATCTGGGGACAACACTCGGTTTAGTTGCGAATCACTGCATTGCTATTGTTATTGCTCGGCCAGTTTCCCCCCTCGGATTATATCAATTAAGGGGCGATCTTTAGAAGCATTTCTTGTATGCGCAAAATGCTACTATGTATCAAACGAGCCGATCAGGATGGAGCGAGTGGTCTGTATGGATCTGGAATGCAGACTATCAGCAGTACTACCGCCAACGAGTAGATGCTTCAGGTTCGTATAACATCTCAACTTATGAGGCCCTTAATCTCTGCAAACAGTACTAACTGTAAATATACAGGTACTCCTGAGATCCAGTGGCAGAGCGAATATGACGCTGCTCGAAACAACCAGACACCCCGAACGCCAGTGGAGCAGATGACACAACAGTTCGGGGCGGTCAATATACGGAGCCCTGAACAAACAGATGAACAGAATAGTATGTCTACCCTTAAAATAGCGTGATATTCAATACGCACCTGCTTCTCATTCGACAAATCCATCTATGAACAGTCACTGACATGCTCAATGGGCAGATGACGATTATACTGTTGCGAGTTCGACGTCGAAGGCGAAATCGAAATCCTCCTCGAGATCACATAGCAGTTCCTCGAAATCTAAATCGAGGACAGCCAAAACTTCGAGTGGGAAAGGGAAAGCGACTGTTCAGGAGGATATCCCTGAAGACGATGAGCAGGGCTACGACGATCGATATACTCAATACAAAGCAGCTAATCCACAAGCCGAACAAACGTGTAAGATCTTGCCGAGGACCGCGGATTATTCAGAGCACATAGCTTACTAACGTATTTAGACTATGACCAGGCTACTGGACAGTACTACACATATCCAGAAACTACACAAGGTATGTGCGACGAGTCCTCCACGTGGATAACTACCATTGCTTACTCAAATTTGACAGTCGCTACTCCTACTCAGCAATATGTAGATGGCGCGGGAGAACAGGACGATGAGGAAGAGCTTCGAGAAGCTCTAGCTCAGAGCGAACGTTATAATCGTGATCGATATACTGGTGGAGAGTCGTCGTCTGCACCATATACTGCATACAGTATGTCACTCCTGCACTAGACCATGGTTTGGTTTGCTAACAAAAGCCCTTGTAGCTCAAGACGAGGAAGATGAGCCTGCACCATCTATACGCACGGGCAATCAAGAGCACATCATAGGCACTGGCGGTGAATCAGAAACACTGGACCCTCGTAAGTTCACCGTCTAAAGTCCGTTTAGATCTCTCAAGCTCACATCATCTTAGGGTATACCGTTAAGCCTTCTAGTGCATACCAACCTGGAGAGGTAAATTGATTTCGCTACCGATCTGATTAATTATGCTAACCTGCTCAACAGGTTTTCAAGGTCCTGTGGCCAGAGCCGGCAGGAGGTGGAAGCATTGTGGAGGAAACAGTTTACCGTGATCAGTATGGCGGTCGAATCTTTGTTCACTTCCGCAGATTCATTGTCGTTGCGAACGATCGTGGGCACTGCACTTGCATGTAAGTTTTACGACAGGCAGCAACCAACGTCCGCTAACGTATTAGTCCAATCTCTACCTATGGTAAGAAGGGTTGCAAAAAGAGTGGTGTCAAGGCTGAGCAACATGGCATTGTCACTGAAAGCAGTAATCGAAATCCCCTGCCTTTGAGGGATGAGCCCAAACTCGGATTTCCTCCAGTCCGTGTGCATATTTCCGAGCAAGGCGAACGGATCTCGAAGGAATCGCGAGTTAACTACTCGAAACTCACGACTGTGGAGCATAACGTCAAAGTGCTCTTCATTGGTCGTGTCATAAGTTCAGATTGGGACACCGTTACAGAAGCCGTCAACACCAGTTGGGCAAATAAGATGCATACGCACAACAAGAAGAAGCATCGCAGGTGATGGACTTGCAAGTGCCCTCCTATTCACGTTTTTATGGTGCCTGCTACAGCAGGTCCCTACTCTGGGTGTTTTCAATAACACCCACATATATACGTTCCTCAGGAGCTACCAGCCACTCTGGAATGCTCTTGCGAAACTCGTCTCGAAGACTTTTCAATAGCGAGACAACTGCGATTTAAGTCTACAGTTGAGTTTCAAGACGTACTGCCTGAATCATGGAGGTGATGTTTCCGTCACGACACTGGAGTCTTCAGCTCCGTGGCATGCCGGAACAAATCTGAACGTTCTAGGCAAGGCAGCCGTTGTTTTCATGGCATTGGTTCTAGTTTCTGCATATTATTTCAGCATTTCACGTCGATTTCGAAACCAGGAGGATATTTCTGGATGATTTGTTATTTTATGATATGTTATTTCTTTGCATAGTGTGGCACAGGATAAGGTGGAACAGCACACAAGTCTTGATGTGTTGCCAGATAATGATCTTCAGATAATGATGATTTCGGCCTTTTTATCTCCCCTCTTCAAAGTTTTGTCTTTCGTGACTTGGGATGCTTTTGTTTTCTGCTGTGGTTCAATTACTCTTCTGTTGCAGGCAGCAAAATATTGTCATTGACATAGCGCAAATTGGCTAGCTGATACATGAAATTGAATGTTACGTTTGAATGACTTGAAATGAAATGCAATTATACAAACATCTGATATATAACAGTATGTGAGAGTCCATATAAACATATCCTCGATGATGTATTAGTAGCTCATGTATCCAACTTCCACCGTTACCGAAATGGACCCACTCATCGGACATCGTGCCTCGGCATCTTCTCCCCCGCAAGCGGAAGTTAATTAATGAACCCCGGACTTACCCCAGGGCAGTCAATACTCCGAGGCTCAGAGCTCGCCACGAATATCAAGGGGAGAAGACCGCCCATCGATTCTGTTTCCTATAAAGCATACTTGGTCCTGTTCATTTCGCAATCGTCGCGCTCTGAAATCTAGCTCAACTTACTGTAAAAACAAAACATAAACAAATACCCCCTTTATAACGTCATCGCTTTGTTTTTGACATCAACACCAACACATATACATACATCATGGCTGAGGCGCAATTGAACGATTTCCCTTCGCTCTTCTCCCTCAAGGGAAAGGTTGCTGTCGTTACTGGAGGTTCTCGCGGTCTGGGTCTCCACGCAGCTTCAGCGTTAGTAACCAATCTTGGCTTCTTTCGTGAACGCGACTGACATAATCGCAGATTCCTACAAGCAGGCGCATCAAAGGTCTTCATCTCATCCCGCAAGGCCGCCGCCTGTGAGGAGGCTTGCAAGGCTCTCAATGCGCTTCCCAACCTTCAACCTGGCGCTGTCGCCATCTCAGTCCCTGCCGACTCCTCCAAGTTTGAGGGCGTAGAGAGTCTGCTTGCGCAGGTCAAGAAGCACACTGACAAAGTGGACATCCTCTTCGCCAACGCTGGCGCTACCTGGGGCGAGTCTTTCGACACACATCCTGACTCTGCTTTCGCCAAGGTCATGGATCTTAACGTCAAGGCTGTGTTCAACACCATTCGCCTATTCACACCCCTTCTCGAGAAGAGCGCCTCTCTGAAGGACCCTAGCCGTGTTATCATCACCGCCAGTGTTGCCGGTCTTGCTGTCGGCACTATTGGAAAGCAAGGTACATACGGTTACTCTGCCAGCAAGGCTGCTGTCCTGCATCTCGGACGCAACTTGGCTATGGAGTTGGGACCCCGACACATCACCGTCAACTCCATCTGCCCTGGCTTCTTCCCTAGCAAGATGTCCAACGGCCTATTGGAGATGTCGGGAGGTGCCGACCAGTTCGCAGCCCAGAACCCCATGCGCAGACTTGGCGAGCCCGAGGATATCGCTGGTGTTGTTGTTTACCTTGCTAGTCGGGCTGGATCACACGTCAATGGTGAGACAGTTGCTATTGATGGCGGTGCGCTGTGGCAGCGCGGCGAGCTCATGGTGGCAGAGAAGGCGAAGCTGTAAGGGTGTCGTAATGTATGATAGAGCCTGCCATTAATTTACTGGATATAACCTGAGTTACAATTATGAAATCTTATTCTTGAATTTGTTTATTTATTTATGAGCCGCTCGTATTGAAAGGCTTTCGAGCAAGCCAAGTGCTCGCTCTATATGTTGACTGTAAAAGACTTTCAGGATCGTGGATATACGGCGCATGAACGCCAGTCTTATGCCACTCAACGACAAAGCCCATCTTCTCCAAAAGCGCAATAACCTCATCATCTGCCAACTCGAAGCTTCCTGGATCTGCGATGCCTGATGAGTTCTTAGGGTCATGTTCCGCATCGCCATCCTGGCCGTGGGTTCCGGGAGCATTATTCTCGAAATGCCACAGCAACGGTCCAATATTGATGAGAACGCCTCCAGGTCGAAGGCAATGTCGTATCACTTCGAGATACCGGATTAAATTGGGCGCTGTGTCGAGGAAGAAGACACTTGCCACAGCGTCGTACTGCGCCTCGTGATCTTCGTCGGCGTAAAGGCAGAGGAAATCAGCAGCACACATGGACATCTCTCCGATGTTGGGTGTTTCCGCTAGAACGGTAGCTGGGTGAATGTCCGGGACGGCGTAGCCTCGAAGATGGTTTGCTCGCGTGAGATGGTTGGAGAAGCTGTGAACCCAGGGGTAAATGGTATGCTGCTCTGCTGCGGGACAGTAGTTGAGGATGTACGACGAGGCGAGAAGTTGGTGGTAAGAGATTTCGTTGCCTTCAGCATTGTACCCATTCGCAACTAGGTCAAACACCAGTCTCCCTAGACCAGCACCCGGAACCAATACGTTTAGAGGAGATCTGTCAGGATATCTCTCCTTCTCACCCGCAAGGGCTTTCATGATGGGTCCATAACAAGCCTCCCTCTCAGCAGTCCCCGCTGCAGTCCAGTCCCGGTAGAATTGTCGGATTGTACTCCTGGCCTTGTCGACATCAGAGTGCTTAGCTACCCCAGCCCATTCTCGGGGCATCTTGGGTTCTTGGCCTTCAGGGTCATCAGTCATCATGCGAAATTGTTGGAGTCCAATGTGAGCAATGGTATGAGCCAGCTCAGCATTCTGGTCAATGGCATCGTCAGTCTTCTCAAGTGTATCAAGAAAGTTGAACGGAGGTGCAGCTAAGAGCTGCCATTGTGCTTGAGGCAAAGCGTAGAAGGCTTGACGGCGCAGATGTGTGACGTTGAAGTGTGAGACTTTGGCATATTGGCTGCGAAAATCTCAGTATGGGGACAAAGCCTCTTCGGAGTAGAGTATGGTCATCACAAAGTGACCTTTAGATCTTTCAGTCTGTTCTTTGGGGAACTGAGCATGATCGTTCGAGTCAAGTAGATGGAGCATATGCTCTTGGGTCAACTCACAAGAATGAATCCAATGCGCTGAATATAACGCGAACTTCTTCAGGATCTTCGGCGTTTTCCTCTACTCCTGCCCATGCGCTATCATCGGGGACAATTTCGATGTGGTGGCCATCTTCGGATTCAGTCATCTTGGCTGGCTTAGAAATAGACGTTGGTGATGTATGGATGTTACCTGCAAGTAACGGTCATGGCGGGGTAGATGGGAATGTTGATAGAGAGAAAGAGCATCTACCAGATTGAACAGGCAGGTGAATCTCTAAGGATTGGCAACACCGTCAGTAAAACAATTCAATTGAATTATTTGTGAGTAAAAAGTGAAATGGAAAAAAGGATACAATCGAGATCAACTCATATCGCTCACTTCTTACAAGATCCTTGGCAGGGTTTTTGCGGACCTCCAATGAGTTTGCGTGGGGTTTGATGCGATCATGTGATTGCGGGATGCGATGCAAACCTCCCACTTGAACATAACAACATCAATAGCAAAGGGAAAGTGACGTTTGTCAAATATTGATGTAATTTACGATTTCTCTTCTGTATGTTGAGAATAGAGGCCCTTAGTGAAGGGCTGCATACTAACGGCTGATGCAGTTACGTCAGACGCTCGGACAAATAAACCACATCTACACAGCTTCACTCACCAATCCACAAGTACCTAGCTTTGAGACTACAGCTCCTGGCGTACTTGACGTCTCGCAACAGACAACACAATCTCTTATCAACAGGAACCCCCAGGTCCCTACTTCAGACACTGACTGCATCACCATGGCCACAGACACAATTGAGCTCTCAGTGCCCCTCCCCCGCTCTCTTGATACCCGCATCTACCTCCGCCTATCCACCAAAGCAAAGTCCATTGTGCTCTTCCTCGCAACAGCGTCACAAGATGAGCTCGCCACACCTGTATCTCTAGGCTCATTTGTCTATGCCCTGCCCAACGTGAGTGCGGCCCGTTTACCAATCCAGGTAACCAGACGTTGCTGACCCAGATCTGTTCAATAGAGACTTGACCAGGCGCAACCGTTATCTACGACACTCTACTCATCAGAGACATCAGTAGAGTTCACAACACGCATGGCAAAGTTGCTGGCTCGCAAGGCACAGCTTCCGGTTTATGTCACTAACTCGATGAGCTTTGCTAATGCCGGTATGGGCGGTACTGTGGAAGAAGAGATGGAGGCCTTCAAGACTATTGTTCAGGTTGTTTCGGAGAAGTTACAGCTTTCAGGTGCCAAGCCAACTGCAGCCTGAGATACTACTAAGGTTGTTGTCGAAACATTACAACTTGGCTCTTCAAAGGAGGATTGTCGTTTTTGCTCCTACAGCCACACTGAGATGAAGATCAGGAGTTGCTGATAACATTTATCGAAGAGATTCTCACCGCAAGTACAGGGCCACATAGAGATATGGTAACGCTTCATGTCACGCAGTAACAGAGCTGTCAAGGCAGTTTTGGGTGAATTACAACATGGACCACGCACAATCCCGGATGGTTCCGCAGTGGCACACGCAGACAAATGGCTTGAGACAAAATGTTTGTCATCTGGCGGAGATGTGCGTGTGATACCAAGACATCCAGTGCTCATTAGGTTGAGAGAGGCTTGGGTCCAACGTCCCTCTCTGAACAAAGTAGGACTTTCAGGAACAGAATATACTTTCTATTACACTGCGCCACTAGCACCATGGCGGTGACCCTATGCATCTATTGTGATCTTCACCTACCCGGGCCTCATCTTTCGTGCGGGTTTACTTTGCCATCGATGCTCAGGGCACCTTGACCAGCTGCAGACCGCTCCACAGCAACAGCGACTGGCTGGGAGATAGCATCGTACATGTAATACGTAGTGAAGACTGGTGCAACATGAAGCTGCGCGCGGCACTTGCAGCCAGGCTGATGTTGGAATGACGCTCTGGTGTGACTGGGGTATCTAGACCAAGAGTTCTCTTGTTGCTGATTCCTCGATTAACACACCGTGTAAAATCATATCAGTGAATAGAGAATGGCCATGATATCCTGCACTGGTATATCTCGTCACTGGATGATTCGTACAGTATCCGAGAATGGTTTCGAAAACCGTTAGATTGTCTCAGTCCTGGCCGCGGCCCGTTGCAGGCGTTAATATGGAGGGATCAGGATGGAAGACTGAAAATTATTGGATGATGTATCCAAACAAGCGGCTAGTTCGTCTTGTAAACTCGTCTAAGTCAATCTCTTTGATGCCTTGGCTGTGCACATTCCGCCCCTCGTGCATCAACAAAGCCTTAGGATAGAATATTATTGTTTTTCGTCTATTAGGCTTCTGCTTGTAGGCAACTGGAGATGCCTGATATGCACAACTGGGGCATCAAAGAGATAGCAACATTTCCATGATCTACGGATAGGTGCTGTAGTCTTAACTTAATCCTTGACTGTCCATCTTGGATGACCCCGCAAAAAACAGAGTCTTCAGTCTTCCATCGCTTGGATTTCTTTATCAATTGCGGGTTATCATTATCGCGCAGCGCCACTGAATATTTTTTTTCTTTGGACCCTTGGTTTTGACACCAACTGCTGTGCGTGTTTCAGGGCGTTATAGTGTGTCGACACTGTGTGAGATGACATATTGTTGTCTCATCTCGCCAGCGCTAAACCCAAAGTAGACTTCAACCTGTTTGCCCGCCTTTGAACCTCCGCTCTCTCTCTTCGCAGGGCTCCTCTCTTTACAGTCAGTACACCAAAACTTCCCAAGGTTTCCATTGTGGGCAGCTGAGCTTCTTCAACTTTAACTTGAGAGTCAATCCTATAAATCTTTTCCCTACATTGTGTTGTCCTTTTCTTTCTCCTGCGTCTACTGGCGCATAGCGTCCTATTACCCCTCATCTTGACACTCCTATCATTCTACCAACTCTTCTTGACAAAGAAAACAATCAGTAAGTGACTTGACTTGACTTGGACTTGAGCTTTCCAAGTGTGGCTCCACGGCGTTGCACATCCCTGTATCGGAGGGGCACATTCGCTTCGCCTACTGCCATCCTAGCCATATCCCATTCGATACCAGAATGTAATCCCACTATCCCAAGAGTCCACCGCTCGTCTCCCCCCTCATCCTATTCTATCCTATCCTGAACAGAGCCCTATTGCCATTGTCTCTTGTTTGACTCTCGCCTTGGCTTAGCTTTGCGCATTGCTGATCGTCAACGAGTAGGATCTGCGAGGCTTCGCTCATGTGAAGATTGTTCACTCAAAGTACCGTCCCGCTTCAGCGCCCCTCTTCTCTCCATACCCGCTTCGCGACACTCAACGACGCTGTCCAACAACACCGCTGCCATGTCCTCCTGGCAACCCGCCCCCGAATCGTTGCAGCAGCTTGCAACATGCCTCAAAGACTCTCTCAGCGGTTTCGATAAGTCTGCTCAGAAGCAGGCTGACTTGGTAAGATTTCGCCCGTCCCGCCCCATCGCATTTCATGCGCCGATCATCAACTAATCGTGTTATCTGCAGATGCTTCAGCAAGCCAAGAATTCGCCTGACATCAACAACTACCTTGCCTTCCTCTTCTCGAGCTCTTCACCTCCCAATGGCCTCCAATTCTCAGAGCAGGACTTCCACCTGGTGCGGTCCGCCGCCGGTATCATGCTCAAGAACAACGTTCGAAGCGAATGGAAGAGCATTCCCGAAGACAGCCTTCAACTCATCAAACTCGCCGTGCCCATCTGTCTGCAAGATAAAAACTCCCAGATCCGCAACTTCGCTGGAAACATTGCGACCGAGATCGTCAAGCGCGGGAGTTTGCTAAGCTGGCCTGAGTTGCTCCCTCAGCTGCTTGATTTGGTTGGCAACTCTTCAGGACAGACTTCGAACGAGGCCCAGGAGGGTGCTATGTCTGCCCTGGCCAAGATCTGTGAGGACAACTACCGTCAGTTGATCAAGGAGGTCAATGGTCAGCGCCCTCTCAACTACGTTCTTCCCCAGTTCATCGCGGCTACTAAGAGTCAGCTGCCCAAAGTCAGAGCTGGTGCTCTGACAGCTATTAATGTTTTTACGCCTCGGGAGTCTCAGGCGATGCTTAATTCTATTGATGATCTCCTCCAGCACCTGTTCATCCTGGCCGGCGATAACAACGTCGACGTCCGACGACAGGTCTGCCGTGCCTTTGTTCACCTCGTCGAGACTCGCCCCGACAAGCTCCAGCCACACATCAGCGGTCTTGTCGACTACATCATAACTCAGCAGAAGGGCGACGACGAAGAGTTGGCATGCGAAGCTGCCGAGTTTTGGCTGGCTGTGGGCGAACACGATAACCTGTGGAGGGCATTGGAGCCTTACATCCACAAGATCATCCCTGTCCTTCTCGAATGCATGGTGTACAGTGGTGAGGATATTGCTCTCCTTGGAGGTGCTTCTGATGACGAGGAGGAGGAGGATCGCGAAGAGGATATTCGCCCTGCATTTGCCAAGAAGGCTCTCCAACGAAAGGCCAACGGAGAAGTTGGCGAGAACGCCGATCAGCCTCAAAACGGAGGCTTCGAGAAGCTTGGCGGCATGGATGATGATCTTGAGGAGGGTGAAGTCGACGACTACGATGACGGCGATGATGCCAACCCCGACGAGAGATGGACCATCCGCAAGTGCTCCGCCGCCGCTCTCGATGTTTTCGCCCGCGACTTCCAGGCGCCAGTCTTCGAGGCCATCTTCCCCTATCTGTCACAGCATCTGAAGCACGATGAGTGGCCTCAACGAGAGGCTGCCGTTCTGGCCCTGGGCGCCGTTGCCGATGGATGTATGGACGTTGTTGTCCCTCATCTGCCTGAGCTTGTGCCTTACCTCATCTCCCTGCTCGAGGACAACGAACCCGTTGTACGACAGATTACCTGCTGGACCCTGGGTCGGTACTCTCAATGGGCCGCGACATTGGAGGATAAGGATAAGGACCAATTTTTCCTTCCTCTGATGGACGGTATCCTTCGCCATATGTTGGACAAGAACAAGAAGGTTCAAGAAGCAGCTGCTTCTGCTTTTGCCAACCTCGAGGATAAGGCAGGAAAGATCCTCGAGCCTTACTGCGGTCCCATCATTCAGCAATTCGTTCTCTGTTTTGCCAAGTACAAGGACCGAAACATGTACATCCTTTACGACTGTGTACAGACTTTGGCAGAGCATATCGGACCTGTCCTGGCCACACCTGATCTGTCGAGTAAGCTTATGCCTGCCTTGATCAATCGATACAACCACGTGTCGGATCAATCACGGGAGCTGTTCCCTCTGTTAGAGTGCCTCTCTTATGTGGCGATGGCACTCGGAGATGCGTTCGCTTCCTACGCTGAGCCGATCTTCCTGCGATGTGTTAACATTATTCACATGAACCTGGAGCAAACGTTGGCAGCTGCTAACAACCCGGTGCTCGACCTGCCTGATAAGGATTTCCTTGTCACAAGTCTGGACCTGCTCAGTGCTATCATTCAGGCTCTTAACGACGACAAGTCTACCGTCTTGGTCAAGAGCTCTCAGCAATCTTTCTTCGAGCTTCTCAGCTTGTGTATGGAAGACCCTACTGATGAGGTCCGCCAGTCTGCCTATGCATTGTTGGGAGATTGCGCCAGATATGTTTATTCTCTACTGCAACAGTATCTCCCCACGATTCTTCCCATCTTGCTCAAGCAGCTTGATATGGACAGCGTTCTCGATGAGGATATGGACAGTGGCTTCGGCGTCGTCAACAACGCATGCTGGTCAGTTGGTGAAATTTCCATGCAACACAAGGAGAACATGGGCCCCTGGGTTCAAGAGCTTCTCCAGCGATTCGTTGAGATTATGACCAACCCCCGCGTTCCCAAGGCTCTTAATGAGAATGCCGCGATGGCCCTGGGTAGACTTGGTCTGGACAACTCTGAACAACTGGGACCACACCTGTCCACTTTTGCTGAGGAATGGATCAGCATCATGAGTGAGGTCGAGGCTACTGAGGAGAAGGCGACAGCTTTCAAGGGATTCTCCATGATTGTAGGACGAAACCCTCAGGCTATGGAGAAGGAGTTGCTCAACTACTTCACTGCCATCGCTAGATATCGTGATATGAGTCTGAAGAGTCCAGTCAGACAAGAACTGCACGATGTCTTCCAGAAGGTGAGTTACCAGCTACTAATTGTACCTTGCACATATTAACGATTTTCAGGTTATCGATATTTACAAGCAAATGATTCCCGAGTTTTCCAGCTTTATTGGTCAGTTGCAGCAGCGTGACCGACAAGCTTTGGAGCAACACTACTCGCTCTCATAGGGGTTAGCGATGGAATTCGGTTTTCACGTATTGAAGTGAAGGCCTCAGTGGAGGAAGCGGGTAGTTAGTCATTATTACATAGTTATAGATAGCACTTGTTTTCTGTTCGCAGTAGATAGCATGGTACGGGTTGCATGGCGAAGTTCTGGGGGGGGAAGCTGGCTCTAAAAAGTCTTGGGACCATTTTGATATGTTGACACGATGGTATGAAATGATGAGGGTTGCTATATTGGTGGTTTGAAAAAAGATATACCTAAGCATGGAAGAAGATGATCTTGATTGGGAATGGACCTGGAACTGGCGCTGAGAGAAAGGCAACCTGATATGCCACATGTTAGATAGAAATTCGGATCCGTGAAGGGAGTGGTTAGCATTCATTGGGTCCATGTTAGATAGAAATGTTGATTTGCAAGGTGAAAAGGACAACAAAGTTTACTTTACCACAAATTTTGGTTGGCGATAGAGTTGAGATGGTGTTTTTGTTTCCATCTATTCCCACAACTACACCAACTCCCGATTGACTCTTTCAAATCTAATGGAATGCATCACCGTGGTATTCATATTACTCAAGGTGAACCATTATCTGGCCTTCCTGGTAGTTCCGCAGCAACTTCCACGATGCCCTCTGGTCAAGGTACAGGGTAACCAACAGAGAAGCTGTCAATCGAAACTGTCACGATTCATGACACTTGATCTGTGCTTTCGGGTTTCAACCAGAGGGAAATGTCCTATCCCTCATCTCATCTAAACCAAGCGTAGCTGTCAAATTGTTTCGTGCATGAAACAAGAAGCAGATTGCCGGTTAAAGCTTTGTTCATTAGATGTTCACCTCCACAGTTTACTATTAGTCAATTCGCAAGCAAAATGTGTCATTTGCCTGCCTGGTGACAGCAAATAGTCAGTGGATAGCACATAGCGCCCCGTTCTCACATCGACAAGACGTTACATAGACTGATAGATTGGGCTGATCACCGCGGGTTTGAGTCCACGCCTAGACTTATGCGACGACAAGTCCCACGGGAATACACTGGACGCTCATGATTTTTCACACCGCATCATCTTTTGAAATGAGATAGCCTGCCGCTGTCTGGTCCCTAATTAACACTAACAATGTTCATGATTCGCGTGTAAATGTCCTTCTGATCGTCAGCAAGGAACGTGTAGACGAGCAATATGCTCCTTGAAGTTCTGCATCAAAAAGGAGAAGAAGCCGACTGGTTTGCCCCTTGATCTGCATTGCCTCTTCTGGATTTAAAAGTTCGATCTAGCATTCCCAAGTTCTGCGACAAATGTTCTACACGGTTGGGCAGGAAAGTTGGACCGGAAAACTAATCAAAACTCCGCTCACTAGACGACGGACCAGCGCACGGATCCAAACAATCATCATGGTGACCGTCGGCCAAACCAATAGTTTCATCGACAACAGCATCAAAGATGAACGATTGTTAGGGTGAACTTAGACATTGGAGGTTCGGTAGTCAGGAGGAACGTTGGGCGGAATTGGAGGCGTCTGATGGCGGAACACAGGAGACCCTACCCTAGTCTTTAGCCGCATCATTGAAAACAAGCCAACGGCACTTCTAGGACAGTTAGGCTGAGTTTAGACTTCGGGGAACTTGGCAGTTTAGCATCGAGTTCAGCGCTGGGCAGTTAGATTGATTTGAGTGTTGATATAAACACTAACATGCCAGAATCGTGTAGCGTGCATGAAACGATCAAGATCAAATTAAGAAAAGACTTCTATCTGTCAACTCATTGGTGAACCTTGGATAGACGCACCTACCAAAGGGGCACTGGCAATGATGGAGCCACAAGAAGGTCCGATGGCCTGCCCAACTCATAAGGCTGGGCATTGATGATCCGGAATAAACTCCCGCGTAATCGTATACCTCCTTAGATAGACCATGCTCCATCCTACCTTCGGCACCAGTGGCGGGAGAATGCAGGGGAGAAGAGTCGTCCGAATACCTTGATAGGACGAGTTCGATCTCAGCTCCTAGATGAGGACTCGCCTTGTATGTAGGCAGCTATATTTATCTTGGTGGCTTATCAGTTTTGAACTGACAGGCTCACAACAGCCGAGCTGAGACGCATAGACCCGTTGAGACGGTAGATAGCAGTCAATACTATGATGTATGGAACGGAGAAGGAAGTAGTCCAAAGCCAGACAGGCTGTCTGTATGATATCGGGAGGACTCTCACCGGGCCCCTGCGTAGTATGGTAGTTCAAAGGTCTGGACCATCATGAGGCTCTTGGACGCAACAACGTCATGACCTGGTTTCTAGCGTCACAATAGTCTGATTGGCAACAGCACATCCTTGTTTCAAGTGCACAAGCCGTCAAATGTTGAGTTGAGAGAAAACATCTCACTCAGTGAGTGAAACCATCAGACTCAGTCACAGAACTGCTCTGCTGTGCCGTTTAAGCTTTAGCACTAGGGTGCAAGGGCTGTAGTGGGATTGAGGCCAAAACCATGTCATTGACCCCTGTCGTTGTCACCATTAATAGTACAAACTGGCACTACTGCAGTCTCCCCTGTTCACTCTTGGCAATCAGACGCCCTGCCTGTACATGCGGATACAGAACAGTAACCTAACCGAGCCTAGCCTAGCAGCTTAGTTAGCATCCCGGCATCTTGAACTGTCCCTACCTAGCCTATTCGGCAACCTTGCCTGGTTCTCTGTAAGCCATAGCCTGGTCTGGAACCAAAGAATCAGTCTTTGGTGACGGCTCATCTATCTGTGACTGAATCGTTAACAGACGTCAACCAACTCGCGCATTGACAGATAGCTTAGGACCCTGGAACAAGCTTCTGCGATGCATGTTCCTGTCAAGCACAATACCCAGCGCCAGCTTTTACCAAGAAGAGTTTAGCTTCGGATGCCAAAGCTCAAGCAGTCTGTGGACCATGTAGCTAGGGATGGATACCAGTGTGTATGTAAAAAGTCCGGAGCGGAGGAAGCATCAACAACTTCAACCATTTGTTTGGCATATCATGATTCGGCCCTTAACGATGATCAAACTCGGCCCCTGTTCTGGGATTGATCTTGACGGAACGTCAGAGATTTGAAGAGGAGACAAATGTTCAGTCATCACCAATTCCATTTCCAGAATAGGGATCAGGCGCCTACCGTCGCGTGCCATGTGGTCTCGGGTCCGCATTGGGACGGGTACTGCACTGCACAGTACAGTAGCGTGGTCCTGACATCGACCTCAGCGACCGAGTCGTCACTCAGATCTCAAGATGATACGTTACTGCAAAGCGTGTCAGCCATCAGAAGACCCCTACAGCCAACCAGCTATGTCATGTCTGAGCGACCCTGCATTCACTGAGAGCTTTAAGCACATACTCATTTCGAGAAGCCCTATTAGATTGCCGTGATCCCACGGCGCGGGTTTGCCGGTGTCCTAATATAGATCGCACTGGTCGTGCTACTGTAGCTCTATTAAGGGATCAGCGTCCTTGGACTTCATCCCTCGAGTCGATTGGTGCGCGAATGGGTTACCCCAAAGGTGGCTTCCAAATTCCGACGACCACGGATACAGTGCTGTTGATGAACATCATCGTCTAATCTCTTACACGCCGTCGATGTTGATGCCCAAGTTACTTTCTCCTTTTGACTCCTGAACCGTCCGCTTGCGTCTGATCGGCAGCCGAAAGTTTGAGAATTTGTCTTTGAAGAGGTGTCGGATCATTTGTGATGAGGCTTTGCAGCAAGTCACTCTTGTCTACTTTGGAATACAGTCAGACCACGCGCAAGTAGCCTTGAAGGTCACCTGAATCCCTGTCCAGGCCTTGTTCATATGCGTTGTCTTATGAGTTGACTGGCTAGACAGGTTTAGACAACACCAAAGAAGCTGGGGCATAGTTGACGAGATTGGTCGCAAAATCCGGGAGTGTACCACTGGTATCTGAATTGGTAACTCGAGCCGCGATTCTTGTAACCAAGAACGGCACAATATTTGAAAAATGACAAGATACTTGGTGTAGCTCTTTTGTTTATGGAAATAATGACCTTGGCCATGCCATTTCCCCGTCGGACTTTTACGCAAAGGCCAGCATATCTTGTCCCTCGGTCTCTTGAATGCACAACCAAGACGTGCATTTTTATCTTCTGACATAGACGTCGAGAGTCAACCTGAACAGATAATGGTATGAGATCGTCAGTCGTGCAGGCGCTTGGCGCGTTTTGCATCTAGATGTGCCGTGGCTTGACAACCCAGGGCTCATTCGCCCTAGACACAGCATTTCTGGCCCAGTTACCCAGGGATTGTTGTTCAGCAAGAGATTCAGACCATTCACCTTCTGAAAGGTGTAGATCAAAACAAAAACCCAAGGCCAAAGCATCCTCGGCAAACCTAACCTGCGGAACCCTAAGGGAGGTTGTGGCTTGCCCCGCAGGTGGGTGAGAGAAGCATTGTCTTCTGAGGCTTAGGCTGCAATAATAAAGTAGCCTAAATGCTGGTCTAAGTTGGCATAAAGTGACCAAATTATTTCATCTCTTATGCTTCCAGGCCAATTCTTCTGACACCCTGGTGCCCCGATACATTTCCACTTCAGGCGAATTGTGATATGCGGCTCCGACAGGGTCGCGATGGGTTTCTTTGAGTCAGTTGTTCTCCGCAAAAATCTGTCATAGTAATAAGTCATTGCGCGAAGACAAAAATAGCCAGAAGCATTTTCAAAGAATGCCTTGAGACATCATACTGACAACCGTGTCTGTGATCACCGTCTGTGTTAGGCAACGTAGTAGAGGCAGAGACTCTTTGTCTATCGCACTGACGAAATAAAGAGACTCGGCGTGGATTTCAAGAAGATCGTCAGTTTGCATGCATCTCGATCTTCCGTGCCTCCCAGCTATACGGGACATGCTTCACTAGCGTATTGCCAAGACGCTAGTCAGGGCTGACATAAAGACCTGGATAAGCATTGACCTGTACTGGTGCATGACAATTCCAACTCTGACTCAAGGCTTTTTGTCTGCTCAAGGTCAAGGAA